TTTCTTAAGATTATCTTCACACATCTTATTCATGAAATTGATGAGAGAAATCATTGATTTCAGTGTTCTACTCTTAATGTTATTTAAGTAGCAGCAGAGTTCACCCTGGCCACACTTTTTAAGTGTATATTTTCTAATTATTTATATTTATATAGATATATACTGATTATTTATTAAATGATATTAAGATAATAACTCATCACAGCTGTGTTATTCTCACTGTGAGAGATATACAGTTGATAATGAATATTGCAAAGACTCTGAGAAGTAAGTATTTTAAGAGTACTATAGCTCTGTGATCTTGATTTTTTTTTATTTTTATTTTTTATTTTTTTATTTTTTTTATTTTTCTTTCTCTTTCTATCTCTTTTTTTCTTTCTCTTCTTTTTTTCTTTCTCTTTTTTTTTTTTTTTATTGTGATTTTTTCTTGTTGTTTTATTATTTGTTTTTTTATTATTTTTTGTATTTTACATTTTTTTTTTTTAATTAAAATGATATTGATTATAATCTATGTTTAGAAAAGTAACAATATTTGATAACACTCTCTATTAAATTTTCAACAAATGAGTACTATATTATGATATTATGTAAGTGAGAAATGATTTCATAGTCTTATTTAATGCTATTTTCAATAATGAGATCAGAATGAAAATGTGATTAAGAATTCAAACATATTCTTTATCTAAGACTAGATTTTTATTTAAAAAGTGAATCTGAAATCTTTAATATTTGAAATAACAGAATTTGAGATCAATGTAATGAATACAAATCATGATCAGAAGTAATGCTTTCAGGCAATGTAATAACTGTAAAGTTTGATCCTGATTCTAGACACGATCACACGGTCAGTCTAAATGTGACAGACTGCGTCTGATCAATTATATAGACTATTTCATTACACTTTATAGATTTCTACTACTTTATTCTCAATCACTGACTCTCAGCTGCTTCATTCTTAATCATTAATTCTCAGCTGTTATAAATGTGTATAAATTCTCTCACTCTGAAGCTTCACTGTGTACATTATTATATACATATATAAATATTCACTTCAATCACTGACTTTTATACTTTCTCTTTCTTTTTCTTCTTTAATGTTTTTCTCTTTATTATATAAGATCTATATATTATACTGATCTATTTAGTGTAGACCTCTTACACAGATTAAATAAGATTAAATATAAAATTCATAATCTCAGTGATCAGTCTACTCTAATTATATATATATATAATTGAAAAATAATAATAATAATAATAATAATAATAATAATAATAATAATAATAATAATAATAATAATAATAATAATAATAATAATAACTTTATAAAAGATAATATTTTTTTAATAACACTTTTTAATAATATTTTTTAATAATACTACTATTAATTTTGACTAATAATTTAAATATCACAGATTTAAAATATTGTTAATACAATTTGTATCTTTTTTAAATAATAATAATAATTTCATAATATTTTAATAAATAAATAAATCAGTCACATTACTGAACATAATACAGAATATTAAAACATAGTGAAATTCAATATATAAAATAACTGTTTAAATTCTTCAATTACATCAGATAATTAATTATTAAGTGTAATACTTTAATGTCTCAGTAATTAAATAATTAATGCGGTCATCTGATAGTATCTTAACATAAGAAATTAAAATATGTAAGTTTAAAACCTGTAGAGAATACATTAAATCTGAAATCTAAACATCTCAGATTTCTAATAAATACAGAGATGTACAAATCACTTTAATAAAATCACTCTATATTTCTGAGCTGAGAAGTTATTATTACATGTATCTAATTATTACTTCTTTATATTTTCTCATATTCTTATTATCTTAGCATGATTTCAACACCTGTATTTTCTCCGTATAATCAACACTTGACTAGACTGGCTGCTGAGATCATGAACTTCACATTTAGTCTTATTTAATCTGATCTCATACATTTCTTGACATGAATCCCGCTAGGACTGACTATTAAAAAAATATATAAAGTGACTATATATCAGATCTTAAAATGAAATCATGACTTGAAAAAAATGAGAAAGTGATTTCATTTAATCTCATTTAATCTCATTCTTAATATAAAGTTACTATTTTTAGACATTTTAAGGTTTTTTTTAGACTATTTTTAATTTTTTAAAAAGTAACACTTTTTGATAATACTTAAATGAGATTTAAAGTCATTTAAAGCAATAAAAATAATTTAAATTGAGAAGTGAAAATCATGATCTCATTTGAAAAATGTAATAAGAGTAGACAGTAAGTCTCACTGAGACAGTATGAGACTACTATCTAATGTTAAAACTGTGTAATGAGATCAGTTAAATTGATAATAAGACTATTAAAAAATCTGATTCTGATCTCAGATATAATTACACAGTCAGTCTACACTTGACTATATTTAACATTATATAAGAACTCATTATAAGCTCTGCTTATATATAAGTATAATGAAAGAATAATAATAATAATAATAAAGTAATACGTTAATCAGAAAAAAATTCAGATACTATAAATTTCTAATATAAAATAAACTCAGTTAAAATATATAATTAATTTACTATTTCAGTTTTATGAAAATAATTAAAACAGTTTCAATTACTTATATATTAATACTGTAATTAGTTTAATAAGTATATAACAGTTTATTTACTCATTTAAAAAACAGTTGAATTATTTAAAAGAAATTCAGTCTGAAATAATATTATAACACAGACTATTATTACTATAAAAGATAAATTAATATATTACTATAGTAAAACTAAATAATTTTTTACAGAGTATTATACTATAACAGCTCTATTAAATTTCTTCTATTAAGTTAATATTTACACTTCTCAAGATTGAATAGAGAAGAAATAAAACTTTATTATTATTCTTTTATTATACTTATATACAAGTGAAGCTTATAATGAGTTTTTATATAATATTAAATATAGATTAAGTGTTAATTATACAGAAGAAAATACAAATATTAAAATTATACTAAAATAATAAAAACATAGAAAATACAAAGAAGTGATAATTAAATACATGTAATAATAACTTCTTATCTCAGAAACATAGAGTAATTTATTATAATAATTTATACACATCTGTATTTATTAAAAATCTAAGATGTTTAAATTTTGAATTTAATATATTCTTTGCGGGTTTTGAACTTATATATTTTAATTTCTTATGCTAAGATGCTACTACATAATTACATTAATCATTCAATTATTAAAGTGAAAAAATGAAACTTATATATTAAATTAATTTGAAATTATCACAATATCAACTATCAGAGATATAAATAAGTAGATATTAAAAATATAAAAATAGTGAAATATAATTCTCTGATAAATAATAATTTTTAATAATACTTTATATTATTATATAAAATTATAATATTAATTATAAAACAGAACTTGTATACATTAATTATAACTGAAAATCAGATAAAATTACATACTTATAAAACTGAATTTAATTATTATTTTCAAGATAATTTAATAAATTTACATATTAAATCAATTTTAAAGCTATAAAAAATTGTTAAAAGTATATATTTAATTATTATATTAATAATTAATATTCTGATAATTTTATTAACAGAGATAAAAATGAAGTGAAAGTTCAACTTAAATTAAAATATTTATTACTATTATTAAAAACAATTATAAAAAGAAATAATTATGAAATTTATAATTATAAAATATGAAATTATCAGATAGTTCAATATCTTTGATTACAGTATATCAGAGAAGTATAGTTTTTATAAAAAAGTGAAGAATAAACTTGTATAAAAATGTATTTAACTGTTTTATAAGTGTTATTAATAATTATTATCAAATTCTGATTATTTTTCACACTATTTCTGAAAAAAATAATTCAGTTTCGGATTTTTTTTAATGTTAGATTCTAATAAAACTTATATCAGAAAATGTATGAAATTAGATTAAATAAAATTAAATATGAAATTTATAATTCTGTCAGTTAGTCTAACTATGATAATATATATTAACTAATTTCATATTTTTTAACAGTTTTAGTGTAATTAGAAATCAATTGTATATTTAAATTTTTATTTATTATTTATATAACTACTTTATAATATATGTTATAAGTGTTTTAAAATGAATGAAAAAATGAAAATTAAGCAGATATTAAGTATAAGCAGATGTTAAGTAATTAATTATATTACTTAGTAATTTTTCTTTTATTATATATTTTCTTACAGTTTTACTTAACTTATAATTAACAAGCTTTACATCTTTTATCAAAATTAATATAATAAGAAAACAGAGACAGTCAGACAAAATTAATAATATGTGTGTAATATATGTTAGATGTGTAGTGAATGTGTATTTTAAAGAGAGCAACTTAAGTTGAACATGTGTTCAGAAAAGTGGGTTAAAAGTTGGCACTATGATCACTTTTATTGGCACCACATTCAACTGTAACCCATCAGTGACAAACCTAACACTTTCTTCTGGGTCTCGGCCAACAAAGCTTCATGGCAGAAAGAAGCGTGTTTCAAGAAAAACGTCACAGCGGAAGGCTTCCAAGTTTATACGCGTTTAGAGAGTATGGAGGGCTTGCGGACAGTTCAGCTGTCAATGAAAATAATATCTGAGAGTACCCTTTCGGATGTAGTCTGCAACCAGTGACAAGATAGTTAGTTACATACAACAAATCGAAGGGCGTGACAAGCGAACTCGAATAAAAATATGGAAACGAGGGGCAGAGTTAGGGCTGGTCCGAAATACGGTGACACACATTTGCAAAAAATGACCAGAAGCAATGTGTATACGCTGTACTGAGTTTCAAATACAACGCAAAAAAGAGTTCTTCTTCTTTTTTGCGCAAATACCCACATCATCCTAACCTAAACCGCGGTAAGGTGCTTGGCCAGGGTTCCACGGTAGGATGCTTGGGCTGGGTCCATGATTTCCAGCGCATGGAGCTTTTTTGGCCTTGGAGGGTTTGAGTTCTGCTAACCAGCTTAAGTCCGTGGTGATATAATCAATATGTAAAGGGCCTGCTCTCCCTCGTTTTTGATATGTTTCTGGGAAGGAGGGCACAGCTGGTTTGTTTCGTTGCTGCCATTGTCGATCTTGCTTTGCATATCATATATTTTTGTATACTATATATATATACATTTCTTCCTTCCTATTAACTTTCTCGGCAAGTTGCTGATCGGTTGTCTCTGTCATACTTGTGCTTTGCAACCCTTCTACTTATATCTTAAACCCCCCTGGTTCACTCGCTCCCTATTATTATAGCCAGCTCTCTCGAAATCGAAAAATAATAAATATCTGCGAACTCATTATTATATTGAAGCAAGCTCCCATTCTCCTCCTCGTCTCGTCCCAAGCTTCTCCAAAGTAACTTATAGTACCGCAACCTATATATATATGATCATTTCCGGCACTGTACCTACCGTCCAGTCTGATATATGGGCGGAGCTCTCACTTGCTATTAGTTTCTAGATACATATAATCTAGATAAACGTCGTGTCGCATACGGTCCATAAAGTCCCTCGAACACTAAGTGTTCCCACAAGCGCGAGATCATCAAAGTTCCAAGTTGTGGGTGCGTGGTGTAGATTGGCGCAAGCTCGCGGTGCCCGGCATCGAGATATCTAGTTCCAGCAACCCTGCGCGCTCTGGCGCCATATAGCTTAGCCTCCATTCGCAATGACGGCTCACCAGCCAAGTCCCCCCGTGGATGCTTCGTCTCCGTCAGAAGGCAATGTCCGCAAAAGAGTGTGCAAAGCCTGTGACCGGTGTCGCCTAAAGAAGTCAAAGGTAGGTCCTACCTGTTTCTCAGGGTTGGATGCGCCTGTTATCATCACGTGCTGAAATCTAGAGGGATTTGACTACAGTGTGACGGAGCAAATCCATGCGGGCGATGTAAGACGGATAATGCGATCTGTGTGTTTGGAGAACGGAAAAAGGTGCATGACAAAGTATATCCTAAAGGGTGAGCTTGATTTTCACCCTCCAGTCATATATTTTTTGCATTTTGGAAAAGTTTAGGTGGTTCAATGAGCTAAACATTACTATGCTCTATTTTTATAGATACGTTGAAATGCTAGAACAACAACAGGCACAGCTAGTTGCTGGCCTCCAATCACTCTATAAGATGATGTTGGACGGAGAAGAATGGCCGGGCGACCCCCTCAAGGAATCGGGAAATGGACACCCCCTTACACACGACATTCTAGAACGATTAGGAGCACTTAAGCAAGAGGGTAACTCGGGCGATGAGCCATTCGAAGATGATCTACAATTAGCGCAAAAGAAGCTAATTGCGAATGGTGCTGGATTTATGCAACGGCAGGACTCAACAAGTGGTTCGGAAAGTGAGCATTCGCCAATATTCCCCTCGAGACCGTCCTTGTTTGAAACCCCGTTTTCGATGAATCCCAACCAACTCCCACCTACTCCTCCGAGCCCACGCACTTTTCCTCCCCGAGCACATCAAATATCAGATCAAATAATGGAAGGAATGTCGCAACACCAGCAACACCAGCAATTCATATTGCAGCATCAGAGGCAGCAGCAGCAACAAAATAAGGATAATCTCCAGCAGCGCCAGCAGGCGATGCGGCATCAACGGCAGCAATTCCAGCAAAGACAGCAGATGGAGATCCACCGACAACAGCAAAAACACCTCCCGCAACCGACAATGGCTCCGCAACGGCTCTCACAGGTCCAAGCTACACAAACTCAAATGCAAGTGCTTCTCAGTGCTCCCGGGGCTCCGCCATCTATGAACCCTAGTCTCCTTCAGCGACAGCAGTCATGGTCACAAGGAGGGGGTCTAGATGACAGTATGGACATTTCGCTCGATTCGCCCCTAATGTCATTTGACACGCCGCAACAAACGCAAGCGTTTAGTCGGCCGATTTCACTTACTGGGGGACTTAATTCGTGTTTGCCAATACAGCCAGACTGGATGGAGGATGCTGACTTTAAAGCATTTTTAAATCCAAGTGCTACAATGATATAGGGGGGAAAAAGAAAACCGACAAATACAGGCCTAACTCCATTGACTTGTAATTTTTCCCCCCGTTCCACTTCTTTCGCTTCATAATGGTTTTACATAATTATTATTACCATCTATGTTCGTGCCCGAATAGACCCATTTTGCTTCTCTCTCGCTTTACTTCTTGCATGAGCGATATCCGATCTCATCTCTCAACACTAATGACGACAATGAGCTACATTGATTGTACTACCCTTTTTCGTTCATTTTTCATTTTTGCATGAGACCTTTTCAACCCCTCAACCCATTCCCCTCCCAACCCCCTTTCCAACTATGTAATAATCGACACACTTTCCCCATGCGCAATAATCTCCGTAAGGGCTGGAGGAAGATTGCGGGATCATTTGACTTTGTCTATCTATCTAGCTCTTTTCGAATTCAACAAGAAAAAGAAAAACCTAAGCTTGAATATCACGCTGCACAAGCTCCTTCTCTCCATTGCCTTGCGGGCAGAAACAAAAATGGATATGGATATGTAACTCCTGTCTACCATTCAGTCCGATTCCATTGCGGGGTATGTATCAAGGGAACATTTCAATCAAGACTGATATCACCTCTCGCTTTGTTTTGAAAATCAACCCTTTTGAGCACTCAAAGGTTCCCTGCGCTGTATGGTTTTTTTCTTTTTCTTTCTGTGATTTGAATATTAACTGCCAGCCTTTTTTTTAATTTCCTCTTTGGCAAATCTTCGAAAATTCTTACGCGTTTTCAGTCCTATTTTACAACCCCTGTAATCTACGTGTATATATATCTATATATATCTAACCTAATTAATTAATCAATTGGCGAGTTTATGGACGTGCAAGATCGAGTATAAACAACTGATTGAAGGTGGTAGTAATAAGTAATGACCCAGCCCCCAACTTCCCTATGTACACAGTGACGCTTGCGTATGACACGTGGTATAATTTCAGATATTCTACAACACTTTTTTTTTGAATTTCGACAATTTGGCCTGCTTTCTTTTTCAGATAGTTAGTTACTAAAGTGAGATGCAGCTGATGAGTATGTTGAAAATGAAACAACTATCACTAGGTTACTCTGATGCGGTACTTTGCACCCTTCTATAAGCTAGATAGAGGCTGGGAGAAGTAGCTGTGACAGCATCGCCCATTTTGCACTCTATATATTTCTGTTAAGGGATGCCAGGGTTAGAGAAATGAAGATAGATGATAGATAGGGCTTGCCAAAAAGTTTAGTATGGCGAATGATCAGTCCGCAGGCACAAGTAATAGGCACAATGACAGCTGCTAGACATAATTCCAAGGAAGAATATTATTCTCTAACTGCCTGAAGATGATACTGATTAGCACATACATAGGCCACCTGAGGTACCTACTTTTTCTCTAGGTTCTAAATCAATTCATGTATGTACTGTACATGTGCCTTAGCTTTTCATGAAATCAAATAGTATACTTTCAAAAAGTCAGCAGAAGGGGGTTGGAAAAGTTTTAAAAATTTCGAGCGTGCCATTCAGGTGCCCAACAAGGCAAATGTTGAAAATATATGTGAACTTGCAAGTGGTTGCTCATTGTGACGCACTCAGAAAGCGCTTCTTCATAAACTTGATATGTGCAGAGGAGGAAGTACATGCGGTGCGGCTCAAAATGCAACGAGTCGGAGAGCATGTGATGGAAAAGCCCTAACTCAAGCTTGCAACCCATCATTCATAACGATACGGAGTCGCAGCTTGAACGTCAAAGCTTTTAATAATACTGTTATCTGTAGATTTTTAAGATAGGCTATGAGTCAAACTGAACGCTGTTGAAGCTTTGTTATTTATGCATCATAGTTGCTACAAACTGGGGAAATTCTTGACCTCCATCCCATCGACGGACAACTTAAATAGTTATGCATGAACATTAACTATTAGTTTTACCTGGTCGGACCCCAGGGTAACTAACTAGTTAGTTAAGCCAACAAACGCAGCCAATAACCTACCACCAACGCAGCTTGGCGGGCAAGGTAAGCTGGGGGCATATATGAAAAACACAGGCGGAAGCATAAACTATATGGAAGGAGGCTGTGAAGGAGTTGGATTTCATATCATAAAGGTAAGTTAATAGTATCTTTCTGTATGTGTGCCTACATCATAGTTGGGTTTGCGCTCGTGGCAATCAATCTTTAGGGAACCTTACGACACTTTCGAATATCCTGTTTCCTTCCCGGCAGGGTAACTAAGTTACAGTGCCAGTGGTTCCCTACGTAATAGCAGTTAATTTCAGCAAACCATCATCCCCCGACCTCCCAAGTTCTCCCAACTACCCTAAACTTGCCTGCCCATCAAAAACACAACCTATTAAATATGACATCCTCTTCAGAGGAATCTGCATTCACCTTTATTCCACTGGGTGGCATTCTCCAGGAATTTCGTGTTGCTGGCAAGAACATCGTCCTAGGCTTCCCCACCCAGGAGCATTATGCCAAGTATAACACTGCATACTTCGGCGCCACTATCGGCCGCACAACAAACCGGCTGAAAGACTCAGTCATTAACAATCTCAATGGAGAAACATACACCATTACAACGAAACAGGGCCCGAATTCATTGCACGGGGGGAAGGCTGGCTGGAGTTCCAAGGTCTTTGACGGCCCGCAAGCTGTGTCTAAGAATGGAAAGGAAGGTTTGGAGTTCAAGTACCTAAGCAAGGATGGTGATGAGGGCTATCCGGGCACAGTGGAACTGAGGATATGGTATACAGCTGGCAAGGAGGCAGGGGGGGAGGGGAAGCAGTCCAAAACTGTCCTGGAGATTGAGTACGAGGTTGAGTTCGTGGGAGATGAGTGCGAAGAAACTGTGGTGGGAGTTACGAATCATACGTGAGTGGACAAGTTTCTCTTGATAATTTATTCATCTGACGACACACGTATCGCTTCTTTCATTTGCTTTTTTGAAGAAAATTAATTTGCATTAAATTCATATTTGCGAAGAGGATACCTAACTAATACGACTTTCCGCGCAGTTACTTCAACCTTGGCGATGGGCCGACGATCGAAGGCACAGAAGCAGTTTTGGCCACCGACAATTATCTCCCCATAGATTCCACAGGTATTCCCCTCGGTACAATAGAGCATTACAATTTGACAGAGGTTAAAAAGCCTTTCTTCCTCAACGCAACTTCCCCAGACATTGACGACTGTTTCGTGATGGATACGGACCCGGCCTCAATACCAGTCGACACTCGATCTCGACCACTGCGTCTAAACGGAGCATTCAAACACCTGGTCACAGGTATTAATCTCGAAGTCCATTCCACGGAGCCTGCTTTCCAGTTCTACACTGGAAAGTTCATTAATATCCCCGCCGTTGGAGGGGCACCTCCACGGGGACCCCGGTCAGGCTTTTGTGTGGAACCCAGTCGATATATCAACGCACCGAACGAACCCAATTGGAGAGGGATGAGTGTCTTGAAGAAGGGGCAAATTTGGGGGTCCAAGATTGTGTACAAGGCATGGATGGAGTAAAAAAAGAGAGAGTGATACCCTCAAGGTTTGGCCTGCGAGAATTGAGGTTGAGATGGGCACTTCGCCTAAGTTCTTACGCGACGTGTCACTTTACCGCAGAGTTACTCCAGCTTTGCAAGATTGTATGTGCGTTAGTTACTTAGAGCTTTATGGCTACTTCCTCTTGACTCGGTTTCTATGCCGAGTTCTCACGTCCGCACCTCTCATGTCCAATGAGAAACGGAGAACCTATCCCGTTTTTGGCCTGCGCCAATTGATACCGAAGAAATGATCTTGTTTTGCCTGTAGTGCGATCCTGTTGCTTGGATGCCCAATGCACAGCATCAATATTTTCTTCATTTCCAGACAAATTTGACAGTCCTCCAATCCCGAGACAGCTCTTAAATTTTTTTTCAAAAACTATTATCCTCCCAAGGCAACTTAACTGGCAGCCCGGCAGCAAGTAGACCAATTACTTTTTACCTAACCATTCGCCGTGGTTTCAATTTAAAGCATGTTGAGTTTGTGAAACCTGGCCCGATATGAAATGAAATATACCGCCGTGCATCATTTATCGCCCCAAACTTTGGAGCTTTCAGTTATCATTGCAAATAATAGATGGAGAGCTTGCGTATCGTAATGGATGTCAACTATTGGTCTTACCATGATCTTCTTCCTTTACTAAGTGGCGGTGACCATTGACAATGAGTTTGCAGCGACGTACGCCTTCATGGAAGGGCTTTCCCCAAGGCCCCGCCCACTGCACTGCCATTGGTAAGCGTAATGGGAGGTTAGGTGGAAGGTCAAAAATATCGATGGATGCACCGGAACAAAAGATTTTCCCGCTCCGGCTCCAGGTGACCGACGAAACCCTAATTATTTAACGGAGAACTCTCTTGGATCCTTTTCGATAATATTCAGAGAAATTTCCCTTATATAAAAGGCTTTCGAATATGCTTTCGCCTTTTATTACTATCTCTTACATGGCACTTCTGGCAGCTTGCAAAGTGGAACGAGTTGACAAGAGTGGTTTGCTTCGTTGTCTCAAGATGGCTGGAAGCATTCAAGTTCTTTCTTGGGTCCAGTCGTCTGACTTCGGCTGCAATTCTGAAGGATTAAAGGAAAGGTGAAAAATGGGTGCCCTATCGGATTTCCTGCTCCCTAATGATTATTCTTCAATAATAATATACCAACAGAGAGCAATCCTACACACCCGAAAACCTCACAATATCATTGATATTGCACTTCGCCAATTTTTGTTTCTGTTCCTCAGTAACGCTATTTGTTTAAAATCAGGATATTGTAGCTCGCGCCTAGCAGGCAAAGAAATGAAAATGGCTTCGCGGCTACATTTCATATTATGTCCATTTCCAAAACGGTTTTCTTTAATCTGTTCAGTTAACTACGGCTTGAAAGGGCCATTTCGTTAACTCCTTCATCCCGCTATGGCTTTGTTCATCGTAAACAAGGCCCTCGAACTTTAAATACTTCATCGTCTACCCACAACTCTTTTGTTCAATCCCTTCTCTTTCTTTAAATGATATACGGGTCTCCATCTAGATCCATGAAAAGTCCGTTAAATGGTAGTGTTCAATGAACAAGCCTCCCCCTTGGCTCCTGGACGAACACATCGATGAAAGAAAGACACCTCGAGAGTTCTATTTTGAAACTGACAGCATGATCGCGCCAGCGATGTGTATTAGCATACTTGATTTATTATTAATGGACTGAACCGTGCCCATCGTGGAGTTTCCACAACTGTCCAATTTTGGCTTCTTAATATTAACATTACAAACTGCACATCTCTGGATATAAGCACCTAGATACGTGATTCCCTTTCCAGTCCAACCCTTCCGCCGCGCACGCTGAACGTTGACTTTACATCGCAACTCCATCCTGCATGTACCTTGCACGTTTAATGATTGATATTGAATACGAAAATCCCCTTGGAGAAAACAAAACCCCTCGAGCAATAGGCCCCACTTGCATCGGACGCACTATATCACAAAAAAATAAAACCAAAAAAGAAAACCAGGGATCGAGGACGACGAATCCAAAATCATGTGCTCCCAGTTTTACAACCACCACTCTTGCGGCCACGCAGTATTCGTCCGGACAAAAACCTGCGGATTGAAACAGTTCTGCCCCTTGATCAAAAAGGAACACATCGGCATAAATTACATGTGCGAGCGATGTGCTGCCAATATTCTATTAGCCATGAAGAGAGACTTGACTGCTAGCCGCAGCAGCAGCAAATCAGGTAGTCGGAGCCCCAGACGCGCGGGCAGGTCAACATCGAGATGAAAAAGGGGTTTTGGAATTGTTAGCGGAGGAGATCTGTTTTCATTGCTTACTTAATTGGCTTTCTTTGCTACTCACGAATTTACTGGCATTAAATGGTGTTTTGGATTTGTTCTTTTCATCCTGGGAGGAGGTCGTTTGCTTTGAGGAATTTCTTGATTTAATTACTGAAATGAAGAGTGGTGAGGGATCGAGCCTGGTTGAAAGAATCACAGAGCCATTCCCCCGTGATGAACTCCATTGTCATAACGGTTCTTTTTAGCTTTGCATATACACTGTATGTATGTATGTATGTATGTACATACAATAGTACAAAAATAGAATAAGCCCAGCAAACAATAAAGATTTAAATGTCGATAGATAAAATAGCTGTATCTCTTGCAGGTGTTTCTTCGCCAATAGTTACTTGTCTCAATTAGCCCCCCAAAGAAAGAAATTCACATATTTCTTCAACCAACTTCAATCTGCCCTTGCCAACTTTTCAATCCGATAAATAAATAAGTCTATAGGTGAACTAGCCGCTTCCAACCAAGATAGCCACGATAGATTGGTACAAAATATAGTTAGGGTCAGTTAGCGCATACAATCTCGAGCCCGATGATAATCAATCAGATATATTTAATGTTCTGTGGTGAGTGCTTCGGTGTTCTCGGACTCCATGACCCGAGCCGCCCTCTTGGCTGACATGCAGCAGAGAGCGCTCCAGAAAGAGAGCAGGCTTAGACACCAGTAGATAAGGCTTTCGGTGAATGAACAGCTAGAAATACGCATTGTATTGGCTTTTATTTCAGATATGATATCCACCGTTAAATAGATGCGGTTCTGTCGTATTCAGGATATCCACCCGAGAACTACCTACTTCCATGAAGCGAACTAGCTGAGATTTTACTCCGGGGGCTTCTTTCAATATGAAATTACGTCATGTTCTCTTCCTCTCCTTCCATTGTTCTAGACAAACGGCTTTCATTCGCGCTCGTCTCTTTTCTCCCATCAGTTCCGACAGAACCTACTATGACTTCTAATGGAGCGCGGGAGAGTTTGCTCGATTCCACAATCCAGTAGATATTCAGCCCTAGTAGGGTAGGAGAGCCCATAGCCACAGCCTCCTTTCCGCCCGTCTGTGCGGGTATTTGGCGGACGAGTCCTTCGCTTCTTACTAATTTGAAGGACTGCTATACCCTTCCGCTGCATGGGGCATCTGACTCTCAACTCGCTGCGTTTAGATAGAGGGCGCAGCCTCGCAGCAGCACCAGCGAGAATCATCTCTGTAAGTAGTGGCATTGTGGATGTCCTCGTGATGAAAAAGATGACAGTGGCCCCCGCAACGCGAGGCAAATCCGAGTTCGAAGATTTGAGGACCTTCTAGAAGCTCCGGGGCTTGAGCTTGCTTCGGCTATGTAGGTCAAAATTTCAGAACCACGGCAAGAAACCAGTCTATTTCCGTACTCAAGCGCATGTTGTGAGTTGACGTATACTAAGCTTTGAATGGAGATGCAAAGTTCGACATTGATTTCGCGTTTCTCGGGTTCCAAAATTAGCGTCTACTCTGTTCCCCCAAACGACGATTTACCAAGATGCATACGTCTCCTGTAAGGAAGGGTAACGTCAGGCAGGACACATAGAGAGCTTTTCTCCAGGGCTCTGTTTCGCGATCTTATCCCCTTGCCAACTGAGGGGAGAGCAGGGTATTTCCGCGCAAGAAGGTAAGCATCAGCCACAGCTGAATTGGCGCTTCCCAGCCCCATCTACCTCCAGAACTGCAAGGAAATCAAAGCTGGACAAGATGGAAGAAATCTTAAAACGTAGTTTCGATGACTGAGTGCTGCTGTCATCCATAACGTGTCCAATAGAACCCCTGAACCCTCGAGGCTACGAAGAACGATGCACGTTTTTTTCCCAGAACCCACACTAATAAGTTAAAAGCCGAGACCGCGTTCTTGGAGTTCAGGCAGAAGCATTTTCCATGTACCCCTTTAAATTAATGACCAAAAACGGACTTTGCGCCCGCGTCTTTCATAGGGACAACAACACATTGATCTGGCTGATGGTACGCAAGCAAATGAGGCTTGCTTCTCAGCATATGAGGATGCAATGCAATAATGGAGTACGGAGTAGTTAGTGGTCAAGAGGTGACAGGTTCGGCCGGTCTGCTCGGTCGTATTCGGGGTCGGTGTTCGGCCAAGAGCAGCTTATTGAAAGCAGCATGGATTCGTTCAGTTATGCTCCTTGAGGTTGATGTTGAATATTTTTGTGCGCGGGTATTTTATTTTATTTTATATGATTTTTTCTTTTTTACTAGCGGCGGCGATTTTCGCAAATACAGTGTACGGTACGTACAGTATGTATGGTACTGTACATGTCCCGAAATATATAACGCGTACTTACCGTATTGTATTTATTACGGATAGCGGAAATATATCGCAGCTGGCAGGCACTCTTCAATGATTGCACTTCTTGCTCATTTTGAATGTGCAAGTACGGAGTGCAGTGCATTGTCCACAAAAGTGTTTCAGTCGTCGAGCTGCAGGGATACACTAAGAAAAGAGTGGCTTCTTCCCCGACCCCAAGGGAATTCACTTCCGTTCCTTTTACTAACCTCAAGATATTTAACCCCATGGGGATATATTCTTTGTATCTGAGATACTTATATTTTGTTGAGATTCACATGGTTTCTATCACCATAGATATGAAAGATTGCAACAGTTTGAGGCATCTGTTTTTCAACATGGCACCAGCTCCACTCTTCTCTTCACCTGGAGTTCAGCCGATTCAGCCTCAAGCTGTTCAGAAGCAAGTTTGAAGCATTGTGAGATTTTCAGGCTATATACTTCACCGCATCAGAGCATGCCGCAGAATGGCCGGTCCAACGGCGATGTATCGTTCACCCACCCAACAGCCGTCGCATTCAATCCAAGTGACCCCTAGGGGTAGAACATCTGCTGCATCTCGGTCCGGAAAACGAATAGCTCGAAGCGTTCCCAGGTCAATCTACTCTCACTTGGCGTTGGAGTGCCATCAGTTCCTAATCTCCAGCCAACCGTACCAATCGTCCTTCTCCATCGTCGTCATTGGATGATGTTGCCGTTCAAAGAGAACCTTACCGCGATTAAATTAACTGCGTGGAACAACCCTCAAACCTGCAATAGCAAGTTAATGGAGTTGGAAAGAAAATCGGTGGTATAGAGCCGCGTCCAGCACATCCCATTCCAGACCTGTTTCAGGGCCTGCGATGCTTCATGCTCGCAAGAGCACCCACCTCCGACCCTTGCCCATTCATGGAACATGCATAATCTACCATATTGGTATTTATATACATACCTCGTTCACAGCGGTTTATTGGTCCTGCATCTCAGAAACCGAATCTGTGATGACTTAGAGTGATTCCTTAAAAAAAAAAAAAAAAAAAAAAAAAAAAAAAAAAAAAGGGCCCTACAACTGTTATCATCCCCGACGAGGTGTCATGATATAGCTGCACGGAGCTTACAAGCTTGACAGAGTTAGTTCGCCCTGTCAAAACCTCGGCATGCATGCAAATACAGAAAAGAACAAAAGAGCCGACATTCGTGACTCAGAACTGTTCCGAGAAAAACCGAAGCTCTGTCATTTCTGGTGCCGGTCAACCGTTTGGCACGAAAAGTCGGAAACGTACATAGTACGGAGAGTACTTGAATCTTTTTTTTTGCGAGCAGTGGTGGTGGAATATAGCGCACCCATGTGATCGTCTAAGTTTGTCAAAACTACGGCACACGGCACGCGGCACACGCATGCCGAGAATAATATGGAATAATAATGATCATCTTCAAGGGACACGGATAGTTTGTAGCATATCTGGTTCATCCGGTGGGGGTGGGGCGGTGGCCTCTCTCCGCCAAGTTAATTTTGTGTTTTGCAAAGACATAAAAATAAAGGAGGAATAGGGGGGCAAAAAATTGGGAAAAAAAAAAAAAAAAAAAAAAAAAAAAAGAGTCAAGATATATAAGTAAAGCTCGCATGTGGCGCATATATTAATATTGATATCTCATAGTCTTCCTACCTCGCCCAAGGTCTACTCAGTCGAGCTCGAACAAATCCTTGTCGGTATCTAGAGCCGTCTATCAGAGCCGCACGGTGGTTGCAAAAAAAGTGCAAATCCCAAAAATGGAATTAATGCTGCACTTGTTCCTCCCTCCCGCTGTCTCTGTTACACAATACTGTTTGTTGATCGTCCGTCCTCGGGTCGGCATCCAGCGTGTGATATCCGTAAGTTAATGTAAATGAGCGAGATTCCCTACTGCCTTCGGATCGGAGACGGAAGATCGGGTGCTCAAGATCCCGATACCCGATGACAAATCCCGAGAAAGCCCCGCCCAGCCAGTCCCGTGACCAAGGAGCTGTTTTTGGCCGCTATCCTCAAGACAAAAACGGCTATGAAGCGTCTGCGTTTGATACGATACAGAAAGAAAGAGAGATCGTCGTGTCTGGGTTTCTTTGACAGCTGAATAATCCCCGCCAATCGCCTCAATTGCAACCAGTCCAAATAACTTAATCCTACGGCCTTTAACTAACCAACAGCTGCTGTCCAAGCCATCTGCTATCATGGCGTCATTGCACGGTGACCTCAGCCATCTTTTACCACTCAATTTCAAGCACACGATTACTGCTTGGCTGGAGGAAGATTGCCCCAGCTTCGACTATGGTGGGTTCGTCGTTGGAGAAGCTGAAGGTGAAGCTAAGCTATTGGGAAAGAGCAAGGTATGAAGATGCCTTTGTAGAAGTGGCTTTTTTTTTTTTTTTTTTCCATTTTGACCCGCCCACCCACCTACACCAGGAGCAGAGCAAACTGAATTGGGGGTTCAGATCATAGTGGAAATTTGATTTATCTTTTTTGTTGCAACCTGCGGTAGTAGTTGTTGCATATATGTTTTAAGACATTGATGCCGTATGCATTCGAATGCCATTCCCCTAAATGATGCCCCCAAGGTCTCAGCGCTCAGCCAGCCCCTTCAGAAGTTCTTGCTCCATGAGCAAAATGAATAAATCGACTCTTAAGGTCGAAAAGTGACCATATCTGAAGAAATATGTTCTATCCTTTTGCTCATATTGAATATCCTTGTCTTTCTAAATCGCATCTCTCGTTTGACTCTTTCTCGCATATTACTGATTGGAATTTTATACGATAAATTTTAGGGCGTAGTAGCAGGTGTGCCTTTCTTCAATGAAGTGTTCTCACAGCTAGGTTGCACGTATGAGCCACTTCCTCCATTGTTTTTATACCCTTCAAACCGATACCTATATGCAAACCTGAGGAACCCTATCTAATCACTTTTTCTTTCTGCCCTTTGGTTTACTAGCGTTGAGTGGAAGGTCAAAGAAGGCGAACCGATCGAACCGATCACAGTATGTGCTATCGTTCGTGGCCCAATGCGCAAAATCCTCCTGGGTGAGCGAGTTGCGTTGAACATCCTAGCACGATGCTCTGGAATTGCAACGAAGTAAACCCTTCCCCCAACTTCCCCTTTCACACGGCCAGGACTATGGCCTATTCACAAAGAACCAGAACTAAAAAACTACTAAGGACATCTACCCTCGTCAACATCCTCCGTTCTCACTCCTGGAACGGAATCTTAGCCGGAACCCGCAAAACGACACCCGGCTTCCGCCTCGTGGAGAAATATGGCATTCTTGTCGGCGGGGCCGACCCGCACCGCCACGACCTCAGCTCCATGACCATGCTCAAGGACAACCACATCTGGGCCTGTTACAATAAAGGCCAGGTGCAGTCCGCAACGGCAGCGTCAATAGCCCAAGCCATCCCCACCGCCGTCGAGGCTGCGCGCGCCGCAGCGGGCTTCTCCACCAAAGTCGAAGTCGAGTGTCGCAGCATTGAAGAAGCCCATGCCGCCATCTCTGCAGGTGCAAATATTATCATGCTCGATAACTTCTCCGCATCGGAGGTGGCCGGGGTAGCGAAATTGTTGAAGGATGAGTGGACGGCTAAGGGGAAACCGCGCGGTTCGTTTTTGGTCGAGGTTAGTGGTGGGTTGAATGAGCAGAACGCGGCGTCATTTGCGGCTGAGGATGTGGATATTTTATCCACTAGTAGTATTCATCAGGGGGTGGGAATCGTGGACTTTTCGTTGAAGGTTTCTTTGACGTAGTTGGGCATTGAATATGACATGCTGGAGGAGATAAGATTAGAATCTTGCGGCTTGTACACGATTACATTCTCCTTCCCAGATGTATTGCAGCACATTGTCTCTGTTTGCGTGATATCAGCGATCTAAATACGTATATATTCATAATTGTTAAAAATAAATGTAGCCGAAAGACGTACAATATACAAAGGAAAAGGCTCGCCCTTATATACTTTTATTTTCATCCAAATAGTTGATAGAAGGGATGCTCCTTTTGTGGAAGGTGTAAAGCTTGTGTGATTGAAAGGTTGCTAGCTTTGTGGGAAGTTATATGGTGGAAGGATTAGTAAGCCAGATCATGTGACCTGACATCCCCACTCACCAGAGTAACTATACACAATGCTATATACAAAATTCGCCTTCAAATCAAGTACAGGTACAAAAAATGACTGGAAAATATGAAGTAATGAAAAACCAGTCATGATATACATCATTTTTTATCCCCCTATCTCTCTATCTTCTTTATATTCTCTTTTCAACGCGTATATTTCAACATTTCAAGTGATTTAATAAGCTCATTTGCCGTGTTCTCAGCAGATGAAACATATCAGATAGATATCTCATTCTTGCAGACAAGATTCTGAAGAATGTGAAAACAGACCTCTATATGCTTCAAGCAGCATGAAATTGCTTTGAAAGAGAATAGCTCTATGACAGACTTATTATCAGCATGAATTGTATAAGCCAGTTCATTGACTGTGATGAGAATGAGATGATCATTAGTATTCAGATTATTGAAGTGAGATGAGATGAATTCAGCATCTTCTAGAAGCTCTCAGAGACAGATAAGCTTATATGCAGTCTCAGAGAATGCAATATATTCAGTCTCTGTTGATGACTTGAAGACTTCTGTTTATCAGCAGCTCTGTCATGCAACAGAATCACCTGTCATGTAGATGATATAATCAGTGATTGAATGAAATTCTGAATTTCTATCAGCTTAATTGATATCTGCATATGCTACAGATTCAATTTCAGCACTTCTGTGATAAATTATACTCTCATTGATTGAACTCTGTAGATATCAGAGTGTATACTTGTACATAGCTCAGTTCTTTAATGTAGATCAGAAGCTGAATCATTCAAGAAATTCTGCAGTGAAGCTCATATCAGAATGTGTATTAAATGTCAGATATTACAGAGATCTGATACTGAATTAATAGAATCATAGAATAAATTCTGCTATGTATGCAATCAGTTTCTTATCATTATTCATGAAATCAATATTCTTCTTCATAGAAGTGAATGTAGAATAACAGTCATTTATTGAGAACTTCTTCAGAAGATTTCTTATAAAGAGGAATTGAAACAATATCAATGAAGTTGAATCTCTATCAATCTTCATTTCTAGATAGCAGTTGAAATTCTCTACATTCTTGATCTTATAATTAGCAGTGATTTTGACTTTGACTCAGTTCAGATCTTTGATTTTCAGACTGTAAAGACAGATATTATTTATATAGATAATTATATAGACCTGTCTTCTATCATGAATAAATAGTTCAGCATCATAGAGACTGACATAGAAGTCTGAGTATAATAGCATCTTTCACAGCTCTTCATATCATAAGAGTGCTGCTTGCTTAAGACTGTAGAGTCTCTGTATCAACTCACACACAAGATTATTACAGTTTTCATGAAATTCTGTGAGTTAATTCATATATATCTGTTCATTAGCAGATAGTTGAGTATTTAAAAATGCAGTCATTATATCAATCTGCAGAACATATCATTCTCAGAATACTGAGATCATCATAAGAGCTTATGAGATGAATATAGAGATAACAGATGTAAAGATTCTTGAGTAATTAACTCTCTTCTGTTGAAGATTTTCACAGACAACTCAGCAGGTCTTATAGCAGATAATATTACTTATATTATTAAACTTTTTATCAAATACTCATTGACTGTGAAGAACACTTATTTATAATATTCTCTCAATCAGTTATCAGATCTCTATCTATTTCAAATAGTTGATCTCTTTAACACAGGTCTTATAATAATACTTTCATTTCATGAAAGCTTTGACATGTGTGAGGTTTTTCAGAATTGAAAGTATAGCAATCTCAGAATCAGTGAGTAGATCTTCAAGACTGTCTCTTACTGAAGCTTTTCTCACTGTAGTGATATTTCTTATAGATGTCAGAGAATCATCTGATTCAACTGTGAATTCTGAGAAGTTCAGTGTATTCTGCACTAAAAAGATAGATATTCTTATGAAGATATTATAGTCAATTCATCAATTATTAGTGAGTATAAGAAATAATGAATACTCAGGTTGAATTTTCTCATCAATGAATAGATTATCAATTGATGAATCAGAAATCACTGCAGTCTCTTAACAGACTGTAGTGAGTAGATCTGATATCACTAAAGAAATCATCACAGCTGCTTTACAGACTGTGTTGAGTAGAATCTTCAGATTGTGTGTTATTGATATTGATGAATTGACAAGATGAAGGTTCTTCTGAAAGATGATATCTTTTAATATGTATAAACATCTGTTAAAGAGGTTCATTAATCTATAATTAATAAAATCATCATAACTTACAAAAATCAACTCTTTGAAATGAGAAGCTATCTTATTGATGAGCTTGAGAACTATCTTCAAGAATGTTTTGCAATCTCATCAGCAAATGCTGTGTGCAGAAGATAGAGCTTCAAGTCAGATCTCATACAGTGTAATCAGCTTTGTATTTTCAGAGTTCTTATACAATATTGTTGAGATTGATATAAGATTAAGCAGCTCTGTAACTGTAATAACTGTCTCACTTCACATCTTTTCTGAAGCTGAAGAGTCTATTAATAGTGATCAGAACTTCTTAATAATTAAACTGATTAATTATTCAGATACTTTATCTTACTGTAAAGTATGAGAAGAAGTCAGCTCTCATTTTATATCTTCACTGAGCATGTATGCTGTGACTGCATTTGAATTCAATTCTTCATAATCTGAGTGAATGATTGTAATACCATATCTCAGCAGATTCTTGATAAATTGATTGAAGATTTATAGATATCTCAACATCTTATCTTTGCATTTCAATAGAAATATTCATCTTATACAGATAACATTATCTGTTATCATCATTGCAAGCTTCTTACTAATGTAAGATAATATATTATTCTCAGTTTCAAGAGTCTCACTATCACTGAATATATTCACTCAAATCTTCAAGGCCTTGCAGGTGACATGATGTGGTGTGAAATTCTTGTAGAAAGCATGTTTCTGTTTAGACTTAACACATGTAACACAGAATGATAATTTCTTCAGACTGATAATAATAATATCAAATCACAGATCTCTGATCATTTTTAATATACTATTTTCACTGATATAATCAAGTCAATGATGTTACTCATCTATTGAAAGCTGTTTTAGAAGAACTGCAGATAATCAAGATAAAGATAAGATAATAAAGAAATCAGTATCTGAATTCTTAGAGTTGATTAACTGTTCAATCTTCTTACAGCTGAAAGACTTCAAAGATTCAGTATTTAGATTGTAATCTGTTGAGATTGTCTTTGATTTCAGAACAGTCATATATATCACTACTTTATATATTGAGTTATTTATTATCTCATAAAATGTTGATGAGCTGTTGAATAGAATGTAAATATTATTGTGAGACAGATTGATGTAGAAGATATCACTGTTAATAGATGATAGAAACTCAAAGTAGTTCTCAGCATTAACTTGCATATTACAGTAGATATAGCTCTGATGTTTCATCAGCTCAGCAGAGATCAGATTTGCAGATAGCTCTGATATGTAGTATACATGATTGAATTCTATCAATCTTTCACTCACTGAGATGAATACAGTGCTGACACTCTGAATCTTTATAATGACCTTGTTAATCACTTGAACTGTTAAATCATTGATTGCTATAAGTTCTGAAAATCATAATCTATCACTTGCTATGTGACATTCAGCATCACTATCTCATATAATAAGAGAATTCTTATAAGGTTTCATAAAACAGGCTGATACATTGATAATCTCTACAAGGTTTGTCATCTGATAGGTGTCTGATTCATCTGTAATAAATAGTTGAGTTCTATTCTCATTATTATTCTTTTTCTTCTTTTTCTTGAATTTCTTTATTCTTGCAGTATTATTTATTCTTCAATTATTCAGAGCACTGTCTGAATTGATCAATTAACAGATATCAAAGTGAGATCTCTTATAATTAGAATATGTAGATGAATTTTCTGATATCTGATAATTTCAGAAGCTCTCTTGTATACTGTTACAATCACATTCAGTACAGTCTTCACAGGCTGAATTCAATGTATTATTATTCAAATTAATAGATGTAGTGATTGTTGTATCTGTTATAGCTGTTATAGCTGTGTTGATCACAGAATCTATATTCTACAGATTCTTTTTATCTTTTGAAGAATTAAGCTGTGAACAGATCTTCTTTATGAGAAGATCAATATTCAATATCACAGCTGTGAATTTGAAATCCTGTATCTTCTCTATCTTCTTCTGAACATAATTTCTTTAATTGTTGAGTAGAACTGAGTAGAAGATATCAAATATTTATACATCTGAGAGAGAAGTATTTAACATCTTCAATTTTATAATAGTGAATCAGAACTTATCAAAGAATGTGTGTAGATTGATGATCTGTGTGTCATTAAGAGATATGAATTTCAGAACTGTCTCATAATATAACTGTGTTTTAAGAACAGAGTATTTCTGTTCAATCACATTTCATAGAGTATAAGTAATTCAATTTTCATTATATTTGAAGAAATGTAGTCTGACACCTGCACTCAAGAAGTTTAAGATGAATGTGTAGAGTCACTGATTTCTGATGTCTCAGAATGATGCTTATTTATTATCTCTTTATAGAGAATTCTGAATCTGTTGTTTCTCTATTATATATTAACACTGTGTATCAATCAGTTTCAATTTCATGAAGATGCTTTATATAATGTAATTAAATGTATCAGTTAGACTGTTTAATCTCACAGTATTCTTAATATCTTTCTTGAATTAAGAGATTATCTTATCAACACAGCTATTCAGTTTATAAAGATTGAATTTCAATCTTTCACTGAGATTAGAATTTCATATAACTGTTAATATAATGATAGAATAATTGTTAACATTCTGAGATCAATCTGTAGAGAATCTCTGTTAACAGAGTTTTTTCAGTTATAGTTCAAGTTCTAAGACTCTTTACTTTTTCTTATTCATCTCAAGTATTATCTTGAGATGTTTCATCTGTTGATCTGATATTGCCTCATCTGAACTGTTGAATTTATAAGAATCAGCTTTATCAAGCTATTAAATAGATCAGAAGGCCGGCCTGACTATGTCAAAAGCTGTATTTAAATCAGCTTCAAATCAAGAGAGTGTTACAGAGTGTTTTTTAATGAAGCTTTCAAAGACTTCAGAAGAATGTTCACTGATAGAGTATAAGTGTGAAGAATTATCATTATCAACTGCAACTGATTCAGTGAAAAGAATATGAGATTACAAATATATATATAAGTGTGATTGTATTGAATTCATTATCTTAATATTTGTTTATTGAATTCTTGCTAATATCATTCTCTTTTTTTCTTACTTTTTTGCAAATGTAATGTGTTTTCTGCAAGCCTCTTTTTTAAGTGAGCAGTAGTATTATTGATTATCAAGATCTCAAACACATCAATACTGATAGAATAAGATGATTTTAACTTCTGAAGAGTGTATTGAATGAAGCAGTAGTTCAAATAATGATTATATTGACAAGGAATCCCGAATTGGCAGTGATTTTGCACAAAACAGGTCTCATAACCTGTGGAAGGTGTAAAGCTTGTGTGATTGAAAGGTTGCTAGCTTTGTGGGAAGTTATATGGTGGAAGGATTAGTAAGCCAGATCACGTGACCTGACACCTTTTGCATTCTAAACGAGAGGTCCAAAAAAACTGCGAAGAGATGCAAAGAGAAACATAGAAAAGGGTCGGACGTCAAGTAATGGAAATAGAAGGCAAAAAAGTATATAAAGCAAAAAAGGAACTTATACCCCGGAAATATATAACGAATGAGAATAGAAACTTTGAAAACATGGTTAATTGGGGGGGAAAAGAAAGAAGAAGAAAAGAAAGACAAAAAGGGAACGTGATATGAACATGACAGAGAGAGGAGTGGGGTTCCTTCCATGGACACCAGCGAGGGCGGTAGATGCAGGGGCGCCCGAATTAGCAAGCACTCCGGACTGGCAATCAGGGAAATAAGAAAAGACTTAGGAGCATTAAGCTCGCAAGAACAAATGAAATATAGCAGGTCTTCGCTCGCCAGAGCTTAAACGACAATGAAAGAAAACAAGTAAATCGGATCGTATAGAGAGCGTGCGGACTGGCCGACAAAATAGATCGGCGCCATTAAGGGAATATACCGAACATCGAGGACAAGGGGAATAACAATGAATCATGAACATGCAGTCAGCGCCCAAAAACCGTAGGTAAAAATTGAAGAGGTGATGACGATAGAATACTAAAAATATAACGTAGTAAAATATGCACAAATAAAACGAAAGGGGTGTAAACAAGCGGAATCTGCGAATGGTTGAAACGGGCCTGTGAGAGTCGGCGCGGTTGCCAGGTCAAACCTGGGTTGATACAACCAATTCGCTGGGAATATTCGATATATGTAGGCAGTAGATGATGAAAATAGTTCACTAATTTCGGCAGAAAAGCCACGTCCACCAAATTTTCTTCGACCCTCCAGGCTCATATCTGTCGTTCATATGGCCTTGGGTTTTCATTACTACGACGCCATCATCTCCTTCCTCCCTAGGCTGCGGGGGGTCGTTTGGATCAGGATTTGCCGCTTCAGATATACTCTTTTCGCGGTGGTCAGTGGATGGTGGTGACTTGTGGCTTTGGTCCACGGTATCCCGGGACTTCATGCTCCGGATACGTTTGGAGATTGCGCTCCCCAGGCCCTGCCACTGGTTTGGTTTCTGCAAGGAGCTTTCAGTTGTTTCATTATTGTTATTGTCCGTAATTTCCCTCTCTTTAGCTGTGAGGGCTGGAGTCCTTGAGTGCGAATCGGTCTGCGATGATAAAATAAGGTCAGGAGAAAATAAGCTCTGGGGTAGAGAATGAGCTGCAAGAGAGGAATGACCAGGTGTTCGTGGTCGAACGGGAAATTGTTGGAGATGATGGCGACGCCGCGCTTCGATGACGCGACGAACGATTACTAGGAGCAAGTTAGTCTCAGCCGGCATAGCCATAGGGGCACGGGCGCAATATATATATATATATATACATAATTAAACACTGTCTAACTTTGCTGATCCGATACATGCAAGATCCACTTCCCAGGGGCATTTTTGGAAGAACAGAACTTACAAGCAAATGTCTCCTCGATATTTACCATTTCCCTTGCGCTTGTTTCCATAAAGCCACAACCTCTTCTCCTAGCATATTCCAATCCCTGTCTTGCGCTCACCACCCTTGCGTCTTTCAGGTCGCATTTGTTTCCAGCCATGATCCTCACCGGTGGAGCCATGCCAACAGCAACCAGCTCTCCTGGATGACGCAAGTGGCCCATTTCTTTCATCAATCGCGCATTAGTTTCCAATCGTTGCTCTGCCTCAATGTCAATCATGTCCATGAAGTAGTCTAAAGCCTCCAATGTAGGCGCGTTTGTGATATCGTAGACGAGGAGGAATGCATCGGACTTAAGATTTGAGGAAGCCCAGAGACCACGATATTCCTCTTGGCCAGCCGTATCGGTTAAGGCAAGAAAATATGGCACACCGTCAACAGTCCGGGTGACGGAATATGAATCCTCTAGTACCACGAGCATGTATAAGCATGCTGTAAAGAAGAAATATCTTGTCTTTTGTATTGGTTTCCCTGATCACTTTTGGGCGCGAATCAAAAGAGAGAAATACGCGGTGGGTAGGAGGGATTGATGCATACCAATTGTAGGATCATATCTAAGTTGCTCCAACAGGGTTAGTGGTCATCCTCTAGCACTCAGACTAAATGCAATAATTGGGAATATAAACTCACTCATGCGTCCATTGGCTGCGCACCAATCGCAGCGTGATAGATGACTTTCCTATATCCCGGAACCAAAAAAAGCATTTAGCAATCAACCCCTAACTTATTCGCGACATTTTTCCTATCCCAACAAAAAGAATAACTTTTGATAAAGACCAAGGTCCCGATTCTTCGCCAGACTTTGACCATTTCGGGAAAGGGAAAGGAACCAATTGAGAATTCGAGAAGTAATAGTTTCGCAATTATATTGGGGTATGCAACATACCGCATCCACCATCGCCACAGATCGTAATGGACACCGTCTCCGCCATTGGTTTGCAGAACAGAAACAGAGCAAAACTGAATCTGTGGTTCGCAAACACGGACGACGGCGTCCCCCACACTCCTCGTCACCCACGCAATTCGCGATGTTTTGCAGGTTTCGGGAGCGAAGATATGTCGGATGGAGCGTTTAATAATCGACCTGCTCAATGCAGGAACCCAACGCGACGGTAATTGGCGCAGCGCAGGGTATGACAGGCCACGAATGTTACGTTTAAGTGGGCTAGAGTCTAGACTGGAGTGGAGGTTCTGTCTGGGGTAAACTCAGAACAGCTCAAAGCGGGTATGTATGGTTCATCCAGGCGCAAGTGGAGAGGATTAACAGTAAAAATGAATCATAGCATAAATTTTGAGAAAATAACAGGAGGACTCACATCAGGAATAAAATAACCTCCACGTCCTTGAGCCATAGTAGCTTGGCCAGGTTTTTGTTGGCGTTTGTTCCTTTGCAGAGGTTAAACTCATCACCAACAGGGTTGGCGCGCTTTGCCGTTTGTGGCAATTCGCGATCCTCCCGCGTTTCAATTATTATAGACTTGCACATCCCACATCACATCTACGTGTACCGCTTCTAACAGTTTGCTCCCTTGGAGGTGTGCTCCATCCTGCCTCTGGTGTTCCGAATCTACTGATGAATATCCGGCTGAGAGCGAACTTATATCGGTTGCGAGACTGGCAGGACACACGCTTATTATACCTACGACTGCCTCCATCCTTACGCTTATATAGAAGAATAAATAAAAGGTTTCTCAGACGGTTTCCTGAGTACCGACTTTTTTCAGGGTTTATTTCATTTTATTTTATTTTATGTAACTTTCTTGCCACGCGCATATTGATCCCATGAATCCTGAAACCCACACAGAGCATCATCTTCGGATGCTCTCAAACAACCCCCGGGGAAGTTGTGGCGAAACAGCAAGTAGCTCTGCCGCGTACTGAGTTCCAAGCCAATAGAATACCTATACATATTGCTAAATTCTCATACAGCCACCTATTGCTATACGCTAGGTCATCCTTGTGTCTCCCATCTGGATATGAAGAAACAGTCCACGCCTGCGCAGACATCCGAATGCCGTGGAACAAACCAAACATGGCGAACGCGCAAGGTTGATTCCTTTTTTCTTCTTCTTCTTCTAGCGGCAAACACAATGCCTGCAAGAAGCCGAACGGACTGGCATTTGCTCTTGATTTGATTGAATACCTTAAATCGGTCCCGCCGGGGGGGTGATCTCGACGATCGTCGCCCGCTTGTAGAAAAGAAAGAAAGCTATTTGCTAACCTTATGATATATAGACGCTTTCCCTACCTTGTTGGTTTCTAGCTTTTCTATCTGAGCTGAAGGGATTTAGCGACCTGACCATTACAACTCTCGCATTCGGGGAAATTTCGGTCCACGCAGCCTATTGCTACTTGCTCTTGCAATGCATCTAGTAACCTTTGTATATCAGCTCGTCCCGAATAGGAAATCAAAAGTTCCAGGTCCAGTATGTTCCCGGCTCTCCATAACGATCCAGAGATAAGATTATCTGCTCCTTGTTAGACGATAGGACCTGCGAGGCGTCCCGGTAAACTGGAAATTTTATTACAGAAATAGATGCTAGGAAATAAATGCACAAGGAGGTACGGAAGAGACAGTGAAAATAGGAAGGTAATAAAAGGGGGACAAGAGACGAATGTATATGTATATACATGTACATACATACAAAATCAAACTCTGGGACGGATACGAAGGCCACTGAAGATACCATATTCCACATGGAAACCGTTTAGTCTGTCATTATGTAGCAACGTTGACACCTCATCTCCTAATCCTATCATATGGGTACTCTCATAATGTGTATATACTCCGCATATTCAGCTTTTTAACAGCCAACATCTCAGCTTGAATTGAGTTTTTATTAATTTCAACTTTCAGTCTCTTCAATCGTGCTTGTGCTTTCATTTTAATCATTATCTGTATTATAGTGGTTCCTCATGATCTACATAGCCCAGAGCAAAGTATCCCGTCACACATTAATCATGTCTTATAGTCATCCCAAACGCTATCATGTTATCGTTCATTAGTTAACAAATGAAAAAAGGGTAAAAGAAAGAGAAGCGAAGCGAAAAGAGAAGAATAGAACAGGAAAGGACAGAAGACCAGATATACGAAGAATTGAAGATGAAATTCATTATCCCCCTGGTACGCCTGACTCATTTGTCGACGTATCAGACAGCTTTCGACGCCTCGACAGGTTTTGTTCCACGCAAAGAAGATTTCCGTGGCATTGTGGTTATTCGACCATTCTTGAACTGAAAATATTAGCATTTATCTTCAATATTCGTGTGGTAAGTTCACGATGCATATCACAAGATATAGCTGGCATCTTAACAAATCACATATAACGACACTGGTTACCGTACTCACCTGCTTAGCCCACCTCAATCCGCAGCTATTACACAAATCCCGATTTCCACTTGGGCCCTTCCTCCACTCTGGCGTTGTCTTGGTATGGCATTGTGAACAGTCCTTCTCCGGCACCTCCACATCCCTTTTCCGCTTCCGCCTCCTTTTCAAAGTGGTTAAATAGTGCAACTCCTCGACGAGCAGCCTGTTGCGTCTTTTTAAATGATCTAGCTCCGTGCGCCAGTTTGTGGCGCGGGTCGGGTTTAGTTCCTCGAAGATGTTGCAGCTCTCTCTGATTGCTTTTCCCGCCGTCTCGTGTTCCCACTGTCTACATAGAAGGGAATGGTCAGGGATGTGTCCATTGTGTGTTGCGATATTGGTTAGTTCCGGTTTAAGATATGGACGCATGGTTGTATGTTGCCTTGTGTAGATGGAGGAGGACTGGGAGGTCGTGATATTTCGATTCCCGTGGTTGGGGCGAGTCAAGGCTGGAGAGGGGCGCGGGTGTGAATCTGACGCAATGGATGGCCGCATCGTTGTATTACTGTTGAGCTTCTTCCGTGTCCTCGTCGTCGTCGCATTCGCCTGGAAACTGAATATAGGCCTCCCCAATTTTAGAAGCCGAATTTGAAGAATCAAAAACGTAGGCTTCGAACTTCCGCAAGGAGTTTCACCAGGGTATATCGTGCTCTGGGCTTGTAGCAAGTGGCCTCGACGATGTTGTAATTCATGTTTACAGGTGACTCGTTTCCCACTGCGTGCAATGCCCAATGCATTCTCAAATTCTGCTCGTGAGTCGTCGCTCAGCAGATTCTGGACCCTCTCTCCCACCAAGCCTTCAGAACGCCTATCTAGGAAAGCACTGCCACTGGACGAAATAAAAAGTAAAATTCCTGAAGGTGAGATCTTTGCCCAGATCTCGCCATCGTTGATTCCACCGTTCTTCATCAGCTCGTCTCGGGACATGGCGAAAACCACCCGCAGTTTTCCAAGAAAAGCTATGTGTTTTTGGTTTCGCGTGGACTCGATGTAGACAGATCCCAGGCTTTCGAACCATGTATAGCCGCTCTTTTTCCTTCGAATACGAAAGAGAAGATTGACGACAGAACCGGGCTCACGGTCCCTAAGCTCCCTTATCACAGCAACAACGTCACTAGGATGGCAAATTGAGGAGAGCGTCGAACCATTTAGTTCCTTGGATTCGTATTCTAGAATAGCAGATGTTGAAGGCGTGATGTATATAAATACCCCAGTTGTTGACATTATGTGGAATAGGAACTCCGAACTTCCCAAAATCGCTTCATCCAAGGAGGTTCCTAAAGGAACAGGACTTTGGCCATTAGCTCTATCGGTAGTGGTATTGCTGTGGTTTTGATATTTAAAGGGCGGGTATTTATTTTGCGAACTGGTCATGCCTCCCGGATCGTATATATTTGGTGAAAGTTCCAATCTTCGGTAGTTAACTATATACGAGCCATCTGGCAGATGGATGTTAGGAATGTAGAATGGGGGATAGGAACAAAATTCACTTGGTAAGGCAACTTACCACAATTTTTTCCCGTAACTGCCTGGGGAGAATCTACCAGATCCAGCTGAAACCCGACACAAAAATTATACTCATCCGAAAACCACCGGATCGGGACCACGGAAAGCAGATTCAGAAACGGTTGGCCTCCTTTTCGATAGTTGACCAGGCACTCTTGGACCTCGGATCTAGCATTTATTTTGCGTTTCAAGTGACGGATGGTCCTATCATCGACGGATCTACGCCTCAAAGCAGGTTCGATGATCCCTGTTGGTTCCTGAAGTAAACGACAGTCACGCCCGACTGATTCCTCGAGTGAATAGCCAGTCAATCGGCTGAATGCATCAGAAATATACATAATAGGACAATCATTGGCTGTAATTCGACATATAACAAAAGCGCAGGACATGTCAATGGGCCCAAGGTTGATTTCAGGGTTTGGTCGGGTTGCTATATAGTTCTGCTGGCAAGTACGATTAGCAACAAACCAGGTATTGGTAACACACAATGGGTACGATGACCTACTAAAGTATCTATAGCGCTCGGTTCCCTCGCAGGGTAATTAGTTGAGTATTGGTACGTGACGTTTTCAGGGAGTGGTGCTGGCAGAATACTGGAGCCATCCTGATCCTCGATTGTAAAGGCAATGTCAGGACATACTTTTAAGTCGGATACAATCCTCCCGCCAGGGTTGTTAAAATCATTTGGTATATTTGAACGGGACATCCATATGGAGTCCTGGGGTGGTACCATGTCTGGATGCTTCATCGGTTCGGGTGCACTGAATCCGTTACTAGACTGTAGGATGGGTCTATTTTGTTCGTGAGGATAATAAGGCGGTTGCGGGTTCTTGATATTCTTGCTGGGATCGGGCTGTAACAACCTTTGAGATCGGTACGGAGGTCTGTTGTGAGGTAAGTTGCGGCACCATCGCAGTTCTCTTTGCTGAAATGCCTCGGTCAACGATTTTGAATCAACCATATGAGAGTGGCTAGGGGTTATGGCCGGAAAACCTCCTGTGGCTAATGAAGGCAAGCCCAGGAAGCGGGAAACGCTTGGGTCAGGAAAAGAAAGGGCCGCTGCGTCAGGATATCCAAAGTAGTTACAAGGGTCCTCTGACGAAGGAGTTATACCGGATATGGTAGAGGCGGCGTTCGCGAGCGGATAGAAGGTAGGAGAGGTGCTGTAGAACTGAGGTGCGCCGTTTACCCGAAACCCGCCCATAATATGAGTAGAAGCATGGGATGAATCCAGATGTGTTGCAGAATCACCTGCTGATGCCTGAAAACACTCAAGTTGCATTGGCGGCGCAAATTTTCCGTATTCGAGGGGTGCTGAAGCTGCGATTTCTAACGTCACATTCTGCGGCGTCTCGTAATTCAAAGGCTGTATTGAATTTTCTCTATGCAGACCTTGACTTCTGCTTTCAATTGCGTCTCCCTCCTCCACTGATTGAGCCCTCTCAAAGTTCCAATTCCTCGTGAGATCTGCCGCATTGGAATGTAGACCTGAGAGGGAGTTATCGGTATATTGCTTCGAATAATTGACGTGCTTTTCCGAATGGTCATAGTTAGGCTGCGACCCTTCACTCTGGTCCATTGCGCCAGCGCCGATATGAGGAATCTCGTAGGGTAACCGTGTAGATGCATAAGCGGATGACATGCCGCAATCCTACCAATCCGCCGGACATACCAACTACCAGCTCCAAACGCTCAAGGCCGTTAAGGAAAATTGGCCCTATCAATTCCCAGTCCCCGCGGCAATAGGTCTAATCTGAAGATACGACTGTTAACAGAAGTTCAACGCCCATTCCTTCTCATAGACCAGGAGGTCGATCTATGATAAATTTCATTCCAAGGGAAACAGGGCTTGAAGGCAAGAAAGTGTTCCTTTCTCTGCTGCAAACCTTGGACGAGAGAGAGGCACGCAGGCGGTACTGCGATATAGACATTGAAATCTAGTAAATTGCGCAAAATGAAACATATGCCAATTATGAAAGCAAAAATACTATAAATACGATAGTGAGACATCATTTGCGAGGTTTTGAAATATAAGAGATGAACCTTCAAGCCACGCTGTTGTCACGAAAAGCGGCGCAGGGTCTGAATCCCAACAGGTATAAGATAGTTCCACAAAAGGAAGAAGAAGAGATATAGTGTGTATGGATTTCTAGCAGCCACAGTACCCAGCAACACGGGTCTAAAGGGGATTGTCGGGGGCCGAGTCAGTCATGTGCAGGAGTTCTGAAAGAGAGAATGAAAGCCATCAATTGCTAGCTGTCATGGTAGCGTTAAACAAATGTAGATCATGCCGCTGTGCGCTTACCCATTGATTCTGCAGCAGCAACTACTTCTGACGGATGCAATCCAACCCTCGACGTCTTGCCGTCGTGACCATGTTGAGCTGGCGTGGTGGAGGTCATACCTGCGGGATGTCCTATGCCTGAAGCACCCCGCAAGGACGGCGAAAGCTCGACGACAGGTGCGTGTCATTGCGCTGTATCTGTCGTCGCCTCATGAATTATTCAGGTTGTGCACGAGCTCAACTGGGTGTGTCAGATGCTGAGGTTACACAATATGGCACATACTAGTTTCGAGCCCTCAAACTTACACAGGATGGGGGACGGAAGAAAGGGGCCGTCTTAAGATTCTTGAACAGAAAGGAGGGTGAGAAACACGTCAAGCAGCAGCGCACAGCTTGCGATAATAACTGACAGGATAGACCCAAAGGAAAGAAAAGCTTGTTATGTAGCGCCTATGCAGCAACGCATCCCTAGCCGCAATGTGCACTCCTCAACCAAGCAAATTAACACCCCAGCATATAGTTCCGTCGAAGCAACAAGCTCCGAAGCTTTGGCTCTGCGAGATACTGCTTTTTTAAGCTGCGGAGATCGAATGCAAAGATCATCCCTCTTCCGAAGTCATGTCATTCCACAGCAATCTGAATTTTTCAAAAACATTTTGGGACACAAAGTGTAATGATTTCTTGGCATTTTGGATAATATTCTCCGAAGTGCAACAACATCAGGGCCTTGGTGTACGGAGAAATTGCTAGTTTGAGTTGACCATGCTTTACGATCAAGACCAAAGGAAAAACGGGTACACAAAGGGTCTTCCTCTGTGTAGCACCACACCCGCAGGAATGGGTGGAATAGTAAAAGTTCGACTTCTGGAGCTGTCCTGAAGGAGATGGAAAAGGGTTGGATGGAAACAAAGATTGGCTCCTAAGCGTTGTTGGCAGGTTGCGTCTTGCGTCTTGCGTCTTGCTGCTGCATATAACTAGCGAGTAAGAAAAAAGGCCCAAAGACATTGTGGCGTTGACAGGGTGGCCCACTGCAGCGATCAACTCGATGAATTTGTCCGAGTGTCGTCGCAACCGTGCGGACTTGAGCTCTTGTTTCTCAGCTCCGGATACTGCGATTTGCTTGAGCACTGCTTAATCTGGACTGCCGTAGGTAGTAGATCGGAATTCAACTGCCAACCCGCATTGTTGGCTCTGTTCCAAGGTTTTTGTATCGATGCAGGAAGCAAACAATGCCTCTAGGGCGGTGGGGCCATATCCACATAGGGAATGAAAGCTATCCCTCGCAATTGGATCTCCATTGATTGACGAGGAAGCTTTATTACAATCTCTCCTCAATGGGACGTGCAGCCCAGCATTGAACATCGCCAGAATAAGTATCGCTTCGAGAACGACTCCATTCCTTTCAGGAGGAGGTAACTCTGAGGCAGAGAGGATATTCGTCTTGATTGACGTGTTTCCCTCCGCAGTTTTGCAGTTTGCAGAGGCAAAGAGAGAATGGAAAATCCAACCACATGTTTGCCTCTAGGATTGTCGGCTTGGAGATAAGTTAAATTCCTGACATTCGGCGTAAGCACAGGTTTAATAATAATAATAATAATAACAAAATGGGTTTTGACCATAAGCATAAGTCAGTATACGCTGCGTAGGAGCAGTTTCCAGCCATCAAAGAAGAGTGCGAATTAGTTATGTGTTAGAGACACACAGTAGCCACACCTTGGAAATCTAGCTCTCGTCACTCATTTACTGTCAGAACCGCATATTCAACAAGGAAAAAGCTCTTCTTACCTCTCCGGTTTTGATATCCGACGACACAAACGACCCTCCTTGTAATCTGTAACTAACTGCCAACTACACTGCAAAAATAGAATTTTTATTTAAAATAAATAATAATAATGATAATAATAATAATAATATAATAATAGTATATATGACCCCGAAAAAAGAACATCAGCTGTGTTCACTTCACTCACTTTCGGCCCTTATCATCGCTCAGCCTCATTTTCCACGCCCTTAGTCGAGCGAAAGCAAGCCGACACGAGAAACCCCCCCTAGTCGCCCCTCAAGGAGCCACTCTACATGTAATGATTTACACACCGTAAACGTACATGGCGTTTGGGGGATATACTACTCTTCAGAGAAGGACTGGTTGAGAGAAAATAATGGGGGTGGTGAGCATGGAAGAGAGTGAATGCCCCCTTTCTATCATTGATTGATACAAATACACACATATATACACTTGTATCCTGTTTTCCTTTTTTGTTTTCCTGGCTGAACAACTTGCACAAGTGAACTGAAATATTATAATATTTCTTTGCTTCTATCATTAGAGGACCAGGGGGGTATATTAAAATAACAATCACGAAGTCAAGAAAGTCAAAAGTATCCACAAACAAAAAACAAAAAACAAAACAGCCAGCGCGTGAACAAACCAGGATTTGAAAAACAGGTACAAATGTAATATATGCAGAAAGGTATCTTCTATGTATGGTTCAAGCAATACAAAAGAGTATTCACACAAAACTAGTATGAGAAGGTTAAGAGAGCCAGATAACACACAGCAGGATACGGCGAATAGAAGTTGTGACCGGAGCCGTGAGGTACCATATATTACACGGAAATGGAGACATAACACGGAGACGGGCGGCAAGCAATCATATCGCTACCAATCACGCCTGACGGATTTGATAGTTTAGAATCCAGTGGAGAACGGACGGAAGAGGAGACCATCATCCTTGTGTTTCGAAGGCTTCGGGGTCGATCCAGGAATACATGCTCCTCCACGGAAGGCTCTATCGGCGGCAGCAATCCACAGCTTGGTCATATCAAGGACCATATCGCGCGTCTGCCAGATCCGGCAACCGGCGGCCTCGTAGACGAACTGGAGGGGAACTCGCTTCTCGTCCTTGGGATCAACAGCGTTGCGGTAATTGACGCGGGCACCCTGGCCATCTTGCACAGTTCGGGCCAAGATATATTTCCCGGTTCGGTAAATTTCGCCCAAATCAGAACTCGCCCATTTGCGCCTTTCCTGGGGATAGGCGTAGAGCTCAAAGACCATTGAAATCGTCTCGTAGATTCGCTGGTAGGTAAGGACTTGAGCGCCTTTAACACCACCAACAGCTTGCATAGGTCCCTCGCGGGGACGTCCGCCAACAGCAATGGTTCTAACGCCAGCCCTCTGCATCAGGTTGGCGAATAGGGCGCAGGTTGATCCACAAGTGCCATCAGTGAGGAGGACCATGTCATCCGGTTTGAAAACTTCCCTACCCGCGTTGGCGCGGTCCAAATAACCAGTTACAACAATTCCACCTGACCCTCTTCGGCTAGTGTCTTCGTTGTTCATGTCCCAGCGTGCCGGATGGCTGAATTTATACCCACCCTCCACTTCGTCAGGGCCGTAAAAATCATCCCAGGATTCAAACTTTTTGTTTTCAATATCAACGTAGGAATCAAGGTCGTAAATGCCATCCCTCTCATTCCTGTCGCCGGAGGTCTCCTTCCCGTCGTTGAGCATGGCTTGGACCTTGGTTCCAATGATGTCAAGCTGTTCGTGAGCGCGGATATTAAACGCATCGTCTATTTTGCCGTTTGGAATGAGCTAGAAAGAATAGGTCAGTTATATATCCTAGAATGCACCCCAAAGACCAGAATTATTGCTAACGTACCTGTTTGAACATATCATAGCCCAGTAGAATCGTTCCACCTCCGTTGCCGGTAACGTCAACAATCAGCTTCTTCTTTCCCGCCTTCTTGCATTCAGACAGGAACTTTTCAATAGTATCTTGGAATGCAATACTTCCGCTGGCACCTTGTCCTTCGAAGGAAGAGGCGGACAAAACAGCGACGTCGCCGTATTCGCCGTCAAGGAAGTAGCCTGCAAGATCCCCACCCGCCTTATCGACAACTGGATCGGGATAAAGGGGTCGCGGGTTTTCGGAAGCGCGGGGCGCCACTTCCGGGGTGATGGGGGCGGCCTTCCAAGTATCTTCTCTCTTCGACTTTTTGAATGGCAGTCCAAGTTTAGAGCTGCAGAATTTCTTGTAGAAGCTCTCTCCATCCACGACATCGGTAAACGGAACGGTAAACGATGCCCTGTTCTCATACTCGGTGACAGTGCCATTTTCGAATTTGAAGGTGACAGTGGGCCCTGTGTAGACGCCAGATTGGCCATAGAATCCGCCATATCCTCCATTGGTATCGGTTGGGATGTTCCAGAAAAGATCATTGTAGAGCGCGTCAGGATCTTGGGTTGAGCCCTCGAGGGACAGTTTTTTCAGCCATTCAACAGCATCTTGGCCATCGATCTCTTTAATCGGAGAAGGAGTGAATTTGGGATCAGTAGTGTTGAGGTCGACTGGATTAAGAGCTTAGTATCAAATATTACGAAAGGCGGTTGAATAGACTATATGTATGAGTTGACTCACAGTAAGAGTAGATTTTCGGGAGACTCTTTCCATCGTTCGAGGCCGAGACAAGAGGTCCAGCCCTGCTGCGGCGGAATCGGAAAACGCTGGCGGCGTCGAGTTGCAAGTTGAAGTGGCCATCATGTGTCGTCCTTGCCAGAGCAGCCAACTCACTTTGGAACTCGAATTCATTCTTGTACTTGCCCTTAGAAACCTTATTACGGATCTTTGCCAGCTCACCAACTAGGTCTGACGCCGGTAGCAGATAGCCAGTCGGGGGTTCCTTGAGGAAGTCTATCGTGCTTTGCCATTTCCAGAACGAAGTCAGGCCATCCACTAATCGACGAGCATCGCCTCTATTGATCGGGACGGTTACCAAGCAGTCATGGGCGAGCTTTGCAGATATAAAGAATGGACCTAATGAGCGGCACAGTAGTTAGTGAGTGATTGGCTAGGCGGGGCACACACAGGAGAGCGTATTGAACGGAGGTTGCTCACCGTTGGCATCCTCAGCGAACTGTTTCTCATATGCGTCGGCCACTTGTTTGCAAGGCTCAACTGTTCGTTTCTCTAATGTATTAGCATTGGAGGAAGATTGGCCAAGTCCCACAGAAGCCACTGCCAACAGGGACAGGGACGTGAAGATGTGTCCCAGGCCCCTCATCCTGAGAAGTCGGAGTGGCGTTGAGATATATTACTTCGTTTAAGCACTATTGAGAAAAGAGATTGAACGAAAACAGCAAAACAAATAAGTAAAAAGGAGAGAAGACGCAACAAATGAAAATTATTGAAATCGACAAGAGGGGAAATCTCCTCGAACGAACGAACGAACGAACGGACACACCCCCTAAATAGAGACAGGGGAGAGGGAAGGGTGAGATAAATGAAATGGAAGAAGAATGATTGAAAAAGGAAACGGAGGCTCCCCTCATATAACGCTCTCGTCGCCTGCTGCTGGAGGAATGATGTGCAGCTTGTGGAGCAAACTACGAGCGGTCCACCAGGCTACCAGCTGCACTGGTTGTCCCATCCATCCATGGATGCCACAGCCCTCCCTCCGGTTTCCATGCCAAAATATCTTCGGATCAGCCATAAAGGATCTTTGCCATTGGCGGGCAGCTGAAAGGAGCGGAGCGGGCTAAAAACCCATAACACGCCCTCTTCTGGTCTGCTGGGCGCAGGCCAAACCAGCGCATTATGCGAACAGCCTCCCGAGGTACTAAGGTCGCAAGCGGCTAGCTTCCCCAAACCCCAAACGAGGGGCCAACAATGAGAGAATAAGCTAAGAGATTAAAGTGCGATTGTGATAGGCGCCACTTGGTGAATGAAACGTCGTTGCGGGTCCCCTTGCCTCATGGTTGGAGCTGGGCTCAGTCTGGGTTGTGGGCAGGACCCCCACATGGGCGCAGGCTTTGCCAGCTCGCGCAGCACCATGACAGAGGCTAATTAATTAGCGAGATAGCTAAATGCTTCAGCTGTCTTTGCTGCAACATGAATGGTGGGAGTGGTGGAAGTGGTGGTTTAAAAATAGGAACATGAGTCGGCGTTGTGGCGTCCCCTCACTAACTCAACTGGTCGTTGTGACCGGAGGCTGGGATGGGCGGCGCTCTGAAACTGCGCTTGTCGGTCACTTAACCACCACTCCTCAGCATCGTCTTTGCTTGGAAGAAATATCTGTGAGGAAGAAGAGAATAGCGAAGATCAAAACTACAGTTTTCGGCAAAGAAAAGCTCCATCTAGAGAAAGTTTAGTCGATTGACTGTGCCGAAAGTTTCCAAATGTTTCCTTGCGAAGCCCCTGAATATCTACCGCACGTGACGTATATGTGTCCAGTTCCAAGGTTTCTTACTCCGTACCTAATCTATACATAGTAAAAGCGATGAACATGGGGCAAATATGGGCCAAAAAATACACATATTCCGTTCACAATTGGCATGCCCATCTCCGCATTGTTAGCAACCCTCTCACTTTTGGAAAGAGAAGAAATGGAAGACAGGATATTGTTTTGTTAAGCTGTGGATGTTTAGGCGCCTGGGTTACCTAGCGCTGCCAATCACGAGAAGCACGACACTATCGTAGTTTATCGCAATATTATTTCTTTGTTCTCTTGTTGATCCTGCTCCCACACTGTGAATACGTCTTTCCTCTTCGCTACGGATGTTTGAATGTCGATATCTCTGTCTCCCGTTAAAAAGCATACGGCTTCATACCTGCACGGAGGTGCGTGTTAGCTGGATGTTTAGAAGTCCCGGAAGATGCATAAACCACGCGCCCCTACGGAAATTCCATGTGCTCTAATGCAGTCCACCGACCTGAGCAAACGAGCAATGCTTGTTCCACCTCGCCAGTCAGCTAGCTAGCTAGTTTGTGGATGTTTGCAGATTAACATGCCCCCATGCTGGTCACTCTGCGTACGCTTTTCAGCCCCGAGTGCAAAGGATGTTCTGTACAACGAATGGCTATCTGTTCCCGAATTCTAACATCTTCGGAGAGATAAGTCAGAATACCCAAAAAGCCGCCGGGGATTCCCTCTCATATCATATGTGCACGTCAACCCATCCTCCTACATGCTCCTCTGAACTTAGCGGGAGGACTGTGTAGAAGGCACAAGTACGGAGTTAGTTGCGAATGATGGCTAAATGCCGCTACAGCGGGTCAACCACTACCTACTACGTACAGGAGAGAAATGATATCATCCCTACTGGCTTCTCTTTGTTTTGATGCCCACCGAGTCTTCAACACTTGACGCTGGCGGCCGTCAGAAAGCCGAAAAAAGACGAAAATCGGAACAGGCAACTCAGATCATAGCAGGCATGGCACCTCTACCTGTTTGATATATATATATGTATATATTTGGCGGCAATAAGACAAGTAGAGGCGTGTAGTTTGTATTATTGAGACTCAAAGTGATGTCTAAATTGAGAAACAAACAATATTTGCGGGATGCTCACAGAGAGAGCACTATTAGACACGGGGTGTCTTGTGTCATTCTTGCTAGGTACCCGTCTCATGGCTTCATGTGCAAGTTTCCAGTCGGCATGATGCGGGCTTTTTATGTACAATGCGCCAGAACAAGCTTTATATGCGTATTTCTGTCCGGTGTAGCAAGCGGTCCCAACCCAGGACCACTGGCCCACTCCCATACATTCAACACCCGATTAGAGTCTTGCTCTCCTACCCATGATCGAGTTTTATTCTAGGTATCAAAGAGGGGAGAAAGGGGGAAGAAAAACATGTGCAACTTCGGAGGAACGATGTTATATAACGTGGGCTTCATTCCAACAAGAACCTTTACTATAGGGACAAAAAATTAATAATAATAATAACAATAATAATAATAATAATAATAATAATAATAATAATAGCAGGTAATGACGAGATCCTCCGATTAGCCCGCGAACAATTTAAAACAAAGGAATGCATCGCCACACAAGATCATGCACCTATCCGTAGCTGCAGATTGTAGTTGTAAACCCTTGAGCTTTTCATCAATTAACCCAAAGGCAATGCAATAAATCTTGAAATCATGCCATGGCGAAAATGAAGACAACGAGAGGGGAGAAGATGGGTGCAAGAAATGTTCATTCCACTCTCACCAAGCCAGCTAAAATTGGCCTTCCTTCTCTTCTCGACCCCCCTACCCTATCCCGAACACAGCCTACCTGACATACGGAGTATAGGTAGCTGGATAACGTAGTTTTCCTTTGGCTTCTTTAGTTGATTGATAATTTAATTGGCAGCGACTGTCCCCGGAATGGATTTTTTACGACTTTTATTTTCCATAGCCATCAGGGAACTCCAATGATACAAGTGACCTCAAGCGCGATATGGATGAGCCTCATCCACCTAGGTGCTTCATAAGCACTCCTTCCTGCTATAAATTATATATGGCATAATTAATGCGCTTTTTTTTTTTTTTTTTTTTTTTTTTTTTTTTTTTTTGGCCGGTACAGCTGGATCGGGCCACAGGAAGATCTCCTCGACAGTACATTGCTTCCTTAAGTTGGTGAGTTGGTGGAGCCTAAATGGTGTGCAAGTTGGTAAGTGGGGTAGAGTGTGCTATCAAGAAGAAAAAAAAAAAAAAAAAAAAAGGAAGTCCAATTTATATATATATATACATGTGTTTGTGTGAGTGTGTGTATACATGCCAACTGAAAAACAAAAAATGAAAATGAAACGGACAAAAAGCGTAGGCAGTAAATCGAAAGGAAACAGAAAATGAAATACAGTGCAGTGAGAACTGGGTAGTGGGGTGAACGAAAATTAAAAGAATAAATGGTCTAGAAACGGAGGCAGGAGGAGCGAAAGAAGAGAGACGACGGGTAAGCTAAAAAGGGAAACTTACTAAATGATGTAGCCTAACACTTTGAAAAAACAAAAGGGAAAAATGCAATCGTAGTAGCAGCATGGAGGACGAAGAAGAGAAGAGGATGGAAGCTAAGAAATGCCGTAATTACAAATGGGGTAGAAAAGGGAAGGATAGGGAAACATGCAATTCAATATTCTAAAGGGAAATGTTCTAAGAAATGTTAGTCCCAGTACTTACTAAAAGTGTCACAGGTCAAAATGGAAAATAGAAAAGGTATTAAAACGGGTTTATAAACGCGTGGGAAAAAGAGAGAAGAAGAAAAGAAAATGAATGTTGATTGTCCGAGTATGTGTGGTGGTGACACAGTCGAACGATTAATTGCTACAAGTAATACCACCTGTTAGTATGAATGATATAATAAAACAAGGAAGTGAATAGGAAAGCTTACTATATTTCCAAAGGAGATATCTGGTCGAGAGTGTATAGCCAGTTCCCTCCTTGTTCTTCTCGCTCTAGCCTGTGCCATGAAACTAAGGGTTAGTTCGCTGTTTTCCTAAATGTTTTGTTTTTTACTCGGCTGTGAAAGATCACCACTACTAACCATTCATATGGCCAAACTATGAGATGGCCTTGTACTAGATTCATCAACTCCTCCGCTTCAATTTTCGATATAATATCGTCAGAAGCATGGAATTCCCGCCGCGAACTACGAGTCGTTGCTCTCCGTCTCCGCCTCTGGGACGTTGAGGCGGTTGGTTGTAGGCTACCTTCAACCCGTCTCTGCGGGCTCTTCTCCGCCTCAGGGAACGATGCCGTCGCGCCGTCCAAATTCTGGCTAGACTGCGAAAATTTCGTCTCCACCGTCTTCAATGGGTCTTTTTCTCCCTGGGATGTACCGGTCTCCTGATGAGAAAGTTCGAGCCTATTCCTCTCGATCTGCGCTTTATTTGCTTCTGAGGCCCAGTGTCTCAATTCCTCTTGGGTAGCTAAGGTTTCACTTTTAGCTGGATTCAGGACCTTTTCCTTCAAATCATTTCCCATCTTTTCGGCTTTGGCAAGATGATTAGGGATCTCTGCAGTGCCAGGAGGATCTGTCATTTTGGTAGCTTCCGGGTGAGTTTTGGCTTCGTTGGGTTTGGTTTCATAGCTGCTCTGGCCCTGCATATTAGCGAAGCGTTCCGCATAGGCAATATATTCTTTGTATTCTTTCCATGTTTTGACCTCGTTATCGGGCATGCAGCGGAAAACACTGCGATACAACTTTGTGTTGTTTTCAGCTATGGTTTGCCAAATATCCAAATAAAAGGAATCACTCAGAGGGTCCCTCATGCAGTCTTTGTCAACGATGGGGCGGTTTATTTCAGACGAGAACAAATGCGTTGTGTTAGGATGATCCTGAGCAGCTTGTTGTGAAGGATCATCACCATTGCTTGATGAATCATGAACCGTAGGTTGGGTGGACGGTCTGGAGCCGGAGTCGCTTTGGCCAAGGCCCTGTGCTGTAGGCAGTGGAACGTCCCCATGCTCGTTATGATCTCCAGTCCGAGATGGCGGTTCTTTGCGAGCTCCAGATTGTCCCCTTTGGGTTTGAGTATCTCCAGGTGATCCCGGGACAAGGAATTCCATCCTATCATCCACAATGAACGAGTCACGACCATCACCATGACCAGCCTCCTGAATGATCTTCATTTGGTCAATTCCATGGCCCTCCAGATCCTTCTTGTGGTCCTCATTCCTCATTATTCTCGAGTCCTGGGTGAGCTTTTTGTTACTCTTAAGATTGGGGTTGTTCGCCTGTTCCCAATCAACATCGTGGTTGAAGCTACGCATTTCCTCCGATCTAGCAAGGAATTCATCCTGTATTCGGTGTCTTCGCTCTAATAACTCTCTTTCGCCTTGTTTTTCGGTAGCCTCGTCAAAATCACGATCGAGCATCTCGTCGCTATGGTTATAAGGACCGTTTGGTTCGCTCCGCGCATTCGTTTGGCCAGTTTCAGCTTCGGCTTCTAACGCTTGTTCCATAATTTCATCGACGTCTATACCAATGTGCTCTCTCATAAGCCGCATCCGAAAAGTGTGAGGGAAACGGCCAACAAGGTACGGATTTCCTCCCATGATGGACCACAGCATGTCGGTATCGCGAACGATTGCAGCGCACTCAGAATCTCTCGAGCCAAGCATAGAACGTTCGTTGATATTAGCAGAGCCAATTATCGCAGCTCTATCATCAACAATCATGCACTTGGCATGGATATACAGCTGTTCTGTGACTAAATGTTTCCCGGGCCCGATCTTTCCCCATGACCTCAGGCTGAAGAATTGGATGTAGTCTTCCGGCTCAATACCAGCTGCTCGAAGTCGGCCAAAGATGGATGTCTCTCCGCGACATATGCTTCGATATTGACATTGCATGATTAAACGAACGCTAGTGCCTCCTTCCGTATCAACCTGATTTTGGAAACCAGGCATGAGAGGTATCAGGATCACAGCCCGCCAATCTTCACCTTTGCTAGCTGCTCTAATAATTCGTTCCACGAGAGCATCCCCAATAAGATTTTCAATCTTCTTCCCTTCAATTTCACAACTAGTAATAAAAAACTGGTTTTCTATGTAAACGAAATGATCCGACTGCTCAATCAACTTAACATATGCATTCATAATGCTGTGTTCAGTCACATCAGGCGTTCCGGTTGACCAAGTGCTGCTTGAACGAAGAATCTGAACCTCGCACGTGCCATCGAGACCAAGGGATTCCAAGTCCGCAGGATCAAAATCTGGCGGAGGGAGCAAGAACGGAGTTGGACGAGTTGGCTTTCGTTGCCGTAGAATGTAATTCCACCGTTGAACAAAGTGCCTAGTCAGATCACGAGCCGGCTGTCCTACCACATGCATGGCAACGTCATGCCATGGCATTCTAGGAATGACCTCGCGGTCATACATTTCTTCATACGGTTTGTCGAGATCATAGAAATCCTGAATTCTCGGGTTCGAGTAATCCTTCCCTGGCCAGAGCTGGCAATGATCGGCATCTTTAGGCACATCAGTCAGTTCAAACCCTGTCAATTTATCATCTGTAAGAAGATGCTGTGGAGTATCCCATCTCCCAAAGCAAAGATCAATGCCTCCAATAAATGCGAGGGTATGGTCAACGAGGCATAGCTTTTCATGGTGAGCCCAGAAAAACGTGTTTTGTCTAAACTGGTTGGGGGATCTTTGCACAAAGATATTCGGATGCAAATCTAGCAACGAAAACTTGGAGTACTCCGAGTCAATAGGGATGGCAGAGTTGATGTTTCGATACATTATAACAAAAACCTTGACACCCTCCTGCGCTTTCTTCTGAAGCAATCTATCGAGTCTCCATTTCTGGCTAATAGCAGCTGGTCGCCGCATGTAGAGTTCGGGACTCAACCACCAGTCATGGATGTAAATGACGTCCTTGGCCTGGTTTATGGCGCGAGACACCACCCACATATAGTCACGGCCATCGACCAACCACTGAGCGAAGCAGTTCGGACGTACGGGGGCAAAGCTATCGAATCGATTAGGTTTGGACCAAGGTGTGGTATCCACCATAAATCGAATCGAATCTTCAAACTGATGCAATTGACGCTCATTTCGAGCAAGTAATCTCAGCTTACGTTCAGAGTTTTGAAGTTTCAGCGTATGGTGTTGTGGATGTGCGGCCGACTCCTTCGCGGACCGAGCCAATTGTTTGGGTTTTTGGTCACGCAGCCGTACTTTCTGGGGCTGAATTTGGAAGAAAGGGTCTACCAAAAAGACGTCGTAGATGTTCATTTCTTCAGGCGAATCAACACAAACGACATAGCTATGCCGTACCAAGAACCACTTCGGCGAGTGTCGCGATTTTATCATGGAAGGATTCAGTGCTTTCCGAAAATCTAGTCCTTTAGAAGACTGAATAACGAGGAAACCCTCCTTGCCATGATAGCTCCCCTCCGATGCCAACCGAACACCCAGTGCTGAAAGTTCCAAAAATTTGCAAAGTCTGTTGCTGTCAGGGCGGAAAATAAGGAAACGGATCATTTGTTGGAGATAGATCTCAAGCTTCTTCCGTTGGCGCTCCGGGTACGATTCCTTTTTCACACCCGCGATGGACGCAGCGCGCGTAACGCCTGGCTCCAGGGCTCCTGAGGCAATGCTCTCTGCTGGAGCAGTCAAACTCGACCGTCTCCGGGGGAGTCCTAGTGATGAGCGTCGCTTCTTTTTCTTTGTTGATCTTTCATTCCCACTTGTACCATCCCCTGCAGTTTCATAACCTCCCTCATCTGCTTCCTCTTCCCCTTCACTCTCCAAGCCCCGAACACCGCGCAGGTAAGGGAAAGCGCTTCTCGGGAAATGTGGAAGAGGGTGCGTTGAGTCGTGGGCTTTGAGCTGAATATACCTCCTGGTCCCAATTTGGAGTTTATACTTTATGTGGAGGTTGGCGAAATCCCTGAGAGTTCTGTTAATTACCCACTTCATTCGTGTCATCCCACTGCCATACTCCAGCTCTATTCGGAAGATCAAATGGCGATCACTTGAGTGTGGGTCGAATTTGCTGTCCGTGATATGAACTTTCAGCTGTTCGAGGAGAATAGGGATACGTCGGCTTCCATGCTCATCTCTTTGGAACATACTTGCCAACAAAAGAGCAGCAGGGATGCCAGAGGTAAGCTCCGCAAGCAGCTCGGCAGACTTGACGTGGTCTACTGTGGTTTCAACCTTTTTGCGTTGCCCGATCATTTTTAGTCCTGCTTTGATCTGTCGCCATTTCTGGGCGCTAAGGCTTGAACCACGTTCTCCTTTGTGTCGTCTCCATGTTGCTGTAAGACCCTCACCATGGTCTGACTGGCCCCCAATTCCAGTTAACCGTCGAAAATTACTTAGCCTTTTCTCATCTTGAGAACTTCGACCTTCAGGCCGAGCTGGGCCACTATAACTTAACCCGCGGGCGCTATGTAGCCATCCGTTTCGTCTTCTCCACATATTATCGCGTTTTAGCCTTTCTCGACCTTCGTCTTCAGAAACACCATCACGTGTCGGAGGGGTCATGGCGATTGGGTCAGTCCTGCGAGAGAAATGGCCTCCGAAGAAATTGTCGCCATGTGTATAGGAGGCATTTGGTGGGAAATGCGACCGCGCGCTTGACTTCGGAGTCGCAGGAGCCGTATGAGACCCCGAACCGGGTGGTCTGCGAGTTTTCCGCTTCCTTTTCGGGATACCACTCGCTTGTTCCCCAGAACTGGATTCGGCATCAGCATCCATCTCGCTTCCTTCCTCCTCAAGAGTGTTCGGAAAACGGAATTCCCCTCTTTCAGATCCTGGAGTAGCAGTATCGCCAGGTGGTCTGGGTTCCACGGATTCGTCTCCAAAGGTTAGGCCACTGGCAGTGCGGGTATGCGTAGGGAAGGGAGGGGAGGCGGCGAATGCCTTCAGTTTTGAAAACAGTGACGAATGCAAGCGGCGGTCTTTTGAGAATTGGTCTCCATCTTCTGGCCCTATAGAGGAAGTCCTTGAATGTGATGCTCCCACTCCCTCAGTGTCCGAAGCGGCTCGAGCGAACTGGACGCTCCGACGACCTTGTGGAGTTGAGGAACCTTGTGGCCTCTGCTGTTTTGCCTTCACAGATTTATCTGATGCGTTTCGCGAGGGAACGGAATCAGGCTTAGCCCGAGCGGGTATGTCTCCTTGGCGTCCCGTAACACCCCTATCACCAACAGTGTCAATATCACGGTCGGGCTGCCTGGAGCTGGAAGGCTCAAATCCTGTGCCCAACGCTACTCGTTTGCTGGAGACCCCATGTGTCTCATTGATTCCATTGATAGCATCTTTCTTGGAGACGCTATATTGTGGCGTTTCGTCATCCAAAGGGGGAGTGAAGCTCGCCTCCTCTGTAGAAACATCGTGGGGAACCATAATCATGAGGTTCTGCGGAACGCTCGATCGTCGTAGTGATGATGATTGCTGAAGTCCCTCTGCCATCCATGGAGTTGAGTCCTCCCCCATTGTGACAGACTCTATATAATAGCAAACAAGGGTTATTGTCAGGGTCTCTGATCTTTCTTTAAGTGGCCAAACAACGGGAGAGGGCGATAGACACATACCAGCTAAAAGTAAGAGCTAAAGTAATTCGGAAGGAGTAAAGGCAGTTCATATAGCTAACATTATTCCCTCGAGACCTGAAGCTTAGGCCTTCCAGGTAGAACAGAAACAGAAGATCCAGAGACAGAAAGCTGTCTGGAAGCTTTGATATGATGATAAACCTCCTTACTCTGTACTCAAAAACTTGGATCCCGGCATGACTTGAGACAAGCTTACCTAAGTTATGTGCGTGTGAATTGCAGAAAATATTGTGGCAGAAGTAGGGACCAGCAAGTTGCGCCCGCACTTGTTGCGCTGAAGGTTTAGTACACGCACTTGGGTTAAATCCATCTGGCGAACCATAGGATCGTAAATACAATTCCCCGGTATTGTGTAATGTAACCTCCCTGTAATATACAGAAACATGTACACGTGACCTCCTTCTAACCTCGGACTTCAAAGAGGAGCGTTGCCGGAGACAATATGGTTATAAGAAAGATATCGCCTGGTGAAGATGCAGTTGCTTGACAGCTATGGATTGTTTTCTAACCCTTTTCTCTTGTACACACCTCGCAATATAAGATGGATCCCATGGTGAAAACCTACGCTTCGCCTGCTCCCCAGGTCTCCCAGAAGTTCCTCCCAATCGCCGGCATCCATTGCGCCGTCTATGGCCTGGATGAACTTCCCGCACATGCTAGGGAGGTATCATGTCTATATCTCATGCATCCACGATTGAGCACGGCGGATTCTATGGAAGGGTTTGCGTGCCATGCTATCACAGATTGGAACAACAGACTGCGCGGTGGCCGAGTGTCCGTTAACCAGGGAAACAAGGGCTTAATCGCTGTAGCCTTTGACCAACGGAATCATGGCTCGAGGCTTGTCGATAAGCTGTCAAACAGCGCTTGGAGGGAGGGAAATCCAAAACATGCGCAGGATATGTTTGCTACATTTCGTAAGAGTTTCCCTTATCTTCTTCATCCAGATCTGAACTATAAAATAGCAAATGCACCCCATTATGCTACCCGATCCACTCTAAGACTAACACAAATCTGCAGAGGGCACCGCTCGCGACGTCTCTCTCTTAATAGACTTCATGGACGCCTATGCCTTTCCCGACGCCTCGCGCAAAATCACCACTAACCTCGCCCTCGGTGTCTCTCTCGGCGGCCATGCAGCATGGAGCTGCGTCCTACATGAACCCAGAATCACCAATGCGGTCATTATCATCGGCACCCCAGATTACACAAGCCTAATGACCGAGCGCGCCAAACTCTCCAAACTATCAACTTGGAAAGACTCCACACCACCGGGCTCTCAATTCCTCGGCTCGGAATCTTTTCCTCCGTCTCTCATGGACGCCATCAGGAAATACGACCCTGCTAGATTTTTCCTAAGCCAGATGAACCACCCCGCCGTCGCGGAGTCCATGCTTCATGGCACCCTTCCTGAGCCCACCGACCATGAAAAGAAAACCATCGGCCCGCTTATAACCCGATGCCTCCAGGGGAAAAGAATATTGCTGATTTCTGGTGGTAAGGATAAGTTGGTACCGTACGCGCGGGGCGAGCCTTTCCTAACATGGCTAAAAAAAGCAATTTCCCCAGGAGGCTGGTATGCCGATGGAGCTGTGACATTGGAGGATCTCATATATGAGGAGGCGGGGCATGAAGTTACCCCACCCATGATGGAGCAGGCCATTCGATTCATTGGAGAGAGTCTTGCGGAGGGTGCGGAGAATACGCAACCCAAGGTGCGGACGTCAAAGATTTAGAAGAAACAACGTCAAATGCTTCGTTTTCTGGCCTCTGGGTTAGTTCGCTATTGGCACCCATATAGATATGTCGACGGTGATTGGATTTGAAGTATTCCATGGAACAATATTTATGTCCCTAGCTATGAAGCATCGGTAGATAATGAATTTGCTCGAGTAGGGGAACACTGAGATAGAGATACGTTAGATCAGGATTTCCCCAGGAGCAAAATCCATCAATGTCATGTTATCGAGCTGTCGTATAACTATCGAAATAGTTCCTGGCCCGACGTGGCTAAATACATCGCCTTTAGAACAATAGAAGAAGCTGTTTTTTATTCCGGCTATGGTATTTTATTCGATATCGTTAAAAGAAAACAGAAAGGAATTGAGGTTTAGGTTCTGGGATGCACCATGATGGAACCCCAATGCTCCTGCCCGGTATATTCCTACTTCGGCGTGTAGCAAAATAAAAGCAAATTTGGCCTCTTTTTAGGGGAAGGGGTCCATTCCACAAAGTTTTTAATTCCTTTTTCTTTCATGGAACAGTATCGAACCCGGAACCGCTCTAAGTAACGGGTCTTGACACAAAAAAAAGATAAGAAAAATACATGGATTGAAAGACCACCCTTAACACCCGTTCATTATATTTTGCGTCCAAATCGAATAATTCTCATGCAACACACCCATACACGCATCGCATCTATGCAACGAGCTCAGCAACACCACCAGCCTCCTTGATCTTCCGCTCAGCCTCCTTGCTGAAATATCTCGCCCGGACGACAACGGGGATCTCTGGGAGTCTGCCCTTGCCAAGGACCTTGGAGTAGCCGAGTGGTAGGAGGTCGAGGACGGGGGCGGTATCTGGTTTCTTGTTGTTCACGTACGCATCACGGGTTTCGGCGGGGATAAGGGACCATAACTATACATCAAGAGAAATTCAGTCAGCCTCCGCATTTATATTCCAATTGCCCCAATTTCCGTATAAGTCGCCCGTATCGCGGGTATCGCTTTATCCAATTCATCCATTCTCTGTATTTCCGGCCGTAGGGTCCCATTCGGCTCGTCTTCCTCCCCTACTTCCCCAGCTTCCCACTTCAATCCGCCCAAAGTAAAAAAGAATCGACAACGTACCTTGTCGAGGTTTATGATAGGTTTCCAGAACTGGTTCTGTGTCTTGTGGAAGTATCTCATGCCGACCTTCCCGAAGTAACCTGGATGGTACTTGTCGAGGTTGGTTCGGTGGTGGTGCTGGCCACCAGCCATACCGCGACCACCGGGATGCTTGCGGTGCTTGCCAACGCGACCGTAGCCTGCGGAAACATGACCGCGGCTAAAAAGAAATTAACCAAAACATAGGTACGATATTAGCGATCGATAATTGAAAAGGGTTTGAGAGCGTAACTGCCCGTCCTTGATATTCATTGGAAACATGGGGTCGAAGGACGGTCGATGTTCCTTTTTACTCTCAGGCTCTTAGGTGACGGGGAACTGGAATTACTCACCTTTTTCTCGTCTTCGAAAGGCGGGTAGGCATCTTGTCGACGGTGCTGGATTCGACAAGACTGTATGGGTGTTGGGCGTTGAGATGCGATTTGACGACGGTTGTTGCAGGCTCAGATCGACTCTCTTGCTGTCTCCATGCTCTCGCTTAATGTGTGCCAGGCAGGGTTTTGGCTTGTTTGGGAAATGTTAGGGCCCAGCCCTATTTTCTCTTAGTGGAATTTCCACATTCGAACGAAAGATTCATGTGACATTATCTTCAGATCAGATAAGATCTTTCTCCATACTTGCACTCCCTAAGGTCGAGATGAAAACAAATTCACATGCTAATAGATTGAACTAAGAAGCTTTATATTTCATGACTTCTACATTTTCTATTCCTCAGCCGTATTTTATATTCAATTCTCGCTTCCTTCGAAAAAATCCAGAAATATCCCCGATTGTCCGCTCGACTGGCTGCTCCGACGTCCCTGCCGCCAGGTTCTGTCGAATCCAATTTGGCAGCTTGCTCTGTATACGCGGACTGCCATAGCGTCTATCCATCATCAGGATCGCTGCGTAATCACCCTGGTGCCTGATCGCCCGACCAATGCATTGATTTACAGTCCTCATGCAAGCATTCTCGTAGAAAACTCTCCCAGCAGCTTTCGCCTTTAATTTGCGGCTCTCTTCCGAAAACCCCTGGCCCTTACGATCCTGATCTAACGATGATGACAGCGGCGAAGCCGACTCATAGGCTTTGTGCTCAACGTACTGGATTTTTGCTTGCCATACCGCGCTTCGAATGTTGGGGAACGGCAGCCCAACGACAATCACTCCCCTGCCCAGCTTATCGGAAAAATTGATTCCTTCAGACAACTTCCCACCCATGACTGACAGGAGCAACGCGCCACCGCGGGATCCGCCATTAATTGCGCTGGAATAATCTTGAAGTAGTCCGTCGATATTTGTAGTTTTGTCCTGGGACTCGTGGAACACAACTTTGGATTTTTCGATCGAATCGATGATGTTAGATCGGGTATTTGGGGCTTGCTTCTTCCAGATTACCAATACTTGGTTCAAGTAGTCGTAGCTGGGAAAGAAAACCACGACACCATCTGGAATAACACGGCAAAGCGCTGCGATGGTCCTGCCAAGATCAATTATCTATTTCCGACCAACAATTAGCAAAATGTTCCATTGATGATGTAGGACGGAGGTACATAAGAGAGTGCTCTTCAGCATACCATGTTCTCGTCGTTTCGTTTTCCATAGGTGAAGTCAAACTCGGTATTGAAAGCCCCCTTGCTCACCGGAATGGCGGTTAGATTATCAGGCGGTATAACATGGCCATAGCTAAATGTTTTGAGTCGATCCGCATTCAAATACGGGAACAAATGTTCTACGTAATCATCCATCTACAAAATAAAGGGCTGTCAGCTCAGCACACATCTTTCTCGCCCAGGGATAGAGAATTAACATACAGGTGACATTGTACCTCCTGCAAGAATCACCGCTCTTGCATCCTCCACGATTTCCCGGAAGTGGTTGGTGGGGTCCAATAGCATGTATTTCAAAAGGACATCGTTTTGGCTAATTTCGTAAAAGAGTTTCCCTTCCGATGACGGGTTCATCAATGAGATTAAGAAACTTTGCACCTGAAATAGAACAGGGACTGAAAGTTGAGTAACCTTTTTATCCGTCGTCGCTTGCGACTCCATGGAAGACTTCTCAATAAAGCCGTCGACTTTCCTCGCGAGTCTGCTTTCATGCAGATACCGTGATAGCTTGTGTGGGTTTATTTGATCAACGCCTTTCCCCGTCATGATGTCAGACGGTTGCAGGACGCCCTCTGTAGGCTGCTTTCTTTCCAGAACAGTCTTCAGATAGTCAGAAATGGAATTTACAAGCCGAATCACCTGGGTCACATACACCCTGTTGCGCCCACTCAAGCGGGTTTTATACTTCCGGGCGTATGTGGTGAGCTGGTAAATGGCCAATTGAACTTGGGTTAGTGACAGTGACATTGAATGTATATTGGAAATAGCGTCCATGAGATTGTGCGCTTCATCGATGATTACAACGTGGTTTTTTAAGGAAATGTTTAATGCTTCCCTCGCTGATCTTTGGAGGAGAAGGGGATATGGTAATGTGACGATCTATGTGATATTGTTAATCCAGCAGGGAAGGGATATTGTTTTTGGGAGCAACACATACCTCGCTATACTTGATTATGGACCGCGAAGCATAGTACGGACATACTCCAATTTTGGAGCCTATCTTGCCAATGTCCTCGATATCCCGCACCTTTGCCAGTGTGTGGTCGCGAAAATCGTTGACAAGCGTTTCATTCTCCTTATTGAGGACAAATTGGCATCTCTGCTCCGCTAGTGTTTCAGGACGCTGTATCTCTAGGCAGCGTTCGTTGATGGCCGTTGAGTTACCAAGCGCTCGTACCTTCGGATTGATACAGAGTGTCTTTCTCGATCCTAGAGAGAGATGTTTCATGCTCTCTTCTAAGGTATCATCTGGGTGGGACGCACTATCTGCAGTTGCATCATGGTCATCCACTTCGGGAGGAACACTTGGAGGTAGCTTTACTCGCCGCAGCTCGTGGGCGAATTGAGTTAGCTGGGAATGTGTCCTCGAGCAGTAGAATACCTGAATTTCATCATCCGGTTCGCAGTCGGCACTCCTACTAACAGGGTCCCCGCTCAGCTTCTCGAGTAAAGCAAGTGTATCAGCGGAGAAAATGCTGTCACTTCTCGAAGCTGTATCCACAGCCGCTCGCTCCTCGTCGTCGCTATAGTAGTCCTCCAGTTCGAATTGGCTTTCATCATCTTGTCCAGAACGAGTGTTTTCCGCTGTCAATCTCTGTATAGGCAATAATTAGGAATAGTGATATTTGCGATTAGTGGGATATTAACTTACCTGTCTTTTGGAGGGATACTTGCCGTCCTCAAACTGCTTTCGTTGCCGTTCTTCCTCTGCGCGGACTTTAGCCAAACGGTCTTCCAATTGCTTTCTCTTCTCCCTCGCAGATCTTGCTTTCTCCCGCCGTGAATGTTCTAACATCCATTCCGGTTCCCCATCGGCTAATGTCACAGAACATTAGCTTCATTGCCCCATATTTAGCAGGGTGGGTATGGCTGACAGGGTGCCTGGTCAATTGTATTGAGGAACACTGCGCGTTTATGATCGCGAAGCCACGTTAAGGAGCCACATATTAAGCTGAGTGATTTGCCCTACAGTAATCTACTGCGTTAGATGGTTGAAATATGTGTGTTCTGAGCACGGTCTCAGTTCTTGCAGCGACATTTAGATAATTCTGCCTTAACCAACACTCGATAGAATGTAAAGAGACACAACATTGAAAGAACACATATACAGCATTCCTAAATATTAAAAGAGACCCTAGCCCATGGTGACTTCATGCATGCTCATTGGCAATACTGTACTGTCAGCTGGGGAGGTGGGCATAAACGTACAGTACCTAGAGATTTATCAGAAGAATTATTCAACCTGTCTTAGATTAAGGGCAAAGCACATTACCTGTGGGCGACTCAAAAATACCAACTTTGGCTTCCTCAATACAGTCGTACAATGCTTGCATGAACTGGCTCTGGATATCATAGGGGGTATAGGGGTGGTGGAAGTTTTTCTCGACTGAGCTCATTTTTACAGAGATGGTGCCAGAAAGACAGTCGAGATTCCGCTGAGGGACGGTCACTAGGTATTAGGCATTTGGCCGGCTAACATCCATGGATATTAACTCTGGGGAATTTATATACTATGATCCCAATAATATAAAATCGTCTTCGTGCACAATACGTGGAGACTGATGTTCCAGGCTTCCTAGGAGCCGCGCCAAGACTTCGTCAAATAAATATCCCGCGCGCAGTAGTTCTTGCTCAGGATGAATTGAGTAAAATCATATTCCTATACTACTACGGACTACGGACTAGAGAACTTGAGCCTCTCTCCACCACCTTAGTTACACATGCACACACATACAAAAACAATATGTAGTTACCTCTCCCTCTCTCTTCCCCTTTTGTGCATCTGTATATTTCCCAGTTCTATAGATACTCGGCCCCACTAGGCGTCATTGGTGTTGGAGTACATACCTAAGTAGGTGGTTTTATTCCAATTATTGGGAATTCAAATGATGGCAGATCCTTCAAAGACATGCCAGGTGTGAGGCATACCACGGCATACCATACCAACGGGGAGATGATTTCTTTCCGCCCCTTGCAAATTTTCCGTAACCGCCATCGCGATCGGCTTCTTCACTTATTTAGCGGATGATCGTCATTGTCGCCTTGTACAGTTACTGATCCACATCGCGACTCCAAGCATCATAAAACTCAATATATTGCGTCCATTCCCGTCATATTGCCTGTTGACTAGGCGAGTGGTGAGTGCATTCCATTCTGGTCGCAATCCGAATTGTTTCTTTTCTTTCGCCCTTCACGGAGGCTCGTCAATATACCTATCTCGAGCGTGTACCACACCATTCGCCCCTCCTTACTCTGCTTCTATCTTAGCTTCGCGCTCTGCAACACCAAATAATGCACATTGTTGTTGTGTCACTGCTAGGACGTGCATGCTTTGGTGTTGCGGGGGGGTAGCCAACCGGCACTGCTAGGTCTGCTATGATCTTGTCATTCGCTTTCGCTTTCCCGCCTATCTCAATTCTCCCGGAAGAAACAACAATAGAAATCGAGTATGCTTCTGATTTGGGTGATCTGTAGGTAGAGTATCAACCCTCGTTCATGGAAGAGACAGACTTGGAAGCGGAAATTCAGAGCGGAATAATGAAATATTATCCCCCCTGCCCCTTTGACTAGTCAAACAGACCCTGTCGCCTTCAAAACGCGTTGCCCTTGTTATTATTTTCTGGTTTTCACCAAAATCAATATTCCCTGGTTGCTCTGAATCAGGGGGAGGGGTCAATTCCTGCGATTCCGATTGATTGGTCAGCCACGGTCATCATCGTTGTCGATGTCCCATTTAGCTCCCAACGCTTAAACAAAGTAGTTAATGCGCAGCGAAAAGCAAAAATAACAATTATTCCAGCGCTCTGCCCGCGCAAGGGAGAAACTCATGAAGCAGGTGTCAAGACCGAGAAAACAAAAATAGAATAAAAATAGTTTGTGGTGGTGGTGGCTGATGCTGCCGCTGTGGCTGCTTTTCAGGAACATGGCAGCCAGGCAGTTCCAACCATAGATCAAGAATAACTTACAGTCAGAGTCCCATTTCTTTGTTTGGTTCATGCCATGCTCTATGCTTGCGTTCTCCGGAAAAATTAGCAGGAAATGGTAGTGACTAACCGGCTCACCCCCTAGAAGTCAGTTAGGCTTCTCAATTGGAAACCGCAGGCAGCTGAAGGCGGCCCCATGATGCGGTAATGTGTAACTTGTACAGTAGATCTAACCAACAGAGCAAGCCTGTATGTATACGGAGTATATACTGCGTAGGCTTTTATTGGTTTCGTTTCTCCTCTCTGCTCTTGTTGTTTCAGTTGCTATGATTAACTATTTTTATTATTTTTAGGTTTATTCCTGTTCCTGTTCTTTCTGTTGGCGAAGTCAATCCCAATCCAGGTTGGTGAAGTACCTAATAGCGGGGTTGAGGCCCGGCTGCCACGGACCACGGTATGCAGCTGCAAACGTCTGCAATAATTACCCGCCCCCGTCCGTAACTAACGACACTTCAAACCAACCATCCCCACCACGACTGCCACCGCTGCCACCACTACCACCAACCTCCATCCTTCCTCTCTCCTTCGGCCAGTCTATTATTGATTGTGCATCCCCCCCCATCAGCCTGATGAGTCCAGGGACATAGCGGGCTGGATAGTAGACCATGTCCACCATTCCATTGTCTGACAGATCCCTCTCACCGATAGCAACAATAGTTACGAGAAATAATACAATAATAATAGCCTTTGGCCGTCCGAGCAGGGTTGCTTCGAATTAGCCGTTCCCACGCGAACACAGATACAACCTTCCACAGCCCACGATCGAGAGGATACCCAGCCCATGTCAAAGACCCCAGCCCAGGAGTGGCTAGTAAATCTCACTTCCCGCTACGGCCAGGCAGCGTGACAAGCCAGGGAGGATTCTTCTTATTATTAAACCCCTTGGTCCCCTCCGTCCCTCTTTTGACGCCATGTCTGCCCACCAACAGTCCTCCAATCCTCATATGGGCGCCACGTTCTACCCAGGAAATGTTGATGCTTTCCAAATGCCAGAAGTGATCTCTCCAGCGCCTCAAAGGTAATATGACTTTGTTCCACAAAATAAGAAATCAACAAAAAAGAGAATGAAGAAAAATTCATTCAAAAAACTATTCTTCCCCCCCCCCCAAAAGGCTGAATATCAATCATGCCTTCCAAAACCTAAACGGCCCCTCCTCTTAAAAGCTTCCGCGTCGACTTTTTTTTATCACCCCCCTCCCCTCGAATTTGTACTGACTAAATTTTGTTGCTGCTCTTATTAGGGTGATGCCAGAAGTCCCCGAAAACATGCAAGATAATCTCGCCCACCTTGAACAGGAAGCTTACGGCCCAAGCCGCTTGGCCAGCCAAAACGCTCAGTACGATTACCAACCACCACAACATCAGCAATTTCCAAATCGAACGTCGTCGGTCCCAAATCAAGGCTATGCGCAGGATAGCCAGTCATATTCAGACTCTTATGGCCAGGATGCCTACGGACAACCTCCGCAGTCCTTTAGCGAGACGCCCAATTTCTCTCCTTTCCCGGTTCTACGGAATCCCCCACCCAATGTCCCTCCAACCGATGATCAACGAGAAGCAAATTTGGAGAGTGGTCGCCTTGCAGTCCTCAGCTCAAATGACCCAGAAATGCAGCTCGCCTGGGCTCAGGATGCTCTCTCCTATGTCGAAGTCGCCATGCAAAATGAGATCCGCATGGCGCCTTCCAGCCCCCTCGACCGCAAACACCACAGATTGAGCGCCAATTGAAAACAGACGCCATCAATGTCGTGTCCTTCCTGGCTGAGCAAAGTCACCCTAGAGCGTTGTTTATCAAGGCAATGTGGCTAGAATTTGGCAAATTCGGTTTCCGTGTTGACAAGAAGGAGGCTTTTCTCTGCTATTCTCAAGCTAGTGAGAAAGGGTATGCAAGGGCAGAATACCGCATGGGCATGCAGTTTGAGAATTCAGGCGAGCCTCACAAAGCGATTAAGCACTATGAGCGTGGTGTCAGCCTTGGTGACTCTGCCTCGAACTACGTAAGAATGAACCAATTTGTGGAGTGGAGGGATTTGCAATATGGCGTATACGGAAACTAACGGCTTTCTACAGAGGCTTGGAATGATGATCCTCCTGGGTCAACATGGACAACGCCAGGACTACGCTGTGGGCTTAGACCATATTCGATATGCCGCGCAAACATGCGACGAAAATGCGCCCCAGGGAGCCTACGTAAGTTTTACCTTTTGTTTCTATTCCAAAGCCCTTCCACTAACGGTTCCTTTTGCTTGATTTTTGTTTAGGTATACGGGATGCTACTGGCTCGTGAACTGCCACAGGTCGCTGTTCCAGACGAATATCTCCCGTATGATTTAAATGCTGCGAGGATTAACATCGAAAAAGCAGCGTACCACGGGTTCGCAAAAGCTCAAGTGAAAATGGGAGCTGCGTACGAGCTCTGTCAACTGGGTTGTGACTTCAACCCTGCTTTATCTCTCCATTACAATGCTCTTGCCGCACGGCAAGGCGAACCTGAGGCTGAAATGGCAATCAGCAAATGGTTCCTATGCGGGCATGAGGGGCTTTTTGAGAAAAATGACGAGATGGCGTATACATATGCAAAGCGGGCTGCCCAGAGTGGACTGGGAACCGCAGAATTCGCGCTTGGCTACTTCCATGAAATTGGAATATACGTTCCGGTAAACATCAAGGAAGCGCGGGTCTGGTATGCAAAGGCCGCAGCCAGTGGTAACAAAGATGCCAGCTCCCGGATCGACAGCATATCGCGTTCCAAAACCCTATCGAGAAAAGACCACGAGCGTGTTGCCATTGCGCGTATTAAATCGCAGTATGCTTCCCATGGACGAGCTCAACGCTTTGCGGAACCCCAGACCGCGCAGCCTGTTCAACAAGATACCCTAGAAATGCCAGACCCATCACGCATGACCATTTCTAGCAGAGACTCCATGAACCAGAGACCAGTGTCGGCGGCGCCATATCCAGACGGACCTAATCCCGGCTATGTCAACTCCCCGGGCCAGTACAGCCCGCGATCAAGCTCCGCATTCGGAATCAACCCGAACATCCGCCCCCATTCCGCCAATCACATGCAAAACCGCGTTCCGGCCACCGGGGGATCCCCCTCGTTACACGCGCAAGGCCACCGACCACAGCCAGGCACTCCGAAATTGGATATCGGCTACTCCGCGCCTCCAGAACCCTCCGGTGCCGACCGAAGAAGGCGCCTTCAACGTCCCGACCACCCACATAATAATGGGTCCATGCAGCCCATGGCACCCGGCCACAGTGGTGTTCCACATCCAGACCCTCGGGGAAGTCGTGTGCCGTCATCCTCACACTCCTCATCAGGCGGCCACTATCCTTCTCGTGGTGAATCGAAGCCGCAGATGACTTCCGCCCCTGCCTCATCGGCAGCCCGTCCTGGCCAGAAGCCCGCTCAGTCAGGCCAGCCCGCGCAGAAGCCAGTGGGCGGACTCCCTGGCAAGGGACCTAAAACCTTCGAGGAGATGGGAGTGCCACAAGGCAAGGGTGATAGCGATTGTGTAAGTAGCCTAATCATAAAGAGATTGGTTTTTCTCCAATTGTCCCAGACCCTGAGGACTTAACTGACAATTCTTTTTGCAGATCGTGATGTGATGCTCAGCTCCCTCCCCTCCACTTAACTTAGACTTGATACCTCATTTACTTTTATTTTGACCCATTGTTGTTTCTACTTTCAGTTTCTCATTTCCAAAGCCGGCACAGCGATATGGAGTTTCTCTTTCATTTCGTTTCTTTTTTAAAAAATAATCATTTACCCACCGCCCGATTCCCCCTCTTCTACCTCTTCCACTTCATCCCCCCGCTTTTCTCAGTGGCCTTCCTTCCATAGCGGCGACAAGATTTGTCGTTTAGTTTCCTCGATGGATAAAGGAGGCTACCCAACCTACACGTTTCTTCTGAACCGCTTATAAGGTCCTGCTCGCTAAACCCCGCCGGCAAGACAATCGTAACTATTTGATTCATTTGAATCTAAAATATTCCCCCGCTGCCCGCGCTATCTAAGCCTTGGCCTCTTAGTGCATGTTGCCGGCAAACACCCCTTGTTCCGTATCTTAAGTCTTTCCCCTGCCACCTTCTCTCCCCCACAAAGAAAAAAGAAATTTGACTTCCCTTTCATGTTTTTCTAAGCAAATTGTTTTTAAGACTACCCGGGCCTTTGGTTCTGCTATGGATAATTGACATTCCATTTCAATCACCTTTTTTATTGCTATGCCATCTAGTTCCCGCGTGACTACTTGCGGACAAGCAGGGAAATTATTTCCCATGAACTAACCGTTTTATACCGAGACGCTCTACAAAGAGAGAGAAAACACACGCCACTTCAATTAACTGCGCTGGACTGCTGGATAAATATTTTGGTTATTCTATTCGATGGATAGACCGGTTTGGTATTTTTTTTAACTTTTCCCTGTCTACCCTACAGGCAAATCCCCTTTCTATGTCGTGTGCGCGCCTGTGTTTTGGGACTACTTGAATTTGTTTTCAGACAATGCCTTATCTAGGTATATATATCCATTCCTATAAAACTTAGCAGGTTTCTTTTATTTATTTATTTATATTTCTTTCTTTTCCCTATGGTTTTCATTTCGTTTGCAACCTCTTCCTCATTCTCGTCTTTGAGTATCCAATACTATTTTGCTTGCCTTGCAAGCACAAGTAGCCGTGCTTAATCTAGGTGGTCCTCATATATTTCACTTTCTTTCTTCCTCTATAATATTAATGTAAGGAGAAAGCCAAGCAAACCAATATGTCTTTTCTAACTGTATATGTTCTTCTTTTTTCTACATACCTATATGCGTCAAATGTACGTATGTAGGTTGGTTTCCTTCAGTCCCCATATCCTCACTCATACCCACATTTCAGCAACAAACATCACCTGGCACGTGATACACTCCCTTTTCTTTGCCATTATGGCCATCGAGTAGGAAGAAGTTGGAGAGCGATCTTCATCTACAACTCCCATGTCTCCTTTGTCTTCTCCCCTTCTTCCCTTTACCTCGTGTCTCCCACATGCCAACTTGATATTGCGTGTAGTTCGCAGTGAACCACTGAAAACGAACACGCCCTGAGCAGTCTAAGTCCTCTTTCAGCCCCTGGAGATCGAAACTGGTTAACGTATGTCAATGCAAAACCAATCCCTAACACCTTTGTCCTCTTCTTCCCGCTACCCATTTGATAAATCCCGTGTCTCGCGCGCGTTCATGAGGTTGGGATAATGGGTACTATTTGTAACTCCTGGATATATGTCCTGCGCGCTATATTGCCAACCATCTCCGCATGCTGCTGACGCTCCCCCACGAGGCGGGTGGTTAAGATACGCCACACATATACGTACAGGCTCAGCAATACCGTCTTATCCCATCTCAGAAACATGGCGCCACGCAAAGAGAAAAGTGATAAGGAGAGTAAGGAAAAGGGAGAAGATGGTGAGTAAATCTATGTTGTCCTCTTCTTTCATTCTTCCTAGGTTCATCCTTCATGTATGCCATTAGCGCCTTAATGCTTACCTCCCTTTTCTCCCTTTTTCCTTCACACTATCACACCGAGGATGTACTTGAGATAATTAACGATGTTCAATAGGAGCAACGATGATTTTAGAGTACCTTCGTGAGTTCTTGTCTCTGGAGGCGCGAGGAGCAAGCAAAGATAGCATATTTCCTTTTAATTTGCCTTTCTGCGTGCGCTATTCTATTGCTCTCAGAGCTGGTTACATTTTTACGGCTTTCTATTCGAGGTTGAAGTAAAAGCTAATATTGCTTGATGGTCGGGGTTGCTGTTATTGGATAGGTCAGCAGAAGTAGGTGTACATACATGCCTCCCTTCCCCATTGTCCATTGACCCTTTTACCATTTTCCGCTATGAAAGTAAACAGGCTGACACTCGATCGATAGTCGGCCTTATTCAGTGAGTGGATACGAAACTAGCTGTTATTTGGTCTGCTTTTCTAACCTTGATGGCAACCCTAAGGCGATCGACATCACTGCCAATTTGCACAACAAGGTGAGCAAAGGTATTGTCTAGTCCTATCGGGATAATCCGTGTAATTTTGTATTGGGATAGGGACTTAATTTTGTTAACTGGGAATAATCTTGGTGGGAATAGCATATACCGTCAAGGCATTGAAAGAGATGCACGAGCGGAAGGAAATCGAAGCACGTGTTGCTGGTATGTCCATATATGTAATTCATATGTTGAAAAGAAGACCTTTTGAGTTTTCTTGGAAGTTAATATCCCTTCCCCTTCCAGGCAAACAAATCGTCTACCACGCCCTCCAAGACGGCCCCTCAGACTCCACCCCAGCACAACTTTCCGCACTTGACAGCGAACTAACCAACTTTCGCGCACAAATCGCCTCAACAAAACAATACGAGAAAGCCCTCCGTGCGGAACTGGCAGCCCTCAGCGCACGTGTACCTACAGACGAACTACGAGAAATCGTATGCAGGCTAGACCGGGAAAAGGAAGAGGTATTAGGTCGTCTTGCGCCGTTGAGGGATGGGAGGGTTGCGACGAGAGTGCTTTCAGTGGAAGAGCAAGAGAGAGTAGATGGGGAGTGGAGGATGTGGAAGGGCAGGGCTGTGGGGAGGAAGAGGATTTGTAGGGAGGTGTGGGAGAGGTGTTCGGAGGTGCTGCCAGAAGGGATTAAGAAAAGCGAGGAATTGTGGGAGACTCTGGGACTGGAGGGGAGGTTGTAAAGGACGGGGCGCGTGAATCATAGCAGCGCCAGGTGCTATATATCTACGGTATTGTGGGGAGAGCCGTTCCAGCAGCTTATCTGGCCGAGAGCTGGCTGGCCACATAGCATATATATTCCATGTCAAGTTCAATACGGATGGATTGGGCGGATAACCACACGGCTAGACCCTGTAATAGACTTCATCTTTTAAAGCTACTTCCCATTCCTGGGATTTGGGCTCGTGTGTCTTCAATTGTGTCTAATCGTGTTTTGACGCCATACCACCCACCACCGCAGCTGACTTACACCCGGCGGGATCATGTGCGAGAGAACAGGCAAGGGGAAGAGTGAAGAGCTGATCAGATGGACTGTACTCGTGGCGGAGGGATGACTGGATTGTGCGGTTTGTATGAAGATGCATCTCGCCGTGCCTACATATATCCTCCGTATTTACCGAGTACGCTGCGTACTGTTGGTTAAATAAGTTAATTGTAGTTATGTAGTTCAATAGTTACAGTAAAAGCTCAATTCCACGTCCTCAAATAGCGCAACAACCAGCGCAGCATCATTTGAGTAGTTATATCTCTGCTGCTCTTCCGTTCTGCATACGGGAATGAATTCCCTTCTCCATCCATCTCTGTCTGCTCTAAGACGCTCTACGGGTGTCTTACACACAGCTGGGGGCGTTTGCGTTGGCCATCCACAGCCTAACGAAGTTAACTTATAAGTTAAATAATATATGTACCCCACCATCGCCAATCTCCAACCCAAACCTTGGGCAAAGCCTAAGCAATAAATCTCTGCCTCCAAAACAACCCCCCAAAAAAAGAGAGAGAAAACCTTTCGCCGTTTTCTCGCTTTTTCGCCTTCGTCTGCCACTTCACCGTCCAACTCCTATTTCGACCCCCACGACTGCAGCCTCCTCTTCCCTCCTCGCCTGCCGCTGGTCTTCTGCAGCTCGTCCTCATTCTCCGCCCCATCCGAAGTGCCATGCAGCAGCACCCTCAGCAGCATCAGCATCACCATCAGCATCAGCATCAGCAACCGCCGCAACAACAACAACAACAACAACAACAACAACAACAAAAACAACCTCTACATCCCCACCCACGAGACCAGCTACTATACCCGCTATCTCACCCCCCAGACGGCGGCGCTCCTCCTCCTCGCCCGTCGCAGTCTCGAATGGCAAACGACCTACGAAACCAAGTCCCACTACCCGTACCGTCGGGTCCTCCAGCACATATGCATAACGGCCATGTCCGCAATATGTCAGGTCTCCCGCCTTTCGACCTAGCCCGCAGTCCTCCGAGTGCAACCAGCAAGAGTACATTTCGCCCTATATCATTCCCTTTTTCCCATATTCTATTGTTGGTTTTAGTATTTATGGCCTGGCTAATGCATCTCGCACTCAGATACGAAACATGTCCCTTGCAAATTCTTCCGGCAAGGAGCCTGTCAAGCTGGTCCCGCCTGTCCTTTCCTCCACTCTACAGATTCCACCGTTGATTCCGCCCCATGCAAATATTTCACAAAGGTATTTCCACCTATGCGCCTATCTGCTTTGTACAGTGCAAGATAAAAAAATAACAAAAAAATTCTAATGCGTGGAATATAGGGAAACTGCAAATTTGGTGCAAAGTGCGCACTAGCGCATATCCTGCCCGACGGGCGGCGCGTTAACAGACCAAACCTACCTATGGGAATGAGTGGCGGCCATCTCAATCTAGGTGGCCGTGTCAACCCTACCCCCTACCACACCCAAGACTCAGCCCTTGCAAATTCCCTACTCTCTCAACAACAACGGGTAAATGGTCACCCCTCGCGATACTCCTACCCGTACCCGGGCCAGGAAGAGATATATGGCCAACCACAGCAAGGACCTGGTCAATACGATGGTGGTATCCCAACAATAGATGCAGGCCTCGTGTCTGATACAGGTTCCAAGTACGGCTCCCCCATCGAAGAACCGAGACTCCCAATGTCGCCAATTGGCCGTACAGCTCTCGATGCACCTCTGCCCGCCTCTTTTGATAGCCAGGGGATATCATACATGGCGCGACATGGCCCTGTGGCAGCTTCTCTTCCCTCCAAATTCGGCCTCGATCTATCCTCTCCCCCTTCTCAGCGGGCGGGTCCCCCTTCAGACATCGTTCGCAATCTTCACGATACTGCATTTGGATTGGATTCGCGGAAGCCATCAAACCTCGGCTCCTCGCCACCCGTCTTCCATGACGAGGGATCGGCCCCCCGACTGATGCATTCGCGACGTGTGGCAAGACCCAAGATCCTCTCAGCAAGTCTCCCGCGCCCAACCGCCTTGAGTGACTGGGATGATAGCTTCACTCTGGAAGAGGACTACCTACCGACAAACCTCCATGACGACGTGCTGACCCCGCAGGAGAGGATGAGACGACTGTCACGGACGGAGCAGGACAACAGCAGCAGCAGGGATTTCAGTGGCCTGGGCATGCCCGGAACAGGGTCCAGCAAAGTGGGGTCGCCACTAGCATCCAGTCCATCACGATTCGGTGCAATATTCGCCAAACAGCGACAGAGGAAGGAGGAGGAAGGACAGGCCGTCGGCCTAGGACACGTTGGTTCTCCGCTTCGCGAATCCTCTCTGAATTTCCACGCCGCGAGCCCAAATCCCAATCTACGCCCCATCGGCAGCCGTCCCAGCTCTGGAGACGTCTCTCCCTTCATCGCCAGCCCTTCCCGCCAACCTTCCATGTCCATGATCTCGCAACAACTCAGCAGCACTTCACTACATCCCAGCTCAGCCCGGCATGGCTCTTCAGCTGGTGTTGGTGGCAGCGGCTTTGGCGCTGGCTCTGGGCGTCTCGACCGCACCGTTTCTTCCCCCATCAGCACGAGCAGGATCGACGAAGAACAAAGCGATCTTGTGTTTTCCATGGAAGAAGAGGAAAATAATAAGCGGAATAGCGTCGTTTGGAGTTCGAATACTAATACTAATAATAACAACAATGATAGTAATACCAGCGCCACCGGTGGGAATAATAGTGGTAATATCAATAATAAGCCTTCGACGACTAAGGCGACGGATGATGCCTCAACGGCGCCTGGTGGAACAGGAGTCCAGTCACAACGGCAGCAAAAGGAGAACACGGCCACCGCGACGGCAATACAGGGTCAAAAGGAGAGTGGTGGTGCGAAAGGGAAGACACTTCTAAAGGAAATGGAGTCGCTCTATGGTGGGGGGCGGGCGTAAAAAAAAAAAAAAAAAAAAAAAAAAAAAAAATTGGGTTCCATCTTATGTTTCCTTTCTTAATTTATCACACCTCATTCTCGTCTTGATTTTTGTTTCCTGGTCTTTTATATATCTTATATATCTTATTATTATCATCATTATTATTATTCTAACCTTCGCTGTTTTCCCATTCAATATTTATAATTTCAAACTGTTCTCATTCTTGAAAGTTTGTTTTATATATATATCCACATCTGCCTCCCTCCTTCACTTCCGCTTGATTTCCTTTCCTTGTTTCTCTTACCATTTGTCGTTTTTCTATATATTATATCACACTTATCTATCTCAAGCCTTTACTCCTATTGTACTGCCATTTCATTCCCCATTGTATTTAAAACTGGAAGAAAAAATTGGAAAAATGGGTCAGAAAAACGGAAGCTACATTCAAGATTGACCAGGAGTCATGTCTTCGCAGAAGAGCTCTCTCTTACACTCCCATACAAACTCCCTTTCTTTCAACTTTATACCCTTTATCTCACAATATGTCTCGCCATATATATTCATTCACCACATGCCCCTGAGCACCCCTGAACCTCCCTGAGTATTTATTCGCGAAACCTCTCTCTGCATGTTGTCTTTATTTACAGACATACATGCATATACATGCACACATTGAGCTCTGCATTGATGTACATGTACATGTATGTGTTTAGTTGTTATTCTCAACACTCAATATTTTAGGCACCATCAATCCCCTGGCCATTCAGCTGTTCAAGTGATATATATTCATAGATTCATCAAACCTATGCGAAGCCCTCTTCCCTGTGTTGAGATTTTCATCTTCATGTTTTCCATTATCATTCAGAGAAGGAAACGAATTGGTAACTTGAAGAAGCGGTGGGATGGGGGGTAGGCAACCCTATACAGGTTACACTATGCTTCAACTTAACCCTAGAAGCTAAATTCCTATTCGTTAACTTTCAATCTTGGTTTCCATTTCTATTTCCTTATCTACCTAGATATATTATACAAGAATAAGAAAATAAGCCCCCCGCTCCAAAGCCGAAGCCCAGCTAAAAGCCAAATAGCCGGAAGTTTAGAAAATTCAAATAATAAAAAGATACAAATAGAAGAAATATAGTTAGAAAGATAAAACAACCGGGGTGCGAAATCACTAAGACAAGAACCATATGACATCGTACACATACGAGCCCTTCCCTTTCAAAGAGAGAGCTGACATCATAAATCACACGTCTAAACCACCCCCTCCAGCCCTAAGACTAACTATGGGCACTACGCTTACAGGCTCCTCAATATCTAACTTCCCCGTCGCCGCATCCGCCTTCGCTTTCTCCTTCAAGATGCTCATATACCTCTCATCATCTGCCTCTTTAATCTTCACAACATCCTCCTCTCCGTAACGCATTCGATACCAATCCCGATCAGCCTGCTTCATTTGCGCAACAGTTGCCATTAGCGCGAGCTCGGAGAGCGTTTTCCAATCGGCTGTCGCGAGGCTTTCGTTATTATCAGTACTACATGCGTCGGTACCGGTAGTGGTTGTGGAGGTGGTCATCTTCAACCGCTTTGCTTCTCTCTCCTGCTCCATTTTCTCCCTCTCCGCCCTCCTCTTCTCAATGAGCTTCGCCCTCTCCTTCTTCGCTGCCAGATAGCGCAGTGAATGTCCTAACCCCGTCTGCTCCGCTGGCGGGACGACGTCTAGCGGTGGGGTCGTGAAAAATAGTACGCGCCCTTTCTCATCGCAGTGAAATTGTCGTCGGATTTCTTCCGGGATAGCCGCGTTGGCATTATCGCTTAATATGAACGTTTCAACTGGTCGGGGTGCGTTTGGGGTTGTAAACGTTGGCTGGGATGACGGGATGCGGCTGAGATTGCGGCTGGGGTAGTAGTTGTGATTGTTGCTGGAAGTGGGGTTGAGGGATGGGCTGGGGATGGGGATGATAGCGGCTGGCTTGGTATGAAGGGAAGTTGTGCGGGGCTGAGTAGGGTTGTGGTGGCAGGGGTTGTTGGTAGATTGGGGTGGATTGTGGGGCCTGGGTTGCAAACGGGGGTCCTGGGCGGTGATTAAGGTTGCCTGCCGGGTAGACCGGGGCGGCAGCTGTTGGGGCTGCAGATTGAGGGGGGAATGGTTGTTGCATGCGCGTTAGTGTGATGGGCGGTTGGGGACTCAGGGCGGCTGGCGGGGCATGGGGAGTTGGTTGGCCGGGTGAGCGAGAGGGTAGGGAGGGTAAGGGACTGGCGCTCATGCGGTAATCGCCTGTGCTGTCCATACTCTGGCGGGTCGGAGCACGATTTATAGATATTTGACGCTGGGGTGCGACGGGTGCGACCGGGGGCGCAGGAAGTTGTGGAGGCGGTGATGGGGTGGGCTCTGGAGGTGGGGATTCCTAAATTATAGAAATATGTGTCAGTCAATGTTGCTGTTTACTTACGTACGGCTGATACGTGAGAAAGATGTAAAGTGATGGCTTACGTTCTCCTCTCTTGGTCGGCGGTGTACTGCACCCACAATCGGTGGCGCATTCTCTGCACCCCAAGTCGGTTTAGGTACATCATCTGTTTCCTTCGCATCCTCCTTGAGCAAGTGCTTTATCGGGCTAGGTATCTTTTTGATCTTCCGAGGCGCGTCGAAAAGATCCATCTCGTAATCCTTTTCTCTAACTTCGTCTGGCAGACAACTAGCCCAGGTCTTGATCTTGTTGAGTTTATGTTTCTCCTCATTGTATCGTGCTTCACAAACATAAACTTGTTTGTCTGGCGCCAGCCCTCGTGGCCTCCCACGGTTGTAACGGGTGAAGAACATGACGAAACATCGATCAACAACTTCCCCGATTCGGTGATCTCGGTATTGGCCAGTTTTCACGACTTCGTTAGGGTAAAAGTGCTTCTCATACTGGTGAACTGTCTGTTCAGGACGGTAGTACCAGCAGGCATTAACCCATTTCTGACCCTCCGCATCTTGCCACGTTCGGTAAATCTGGGCAACTATCGGCTTTGTTACATCGTTCGGGTTTTGAATATGGACCCAGTCCCCAACCTTCCAAAGTTCGCCCTTATGTAAGATACCATTAGGCAAAGGCAGTCGTCCATCCTCCATCAGATACTCGCTGTCCGGCTTTTTCTTCTCCTGGTCAGCTAACTTACGTGCCTCCGACTGCAAAGCAGCAGCATCCCTGTATATTTGGCTATCCACCTGGTTATACGCCTTGGCGTTGTTAAACATGAGGTCCATATCCTTCATAAAGTGGTCAACCGAATTGTACTTCTTCCTCTTAGATTTCCTTTTAATGAGATCGATCGCCATGGGGTCCTTGATCTCCGAGAAATAATCAGGATAGGCAGCCTTGTCAGGTAACCGCTCGAAATGGCGAACCTTTAGCTGGCCCGAGGAATCCTTGAACTTGCGTATCCCCTTCAAAACAGCCTTGATTCGCGCTTCCATCGGCGTATCAACGCGAGGCGGGCGACCACGCTTTTTTCGTAGCTCGGGGTCGTTAATTTTGTTTGGGTCATCTTTAGCACCACTTTCTCGTTTGGAGGATCCACGTGTTGGTCGTTTCCGTCTGCGGCGGCCGGCTTCATCATCTGAATCCTCAGCCTCATCATCTTCCTCGTCCTCATCCTCTTCTTCCTCCTCATCTTCCTCGACTGGAAGAGGGTCTGCGTCGGGGATTTCTCCCAGGTCTGGAAATTCGGCTGTCTCTGAAGAAATTATCCCTTGCTCGACGAGTTTGCCGAACTCAGAAATAAACACATCCTAATTTTTTGTAAAGAAAACACATTATTAGACTTTTGCTAATACTCAATGTTTATGCACAGATAGTTGGGTATAATGAAGTGACAAACCTTGATGACTAGCGCATCTTCGTATGCTTGGGATTTAGGGCGATTATATGTCTGCGCGTTGTGGGGAATCTAGATAGAAAGCGCGCCGGAATATAAGGACAGTCTGTTCCTGGAACTCTAGCAGTAAAAGTAGACGGGAAGTCATGGCACAGAATACTTACCAATGCACAATCTCTTACAAACTCGGCAAAATCAGTGTAGGATTTATTCTTGATTTTTTGCTTTAGTACGCTCAGTGCCATAGGTTCTTTGATGACATCGTAGTAGTCCGGGACATTACGTTTGTTGACGCTGCGATGGAAAAGGCGCGAGGGGTCGTATCCACTATTTAATATTTTTAGTTTAGTATTCGACGACTAAAACCATGATAGGAACGGAGCGGGCGCATATCATACTCCGGTTCGCGATAGTCATAGATCGCTAGGACAATATCGAACATAGCTCTCCATTGTTCATCGGTTACCCGGTTCTCAGGGTTACTGCCTTCATTTTGTTTAGAATCTTCTGGCGTTGCCTTCGACGGTTGTGGTGTCTCAGGAAGCTCGGGGGTTTGAGAAGGTTGTGGCGGTTGTTCCGGCTGCTCGGTGGGTTGGTTGGCCTGTTCTGAGAGTTGCTGGATGAGACTACCGCCCTGCTGGGTTTCAGTCTCAGTTCCAGTCCTAGTCTCAGGCGCGGGGACCGGGGTGGAGGCGGAGGTAGAGGCGGGCTGAAGCTCTGGTCCGGCGCTCTCCTCTGTCATGGCGAGAAGTGACGATCAATCAATTTTGGCTGAGTGCAAGGGAGACGTGAATTGTAGAAAGCGGGTGGTATAATCGCTGGAGGAGTAGTGATGCTCCTGTCCAAGCCCAGAAAGAATACTAATCGGAGGATAAATGTTCTTCCGCTATAGCATAGCTTCAGCCGTGACAAAGTAACTATAGGCGACAGACGCCAAGCGCCAAGCGCCAAGCGCCAGGTCCCGCCGCGCTATTGCGGGACATCAGGAAACCGAAGCAAGGCCTCTCTCTTTGTTCGTTTCCTTCACTCCATTGCCACGACAGGCTCTTTTTTCTGTGTCTCCCACTTAAGCTACCTACTGCGCTCACTGAGACATCCGGAAGTCACTCTCTAATTTCATTGTACTGACCCCGTCTCCGTCTACGGGTGGATCATTATAATTCTATATTATTGAAGCCGCGGAGTCCGGGTAACTACGAAGTTTCCTAAGGTTGTTGTTTAATAGGATACATATTTATATTACATATCCCTATTTAAGGGCGTTCTCGTTCTCAGATATTTCCTAAAGCGCTATCATAACTTAATTCTCTTTGATCCAAACGATGAAGATTCGCATACGTGGCCCTGGAGGCCAGTCTACAATTTCCCTTGATGAAAGCGCCACCATCCATGACCTACAGGCCCAGATCAGCGAGAAAACAGCATTGACATCGTATGATATCAAGTACGGCTACCCTCCTAAGCCGCTCGACCTCTCCCAGCTGGACCCCGCTCGGTCCATCACCGAAATTGGAACGAATCTTAGTGGAGAGCAGCTCATTATTAGCAAGAAGGGGGGATCTACGACGGGCACTTCAGTCAGTTCGGGCCAGCAACAGCAGCAACAATCTGTTATGACGAACACTGCTTGTCAGATAGATTCGAATAGAGCCGCGCAGAAAATTCAGCCAGCAGCGAGAAATATCTCGAAACCGCTATCACTGTCCCGCAAGGGCAACACCGCCGTTGAAAATGACCCTCCCGAGATCCCATCGCCGGAACACGGTGGTACGGTTGTCCTCCGCATAATGCCCGATGATAATTCCTGTCTATTCCGAGCGGTTAGCAGCGCAGTGATGGGCGCAATGGACGCAATGACCGAGCTGCGGTCGGTAGTTGCGCAAACAATCCAAGAACAGCCAGATGTGTATTCAGCAGCGGTACTAGAAAAAGCCCCAGATGACTACTGCCGATGGATCCAGACGGAGGACTCGTGGGGCGGCGGGATCGAATTAAGCATCCTGAGCAAACGCTTTGACATCGAAATCTGTTCCATAGATGTACAGTCGCTACGCGTTGATCGCTTCAACGAGGGCCCGCCGACAAGGTGCATCGTGGTGTATTCGGGCATCCACTACGACGTCATCGCGCTCTCCCCGTCCGATGAGCCGTATACGCATGCATATGCGCCACCAGAATTCGACACGAAGATATTCGATTCAGAGGACCCTATTATCTTGGAACGGGCTCTGGCGCTATGCAAGATCCTGCAGGGTAGGCACTATTATACGGACACTGCGTCGTTTCGGATTCAATGTAATACCTGCGGAGGCCGGTTTGTGGGCGAGAGGGGGGCTACCATACATGCTACGGAAACTGGGCATTATGATTTTGGTGAAGCGCCTTAAAAGACATGATTGCGATTTAATTGGAACATATGCTGTGCTATCTGTCGGCAAAATCATTATAAAATATATAGAGATTATATCTGCAATGCAGCATAGAGACTTATTACTGAAAATGAGAGAAGCTCTACCCCTTTGCCTGATGCTATTACTCAAATCGAACATAGCAGAAATAACTTTTATCTTCGTTGCAGAAAGCATCATACTTAAAAGAGCTGACTAAATCTCTAACAGCGCTTTAATCTCATAGCTAATAAATCTAAAAGTTGCATTGCCGTCAGAACCTGACAAGCCTTTTACTAAAAACAGAATCTATGAGATATTTTCTCTCCAAATTCAATTTTCATTGGCCGACAAGGTTCCAAGAATTTTTGAATGTCGAGAACTTTTAGCATACCCAATGTAAGCTCAATATAAATAAGCCTCATTAATGACAGGGCTTTGCATTTTTCTCCGCATGCACTTGTCTGCATGCGCGAGCCGGCGGAAATTATTGCTTGGGTGATGAGCATCGGCCATTCAACCCGGCGTTGATTGTTTCGCTCCTGGCGCTTAAAGACCGCTGAAGTCTCAAGTTTTCCTGTTCAAGGACCATTGATTGGAATAGCGGTATCAATGTTTCCCAATAATATCATACCATTGGGCCCTCTTCTCCATGGTTGACTGCCATCTTTGAGACTTGCGTCGTATGCATAATCTGAAATTTTGAATAGCGTGCTACTTCCAACGCAGCAACCCAGTAGCTCTATCAAAGAGCCGTCTCACCGTGACCCAATTATTTGTCTTATATCCAGATACTTCCACTCCTACCCGCAAAGGTGAGGCTGACTGTCCAACCAGTGATTCCTGTAGAAGATACCATACTCTAACAGGAGGTCTTTCGATATTTCAGATGTCTATAGCCGAGCAGCTCCCCTCGACTAAGGACTCCACGGTCGAGTTATCACAACAAGGAAGCTGAGAAGCATGAAGAGAAATATCGAGGGAAATATGCCGACTTTCAAAAGACTGAGGATCGACCTGTCAGTATTGTGCTTTCCCTCGAAACATTTCCGCAAGCAGAACTAACCATGGCTATGCCCGACGTGAGATGTTCCAACACTTGGCAAAAGCAGGAGAAAACAAGAAAGCTGCTGAAACCTGGAAAAAGTGGAAACGAATACTTCTTCGTCGTAGGGAGTACGAAGAAGCTTTGCTCAATCCCTTATCTGATACGCAAACTTGCTACTGTCCCGGCCGCATCATTCGGCCATTATGGGGACAGAAGCGACCGGCTGGCTTTCGCGACACATCCAATGTAATGCGCGCTATATTCGACGGCCGGAAATGTTCAGTAGTTGGTTGCTGAAATTGTTTCATTATATGCTTTTGTGTTTGCTTTTCTCACGTCCCTGTTTCGTTTTCGTTTCCAAATCGCTCTGTGCATGTATGTAATCGATCCTAGCAATAGTAAGAGTGGACAGACCGCACGTTTTCCCACCGTCGTCATTTTTACCTCTTTCATTTAATAGTTGTATCTTCTGTAAAATCCTTCGTCCAAAGAGGGGGGGTTATTCAGGCAATTCCGTAGGATAGTTCAAAAGCCATACCCACGTTGAAATCTGCCCAGTACAAATATTAATCGTAGCTGCTGCAAGTCTAGCGATGGATCGGGTGCGTTTTATAGATTGCTCGTACCTTAAGAGGATAAAATGGAAATAGAAGTACCCTCATACGCCAATTGTTGAAGTCGTGTTCAATCTTTTGCTCAAAAATAATAAATAAGGAATCAACAACCCGTTGAGAGCCTCCATCACATATTATTCTTATTCTTCTTCTTCCATTATACTCATATGCAAGCAGAGCTTATGATGAGTCCTTGCATGATGTTAAATACAGGCCAAGTGTTGAGACCGCGCCAAGATAACATAAGAACATAGGAAATACAAATGAGTGACAACTGTTGAAAGGTAACTAAGTTAGTTAACTGGTTGTAGAATAGTTGAAGGTTGTATTGATAGATCTATCTACAAAGTGTCAGGTCAAGTTTTCTGCTTCCTGGGAACAAGGCGGTCGAAAGGTTTGGGTGTGGATGAGTCAGCCGGCGCTAACCCCGAAGCAGCGCCCGGCCCGGCTATGATGATGATGCTTTGCCGGTGATCTCACCTTGGTTACAAGCATCAGGTAACTTAACTACTAACTACCCTGACTGGTTTCTCCTCGTCTTCCGCGGAAGAGATCTCACCAACAATCGACCTGTAGTACACTTCATGGCATCCTCGTTCTCGGGTGCCTCCTCCGTGTTCGACACCCTAAAACCCCGGTCCTCTCTTGGCTCCGCCATGTCAAACAACCTCGACGACGGAGTAGTAGCGTCACTTGGCACCACCACCACGACGGCTAACACCATTGCTTCCGCCGTTCCCGAGAAAGCTCCAGATGATTCGTCAAAGTTAAAGACGTTCTTAGGGATCCTGAGACAGTAAGTTGGAGCTGTTATGAGCAATTTTGCGTGGTGTCGAGCCAGAACTGCAAGCGGAACCAGAAGCTCAGAAGAGAACAGCGGATAGTTGATCCCACAAGAATGATTTCCCAAGACAATCTATTGACAAGTCAGATGGGCTGATTGGATATACTTCTCGTTTTTGAAAAATGCAAACAGGTTCATCGGTGTCTCGGATATCGCGACCGTTCGTTTCTCTCTCCCAGCCCAACTCCTCGAGCCAACTCCGAATCTAGGTGCGCTAGACACTTTTCTAGGTCTCTTGGATATATTTTTTGTCTTTTTCGAGAACCCTGCTCCTGTCCCCCTTTTTGCCAGCTCCAGAACATGCCCAACTGACTGACCGCTTGGCCGCTTGGCCTATTTATAAAAAAAGAATATTGGAATTACTTGGATAGACCGGAAACATTTGTTAGGTTCGGGCTCCGGAACTGCTTCAAAGATATGAAGCTGGAAGCTAACTGGCTACTGTAGCATTGGAAAATCTGACGACCATCTCGGCCGGATGCTGGAAGTCCTGCGGTTTTGGTTTACAAAGGATCTCGTGAGTCGTCCTAATGGAAGTTAAGCGCTACGATCTTTCCGCTGGGAAGGCCCCTTCTGAAAGTGAGCCATAGAAATATATCAAAGGAAAGCCCTGCAAACCGTATAACTCAGCTTTGGGCGAATTTTTCCGGGTGCGCATTTCGACAATTTTGTTTAAACCCTCTTGATTCCACCTTCCGGAAGATTAAATAGTGCTAATCACATTTTCAGTGTAACTGGGAAATAGAAGATACTGAAAACCCGATCGCCACCACCGCTCACACCTCCGCCGCCTCCACCACTTCGGCAGCTATCAGTGGCGGTTCAGAGCGAGTGAAAATATCTTACTTAACCGAACAAACCTCGCACCACCCACCGGTCTCCGCCTTCTATGTCGACTGCCCCCAGCGGGGCATCACTGCCCGCGGCTTTGATCAGATTAGCGCCAAGTTCACTGGGACCAGCATCCGCGTGACCCCTGGACAGCATAACCTAGGTATATTCATAACCCTGCGGGACCGGGGCAATGAAGAATACCAACTCACGCATCCAGCGGCACACTTGGGCGGCCTGCTGCGCGGCTCACTTTCCATCACAGTTTCAGACACATGCTTCATTACCTGCGCGGAGACACGCATAAAAGCCATCCTACAGTACCTTGATGAAGGCTGGATAGGTAAAGCACAGAATAGGGTTGTTGGTATCATCTTCCGCTATGATCCGGAGAATGATAACCAATTTAAAATTAAGGACGTACCTGAGTCGGATGTGCTGGCCCGCATTGAAGGTTGCTGGCATGAGAAGATCTATTATACCCTAACCCCCACGGAATCCAATATATGCAATGCGCGCAAAGGGAAAGACACGGATGGGGGTAAAGAGAAAGACAAGGACAGAGAGAAACACCTCCTTATCGACATCGCTCCCCTCTTTCCAGTCTCAAAACTCATACCACCAGATGACCAACAGCTACCCAACGAATCGCGCAAGTTTTGGTCTCGCGTTACCGCTGCCATTGGTGAGAAGCAGTATAGCCTTGCAACGAAGTTGAAGCAAGAGTTGGAGGAGAAGCAGAGACAGCTGGCTTCTGCAAGAAAGGAGAGGAATGAGGAGTGGAAGCCGCGCTTTTTTACCGTACCCGTTGCATCGTCGGGGAAGCCCGAACTTACGGCGGATGGGGAGAGGCTGCTTAAGGGTTTGCACGAGGGAAATTTCATGCTTGAGTGGATTGGGCCAACTGGGAATGCAGATACGGCCGGGAGTATTTAGTACTATGGCATGGATAGGTGTTAGGCGCCATTTTGCTTCGTCTGGGGTTTATTGGTCTGGTTTGCTACATTCATTGCACGTTGCATTACACCGGCACTGTACAGACTACAGATCGAATGAGGGTTGTAGAAGTTGATTTGAGTCGAAAGAGTAGCAGGATTTCAGAAGCCCTTTCTTTTCTTTTTCTTTTTCTTTTTCTTTTTCTTTTTATTTTTTTACTATTTTTTCAGTTAACTTTTTGCCTTTTTTTTTACCACTAATATTCGTGAATGCATCATCACATACGTATCAGTGCATGTCCTTTGCTTTAGATTCCCTTCATTCCCTCCATTCCCTTTTCCTATTGCTAATGCTACTCTCTATCTTGCTTGGTTTCATTTCCTCATCCTCGCGCCATCTTTTCCCCGAAAAAGGTTTCCAACCTAGGAGGGAACGTTTCCCCCGAAGTTTCTTTATCTCTAGCAAGCTTGATATAGAAGTCACCATTTTCATATATTTCCACTTGATAGACTACTTGTGTATGTCCGCGTCATTTTATCCATTCCCTACCACGTGCACTTTTCTTACTTGAAATATCAGAAACATGTATTCCTTGCTTACACACTATGCCCTTTACTCTCTGTACTCTTCCTCCTTTGCTATCCAACTCTAGTCTGTCTCCTTCATAGTGGCTATATGTCATGAGAATATGCAACGTGGCTCGGAAATTATCCTTTGGTTAGTGAATATTTCGCCGCTCGAGTCCTTTCCTTCCAAGGTAACTTGCATTGGATAAAAGCAGCAGTCTGCGAAAAGTGAGGTTAGGGAAGGACATAACAACCTTGGAAAGATACCATTATGAACAATTCGCCATTATAGACCTGCATTATTATTGACCAAGTAGGAAATAAGAACACGAATTTATCCAGCATGAGCCCAGTCAATGTCAAGTCACCCTTTCATACATTCATCCCACCAACCCATGCCAATCTGCAATCAAGTAAAAACCTCCCTATGCTTTCAGACGCCAATTGCTACACACAAGCTGGACCCTAGGTCCTATTGAAGCCTCTCCCAACAAAACAACGCTGATACATACAAATCAAAAGCGAAAGGTTATAAGAACACCCATCCTGAAACCGAAAACACCCAACTCAGGCATTCGACTTGACAACCCTAAAGCCGGCCGTGACGGTCTTGGTGATTTCCTCATTTTTGTGCGCCAGGAGTGACAGGGCATAGACAACATCATTCCATTGCCTTTCACTTTCACACCGGGCTAATCTGGCCGCAAGCTTCTCGGCCAGCTGCTTAGCATGTTTATCCTAGGAATAAAGTCAATACAAAGGCGCACGGCAGTCGAATCACTAGTTGATGGGTGGAAGACCATACCTTCTCTACAAACCCAGCCAGAAATTTGATAATTCTCCGCAGTGCATCCTCCTCCAAGCCCTTCTCCGTACTCAACAAGCTAAACATATCCACGAAGTGATTGTAGACTGCATTATCCTTCGAGGCCAGCTCGGTGAAGAACATCCGCGCCAGATCAGCAATACGTTTATCATCATCCTCGAGGCATTTTGCCATCTCGCCCAGCTGGCCTTTGACTTTCACTTGGCCAGCAAGGATGAGGAATGTTAGAGTCATTAAACAAGTCCGTTTGACTGAAACGTCACTGTCATTGAGCCGTCGATAGAGGAAATCGGTGTTCTCATCGATGAGGTGGTTAAAGCAAACGGCCATGTCGCCGAGAGCAATGACAGCGTTGCTTCGAACGATTGGGTCTTCCGATCGCTCCATTATGGTGATGAGAAGAGGCAGGTTCTTCTCGCAATATTCACCGGATACGCACATAAGTTTGGCCATGCACAGAGTTGCAGCAGACTGGAGATTGCGATCAGGGTATGTATTATTATTAGCGCAAATCTCAGCAACTAGTGGGCCGAAATTGGTGAGCAATGACGTCGGCCCATATAGGAGCTCACGTTCACGAATATGAGCCATTGCCTCTGTAAAGTCGTCTTCTGTAGTACCGCCAATAAGATCAAGCTCATCATCCTCGGACGGCTGATTCGGTTTTTGGGGGGCTGGGTCTGTACTTCTGTTCTTTTCCTGTTCGGCTTTTCGACGTTTGAAATCAAGTTCGCAAAGTTCGAGATGGACTATTTGTTTGATAGCGATGTGACCGACTATAAAAAGTAATTGTGACAGCGGAACAGAGCTCGTTTTCCGTCTAGGGGTTTGGGGCTCCTCCAAGCCGCCTGAAGCCATACTGGTATTATCCTGGGATGAACGGGGTCGCATGTGTGGCTGGAATACGAACTTCGTTTTCCGGCGAAGGATTTCGGAGCAAAGCACATCGGGGTGTTTCGAGAGCGCATATATTGCTCCAATCGCATGTTCCGCAACACCATACCACTCCTTGCTATCCGAGTCAATCTCGATCATAGCAGCCAGTTTGCTGAGTACTGCGTGGTCATTCGACAGTTTAGGAGAGACGACATCCTTGGACTTTGCTTGCCGACCGGGCTTCATTCTTTTCAACGCGATGCAGGTGTATTTGGCAAGTACAAGGTCTGCCCTCCCAAGGCTTCCCAAGCCGACACGAAGCATTGCTTCTATCTCTCGCACCACAACCTCAGGGTCGGCTAGGGCAATCATTCCAAGAACTATAATTGCCCCTCTCCTTTGAGTCTTCGAGATTTCTTTCTTTTGGACGCTGTACACCTGCCATAATTTGGCAATAACTAGATCCGAAATATGACCAATTTTCATCATTGTACTGAGCAGTTGTTCTAGAGAAGTGAGTTCAGCTGGCGTGGCGCCAAAAGTGAGACTGATCATGTTCCGGGCGATATAGTTGGCGGCATCATTAGAACTGAAGGAGTCTGGGGCGTCAAAAAATAAGCCTTTGTAGCAGTCAATCAAATGGCTTTGAACTCCCTTTCCCTCGTCACTATTTCCTTTAGTCCATATTAGGCGGAGCATTCGTCGAATACCAGCACGGGCAGTCTCAACTTTGTAGGCGTCAATCATAACAAAGAAGTCCATTGCTTCGATCACTTCGCTCTTATTTCGAGACGACAATAACTGTGAAACGATCTGGGAAGCATGGTGAAGGACTTCGATAAATCGAATTGCTTCAAGGTAATATTTTCTCGTCAGCTGGAGCCTTGTGAGCAGTTCAGATGTTGCTGCCTCCTCTGCGGCCTTCCTCATAGCCTCTTGTTTCTGTTCCTCGGTCAATCTAGGAGCCTTCGAAGGAGACTCGTCGGGCATCTGCGTAGCATCGTCAAGCAGTTCACTGTCGATGTTGGTGGCATCCACATCCTCGCCTAGACCAGGTGTCTCGGGGGGAGGCCTTAGCGAATTTAATTCCGCCTCTACAGCCTGGAGTCTTGCATCCCATTCCTTAAACGAGAGCTGACCGCCGTGCATGACACTGAACGGGTGGGTAGAGACCAATTTGCCGAGCAATTTAATTGCATTCCTGCGAACATTACTGCTCTTGTCTTCGAGACTTCTAGCTGCGAGCTCTGCTGCCATTTGTCGCCGTTTCGGGAATTTTTGATCTAGTTCGGCAAGTTTCATATAAACCTGAATGGCACGGCATCGGCAGTATGGATTGATGTCTAAAAATCGTTCCTCTAGCACGTCAAAGAAAGAGTTGATTTGCGTTGTATAGTTGTCACCTCTTTCTTCCTGCTTGCTTAAATCTGATATCAGGTTCCCGCACACTTCGATTACAGCGCATCGCAGCGTATAAGCCTAAATCAACGTCAGCCATTTGATACGTTTGCGAATCCAAAAGAACACAGGTGGTGAATCACCTCGCTATCAAGTTGTTTTGCCAAAAGAGTCATTTGCTTAATGATCAGTCTCGGTGCAAGTTCTGAAAGTCTAATAATGAATGCAGACACTGATTTTGGGCCTTTAGTGTCGTTTGAATTGAATTCCTTGTTTCCAAGTTCCCTATTAAAATTCATAAGTAACAATTGATTTTTTTAAGCTAGTGAATTATTCGTCATATACCTTAGTATTTCATCTGACAACTGCGGATAATCGTACTGTTCCGCGAGGATATGTAGAAACTCCGCCATGGGCTCTGAAAGGTGCTCAAAATATGTGAGGCTTTGGACAATTGAGGTTTGCGCTCCTAATGTGCTGGTTAGATGAGATAAGGAAGCAGAGAAGTCGGCAAAACTAGATCATACCAAAAGCATGACCATGATGCTTAACAGCAATGCATAGGACTTTAAATGCATGCATTCGAATTGACATGCTCTTCACTCGTTGCTCGCTTTCTAAAATCAAGTATATTGTCTTGGTAAACAGGCTCACAAACGTGTCACGATCGGAGGTGGTCATGAATATCTTCCCAAGTTTTAGCTTCAATACTTTACACATGACATCCATGGCAATCTGGATTTGAGCGGAAGAGTCCCAGTGCTCATCGTTTGTGGCAGGCTTTGGTCTTGATTTTCCGGTTCCGCGCCGCGCGGGGGCCGCTATAGCGGGCTTTTCTGCCAGTTTTGTCTCTACTACAGACAATGTCCAGTGTAGCAGGAATGCGTACATTTCCAAAAGTCGTTTGTGATGCTGAACGGCATCAGTTTCATCGGACTCGATGTCATGGTGGCTAATATCGGCTTCGACCGCAAGACCCGAGACAACAAGATCCAGAATCTTGCTGAGAGACTTTGTCGGGAGTAGGGAAGAGAATCTAGATAGTTTAAATAGTTCAGATTTTGGTTCTAGCTGGTGGAAACTTTGCTGTTGAGAGAGTACAGGAGTTGGGGCACACTTGAGGAGAAATTGCAACGAGTCGAAGAAGCTGCTTCTTGCCAGGCCTTCTGGGTTCTCGGCTACAGCGTCGACTATGGGGTTCAGCACCGCATTTATCAGGGGACTGGTTAGCGATTCGGGGTCATTTTCGCAGTCCAGCAGCTCCGGGTCTGCTTCCGGGGTGGGAACAGAGGCGGGGTCGCTCAAATAATATTTAAGAGATTCATTGATATCGAAATCCATGGTTTCATCAGACCATATAAAGGGCGTTGTACGCACAGGATGGAACCGGGGGGAATTACGGGATATAGAAAATACAGATGATGGTGAAGGGGAAAGCTCCTGGCCCTGTTCCAGTTCCTGTTCCTGGTGTTGACCGTGATATGGCTGAAGTCCAAGACGACCGTGGCGGTTAACGGTGATGTTTTGTTTGGCTTTTTCCTTTTTGGGATAACCCAGGCGGCGCTGTTTTCTTCCCGGCATGGTTAGTGTGCCGTAATGGTGGTACATGTAGTTACCCCCCCCTGTATGTTGAGTAGTAGTGCACTCCTGTAAAGCCAATTCTATTGTTTGGGGTAAGGCGATGAGAATCTAATTGAGGTGTAGGCCTCCGAAAGGCATAACTGTGGAATAGCATTTGTTTGGCTATTTTCTTCTATTTTGGTGCAGGAATGATCTATATTGGCTCTGGTGCGCGGCAACTGCGCGCTTGTTGTTGCGGGACCGAAAATACGTGTAATACTTTACAACCATTTCCCAACTGAGATATACTACATGCCACTTTTACTCCTCGGCCTTCTTCCAACATTGAACAAGAAAAACGGTATCAGTGTTAGAGACGCGACGGGTGTCGCGATTGTGAGAATTTATTTGCCCGGATCAAGCTGTTATAAATCGCAGCCACCCGTGAACACATTGGGATATCCTTTAATACGTTCTAATAACAAATCATAAAAGGGCATCAGTTAAATACTTCTGCTGTTTTACTGAAGTGGTCAAACCTAAGCCTCCAGTGGCTTTGAGGGCAGCTCAGGCCATTTCTCGAACTCTATCACTCACGCCTCAATATGACCACCACTAATTATACTGCGGAATCTTTCTCCCCCGTTGAAGTACTCAACATTTCCGAAGAGGGAGAAGAAGAAGAAGGCCGTTGTTCCTTTGACACAGATACCGGTGAAAGAGTTGGCCCCACGGATGAAGGCTCCCATAGCGTTGAAAGCGAGGGCCAGGAACTTTCAGAAGAAAGTGAGCCAGAAGAAGTGGATGAGTCTGTAGCGGAAGACATGAGGAAACTCGAGAGCACATTTAAGGGTATTTCTAGCAGATATCGATTAATCAATCGCATTGGAGAAGGTTCGTTCAATTGGCCGATATATGAGCCCACTATTAATTATTAGGCGTTTAATGTTTCCCTTCACGTACTAACTGTTCAATAAAGGCACATTTTCCACCGTCTATAAAGCTGAAGATCTTTATTATGATGAATATGAGAACGACTGGGACTGGGAATACAAGTCCTATGATCGGGATCATGAGAGAGGCAACGATCTGCAGCCATCTGATAGAGGCCCATCTAAATCCAAACGGAAGGGTAATAAATCAAGGATTCCATATGTAGCGTTGAAAAAGATATATGTTACAAGTAGCCCCAGCAGAATCCAAAATGAACTTGAGCTGCTGAATGACCTCCGCGGCAGTCGTTCTGTCTGTCCTCTCATCACCGCGTTCCGACACCAAGACCAAGTCGTGGCAGTACTTCCGTACTTCCCTCATACCGACTTCCGGGTCCAATATCGCACGTTCCTTGTCTCCGATATGAGGCACTACTTCCGTTCTCTCTTTACCGCCCTCCATGCAGTTCATAAAGCCGATATCATCCACCGAGATATCAAACCCACGTCAGTTCTTTGCCCCTTAAACATACCACTAGTTCAATCATAGCTTACAACGCTACAGCAACTTCTTATATAACCCAAAACTTCGACGAGGTGTGCTTGTTGACTTCGGCCTAGCAGAGGTAAGCTACTTCCTAGATTCCCACCCCTCCCTGCCCTCATTCCCCTACAACCGGAAATACTTGGGTGGAACTAAATGCCCGATTATCAAATAGCGCGAATACCTTGGAGGGGAACTCTGCCACTGCGCCCAGAATTCCACAGCAAGTAGATATCGCGCCATGTGGTTACAAACGAATATCCATTCGAATACGCTGTCTACAGGATATCCAAAAAACGACTCGCGGCCTTCACGACGTGCGAACCGTGCGGGAACAAGGGGTTTCCGTGCACCAGAAGTGCTGTTCAAATGCACGTCGCAAACAACCAAAATCGACATCTGGTCCGCTGGAGTTATCTTATTGACTCTCCTCGGTCGGCGTTTCCCCTTCTTCAATTCCGCAGATGATGTAGATGCCATGATTGAGATTGCAAGCATATTTGGGTCACGCCGCATGAAGGCCGCAGCCGCATTGCATGGACAAGTCTTCGAAACGAACCTGCCCACCATTGGTGAGAAGGGATATTCCTGGGAAAAGATAGTACTGTGGTCCAGCTGCGTGGAGCAGCTCACGGAGAGCGAAAAGCAGGCTACCCGTTTCCTTTCCCTGCTCCTGGAATTAAATCCAAGCAAACGCCCTACGGCCAAAGAGGCCTTACGGCATGAATTCTTCACTCATCCAGAAGCGGAGGATTTGGCCTGGGAAAACATTGGGGACAAGAAAGACGGTGATAAGACTGAGACGCAGGTGGCAGAAGAGCAACAACAGCGGGAGGAGACGCTTGAACCAGCTGATGAAATGCACCTTGTGTGAAATGTTGCATATATAACTCTTTTTTTTTTTTTTTTTTTTTTTTTTTTTTTTTGGGATTCTGGCGTTAAGGGAGGCGCGCCCCGCCGGGGGGGGGGGGGGGTGGCTACTGTCATTTCAGAGTACTCTTCTTCAGTCCAATGTGACTACACCAACATGTCATTTTAAATTGAAGCATTTTTGCGCTAACTATTCGTTTACTCGTTTCCTTGCAAATTCTTTCTCTTCCGAGGTTAGCATGGACTATCTATAGCTAAACTAAGGTATAAACTAATTATTGGATGTTTGTTTGCTGACAAAGACATTGGGTTGGAAGCTTCAAGTTTCAGGTAGGTTCGACGTCATTGTTGCACCTACCAGGAAAGATCTGGGACAACCAATCTCATAACAAACTCAAGACCGCAACATCTCAACATCACAGCATCACAGCGTCACATTCTATGCCACAGCTGTACACCTCTTTGCGGTGGATGCTTGTTGTCAAGCCAAAAGCTCTCTGCTAGTGCTTCTTGTTATCGTTATCTTCATCTTCACCATCAACCCCGCCTTTAAGGAGCTTTCCAGGTAAACAACGCTCTACCAGGACTTCTCTCAAGGTGTCTCGCCGCGATATTTACATCCTCCTTGCTCTCTGCATAGGCCTAATTTCAGATCTCTACGGAACCGTTTTCCATCAGATCCATCTAAGCCGACAAATTTCTTCCCTCACTGACGACGTCTTCTCCTACTTTCAACGAGCAGAACCGTTCGCAATCATAAATCACGCTACTACGAACCACTTAATCAAAAGATATATCAATATGGCCTGGCAGAGTTCGGGAAAGTCAAATTCCCAGTTGATCAATAACCTGTTTAAGAATGGTCTTATTAAGCATGAGAGGGTAAAGAATGCAATGCTTGCTGTAAGTAATGGATGGATCCTGTTCTTCTTGCCGATTGTTTGTCCATTGGCAGCACCTCGAAACGCCGTGTCAACGGGCTCTCCCTTTTCTTCTAACCACTCTGCACCTTCACAGCTCTCACGAAACTAAGAATAATAAACTTAACTTAATAAAACCCAGGTCGACCGCGCCAACTACTGTCCTTCGAACCCATATGAGGACTCCCCACAAGCAATCGGTCACGCAGCCACAATCTCCGCTCCACACATGCACGTGCACGCTTGCGAGTTACTCCTCCCTTATCTGAACCCAGATTCTCGCGTGCTAGACATCGGTTCGGGATCAGGTTATCTAACCCATGTCTTCTCCAACCTCATCACAGACAATGGCCTTACCTCGTCCAAGGGCACTGTCATCGGCATCGATCACATCAAAAGCCTAGTCGACATGTGCAATACCAACATGGCCAAATCTGACTCGGGCCGCCAGCTGCTCGAATCTGGCAAAGCTCGTTTCGTCCTTGGTGATGGAAGGCTAGGATATCCAGAGGGCGGGCCATATGATGCCATCCATGTCGGTGCGGCAGCAGAGTTGATGCATCCCACCCTGATTGAGCAGCTGCGAGCGCCTGGCCGCATGTTTATTCCTGTCGAGGCTGGTGGAGAAAATGGAGTGAGGTCATTTGGCCTGGGAGGCACTCAGCATGTGTGGGTCGTGGATAAGAAGGAAGATGGGACTGTGGTAAAGGAGAAGATATTTGGAGTTAGTTATGTGCCATTGACGGATGCGCCAAAGGAGAGGGTGTGATGGTTGCTTGCGATGTGAGAGATGGATAATTCAGTTTCAAGTTTCGCCCTTAGGCTCTGCTTTTTCTGTGGGTTCTCTTTCTTCTTTCATTCATTTCGTATTATTAATCCAAATTGAAGGTGATGGGCAATTGTTTCATTTTCCGTTGTTTTTCTTGCTATTGTTTGCTACTCCCAGGACGAAGGTGTGGAAAAGGGAAACCCAGCGCATGTACTTGGGATTTGGCTGGCCCAGAGCGAGAACGAGTTAGTTAGCCTGCAAAAATTTGCTTCGTGTACGATGTATTAATAACAATAAATAATAATTACCTAGCTTTTCAACACAAGAAAACCTTGATTTCCAAACGTTCATTTCTTCATTTCCGAGAAGTCGACCGAATCCAACGTTTTCACTCACAATGAGGAACACAATGAGAAAAGGGGCTGTTGGACCAGTAGAGCTCCAAAGGGAAATTGTCATAAATCTACGTTACGCAGGCAGCTGTAATTCAGAGCCATACCCTTGTATTTTGTCTGCTGTAGTTTGTAGTTTGACAAAACGCCCTTCCCTAATTCCAAGGAAAGGAAATTAAAAAAACAAAAACAATCTATATCCTATACAGTACGTCATGTTAAGACGAGAAATTTGGTCACTAAAAAGGAAGACTTGATGGTGACATGTGAGGTTGCTGCTCAATTGTCTTGAAAATCTTCTTCGGAGGAGTGTATCGAGGCTGCCTGTTGTAATGACCGGAAAGATAGGAGGTAAAACACGAGCGGAAGAGGAAAGCGGAAACAAAATGACATGCTATTAAAAACAATGACAAAGTAGAGGAATGCAAAGTACGAAACCAACATAAAAGAAGAAAATGGATATATGTTAACCAAACGGAAATCCTCCAGGGAAATTGAAGCCTCCGCCCGAGAACTTAAAATGCGGGCCACCGCCTCCCTGCTGGAAAAAGAATTGTTGCCCATGACCACCATGATGTCCGAACGGACTGCCCTGGAACGGGTTGCCCTGGCCCTCTTGGCTATTAGGGTCATCGCCACGATCGAAACGGGCGCGCAACTCAGGGTCTGAAAGAACTTCATACGCCTCGTTAATGGCGGCCATCTTCTTCTCCGCATCCTCTTTGGAGACGCCCTGTGACATCGCTTTATCAGGATGGAATTGTTTGGTCATCTTGCGATAAGCGCGCTTGATAGTCCTATCGTCTGCGTCGCGGTCGACGCCGAGAACCTTGTAGTAGTCCTTTTGTTTCGAGCGTTTGAGGAGGGTGTGTGCTTTTTGGTAGAGGGATTGGATATCTTGGGAATTGTCGTGGTGCTCTCGCGCAAACTTGAGGGTTTGGATGGCGGCTTCAAAGTCATCCGTGTCAATCTGGGCTTCTGCTTTGGAAAGGAGGCCGTGGAGAGAATTGGGGATCAGTTTCAAGGCTTCTGTGCAATATGATTGCGCTTTCTTCTTCATCTTCATCTGCTCAATGGATGTCATGTTAGTTCCATGATCTTTTTGAATTGGGCGGAGTCTGGGTAGTAGCCCGAACCTGTCTATATGTTTCGCAAGTCTTCTCGAGTAAATTGGTATAGAGTGCATCCGGTGCTTTCGGATGAATATGGCCAGCTTCGCGACTCGCCCTCACATCATCCTTTATCTCTTCGAGAAGACCTGCATCCTCCTTGTTCCCGACCAAGATCTCAGCAACCTTGCTGAGCTTCCGTCCTTCACGAAGACTCTCGAGGCTAGCCAGTTGTTTTGCAATTTTCTTTTCCTTTTTAAATAGGCGACTACACGCTTTGGAGTCGGGATCTGAATGGAGGCATTTCCGAACTTGGGTGATGCCCCGCTCCGTGTCCGCTAGCGAGTAGAAAAGCATCGAAGACATTTTTAGATGAGGCTCTACTGAGCCAGGAGCCATTTGCAAAACGTGCGCTAGGTCATTTATACCTTCTTGGATGTCTCCCCGTTCAAAACGGCAGCGTGCCCGCAACTGTCGTAGTGGCAACGACTGACTCGCCTTCATAATAGCAACTCCGGATTGCAATACGCAGGTATCCCAGTCGCCTTTCTTATCTGCAGCCTCAGCCAAGCGCGATGCTTCTCGGGCTTCATTGAGCTCCCCAATTTCAGCGGCAGTATTCTTCCCCGCAGCTGCCAGATCTCTCTTTGCGGCATCCCAATCTGCCGACTTCATCTTAATGCGCGCTCGCTGTATCAAAGCACCCTCAAAGTCTGGCTTGATTTTCAATACGTCATTGAAATCCAGTAATGCCTTCGCATTTTTCCCAAGAGAAAGGTAGGTGGCTCCGCGTTGGAAGATTGTCAGATAGTTTGTGGGGTCTCGAGAAATCGCGACATCGAAATAGGGTAGAGCATCTTGAGGGGCACCATTTTTGAGATATGATTTAGCAGTAGAGATAAGAGATGAAAGCGGCGTATCTGAGGGAATATCTGACGGCTGAAGGCCATTGACTGCCGAAAGGAGAGCAAGTAGAATAGCAAGACTCTGTAACCGGAGTATCATGGTGAAGAGTGGAGCGCAGTCATCGAAGGCGCCCTAGAAAGGTCTCGTCAGGACAAGTATAAGGTGTGTAGATGTAAATTAAATGTGAATAATAAAGGCGGGGAGAAGAATAGAAAGGAGCAATGCATCAGAGATGAATTGGAGAGTTGTTGAAGTTGAAGTTGCTCTCCAGCGGATATCATCATAAGCACAGCGATAAGGGAAAGTCTGGCCTTTACGGAAAACCAGTACATTACCGGAACATCATTATTCCAGTATTATATTTTCGGATGCGTCTAGCGGCTTCAACTAATCTTAACTAGGTAAGAAACACCGGTCCGGTATTGAAAAGGTAAAACATAAAAAAAGCGGCTTGGAAATTCACACCTGCAAGCATAGAGATAGATATCTAGATATAACCATTTACTCTCGTGGATGCCGGGCGGTCCGGGTTACTACAACCTCGAGTATGTTCCAGGCTCCGTGGATATGCTCTAGATGTCTTTCAAGGTCTGTAGCCCTGATACAGTGTAAACAATGGCCTCGACAGCTCCGGTTTAATTCCACAGGTAACGGCATAACTGTTTTTCTCTAGGCAATCATACGCTTAATTTATATAGACTAACAATTTTGTAAATTTAGTCCCGACACCGGAAGTGTCCATATCTCCTGTTCTTCTCAACCGGGCACGGTCAATCGCCAATGAGCATGCAACCCTCACTTCCAAACTGGCAGAAACATTCGATCCGAAAACTGCAAAGCGAGCAGGAGAGCTGGCTACCACGGCCAGAGCATTGAAGAAATGGGAAGACGCAAATGAGGTCAGATCTTGTCTTATTTGGCTAAATACCCGAAACAAAATCCGTCGAGAAAACACGGACATGACCTAACTCAATCTCCTAATATATGTAGACCATCGCTGAGCTCAACAATCTCCTTAAAGACCCATCCACAGATTCCGAACTCCATTCCCTCGCTCTTGAGGATCTCCAGTCAACAACAACCTCCCTCGCCATTCTCTCTACCAACCTTAAGCAAGCCCTTATCCCGCGCCACCCGTTCGCAGATCTACCTTGCCTCCTCGAGCTCCGCCCAGGCGCTGGGGGCGAAGAAGCCGGCATCTTCGCCAATGAACTCCTGCGCATGTATACTATGTTCTGCTCCAACCGGGGCCTGCACGTCACTCTCTTGAAGAAGGAAAGCGAAAACGCCGGTGCGAGTGGTGGGTCCGAAGATCGATTGGTCGAAGCTGTGATGGAAATCGAGACACCGGGTAGCTATGAGACGCTTCGGACAGAAGCGGGCGTACATCGCGTGCAGAGGGTTCCTGCTACTGAAAGCAAAGGCAGGACGCATACCAGTGCTGTCAGCGTGGTGATTCTGCCTTCCTTCCCAAACAATGGCGAGGAAGGGGACAGTGAGATGAATTTTGACGATCCCAACTCTGACTACTACATTGATCCGCAGGAGGTAAATGTGGAGAAAATGCGGGCGGGTGGTGCAGGTGGGCAGCACGTTAATAAGACTGAATCCGCAATCCGGTTGACGCATATCCCCACCGGTATTGTGGTGGGCATGCAGGATTCGCGGTCACAACATGAGAATCGGCGCAAAGCGTGGCACCTCCTTAGGGCTAGGATTGCGCAGCAGCGACGTGAAGCGAGAGAGGAGGAGATGGTGAAGTTGCGGCGAGGTGCTATGGGCGGTGTGGGGAAGATGGGGAGGGGGGATAAGATACGCACATACAATTTTGGGCAGAACCGATGCACGGATCATAGGAGTGGGTTCACGGTGCATAACCTGGGGAGTATCATGGAGGGCGGTGATGGGCTTGAGAAGATTATGGATAGTGTGAGGGGGTGGCTTGTTGATCAAGAGGTTGATAATGTCTTTGCAGAGGAGCAAATGAAGCTAGCGCAAGCAGCAGTTAAAACGAAGGGGAAATCTTAAAGTGTTGGCATGATTATGGCTTGCTTTTATATTATTCTCTGTTACTTGGATTTAGACATGTATTCTTGATACTTTTCTTCGGAAAATGGCCGAGTTGTGTATTGAGGTCTATCTGCCCGTGAAAGCGTTTTTAATATTAACCTGTTTTGTTTCAATTATGATGAGTCTATTAGTCTATATGCAACCAGCTTCCCAAGGCCTGAAATAACCGGAACTAGTTATACAATCAAATAAGTGGGGAAGGACATCTATATATATTTCCTCTCAGGGTCCAAAGCGTCCAGGCCCTCCATCGTCTTCTCATACCTGTTTTAACGAGAATTAGCGATGGATTCTGGTCCTACAAATAATTCAACATGTCCTCCTGGGTGTTATGGAAAGGAATATGTTGGACAGAATAAATTAGATACGGGATAAATGGGGGCTTACATTGTAAAAACAACACCACCACTTATAACTAGACGTGCCAGACGCGGAAGAGCTCCAGACCAGAACGTAAGTACTCCCTCTTTTTTGAAAATGGTTGCCGCGCAAACGAAACTATTCCTATAGTTCTTTCGAGCTTCGATAGATTGCATTCTGAAAACACACATCAACCTCGGGCCTTCTTTCTCCTTTTTATTTCTTCACAACCTCTACCCCACCGGGAAGAGAGAAAACATACCGAGTCTTAATAGTATCCAGCGGCTGCGTCACATATCTACCCCAATCCACAGAAAGTTAGCATTCTTAGACAGACATCATCTTCACACAAGCTACAACACAGGGGGAAAAAAAACCGAGGCATACACGGTAATGAACCCAGCCAATCCTCCAATGGCGAAAGTACTCGCAGCCCCCAACTTTTCCCCTGGCGCCACATACCCTTGCGCAAACTGGCGGATGGTCGTATAACTGCCAAAACGAGTTGCAGAGTTAGCTGCTTGTCGCGCAGTTGTCGGCAAAAATCCTTGGAAGAATGCGCGGATGCCTCGTTCGCGGAAGATTACTCCGGTGCCGTGGAGAAAACCGCGCATGCGTGGGTTGGAGGATTTGCGATCATCAATCCTATATGTGAAGGCAAGGAGGTAGGTTAGTTAATCTATAATAGATGTAAACCGCTACCAACCAAACGCACATCGGGATAAAAGAGCGAAAAGAAAAAAGAAAGAAAGGCCTACAACTGGGTCTTGATACTCTCAAACGGCGTAACGGCTAAGAGTGATTCTGTAAACCCGGCACCAAACCCGGCGATTACAGTCCGTGGTCCGGATATCTTGCCGTTCTCATCTTGTAACATAGATTTGAAAAAATCAAATGCGACGAATCCTACCAACCCAATCCCAAGCGAAGAAATTAGCTCCATATCCGCACACCCTACACACGTGCATATGCATAACATATTATACCTTACGCAAATCATCAAAGAGAAAAGAAAATGAAAAATGACTTACGGATCCCTGCCTTGAGCGAATTGCCAATAATCAAAGTAGTGCATCCCGCGTACCATGCCTTGCCGAATGGAGGCCATGGGAGCTTTTTCGAGTCAGGTAACCGACGGTTGAGCTGCGTTCTTGTCTTCGCGACTGTTTGCGATCGTCAGCTTCAGAGCTGTTTTAGCGCAGAAGCAAGGGGTGGAGGGAAAGAATTTCGGAGGGGTTCATGTCGGAGGAAGATAGTTTGAATCTCGCACATTCCGCAGGATATGTAATTGCTATGTTTCAAGAGTTGGGGAACGTTCCGGTTAGTTTAATTAAAATATCTTTCAGATCCTCAAAATGTAATGGAGTGTGTGAAAATATCCAACGTACAAATCTCAATGGCCCCAGCCGTCGAACCTGCAATAATCGACCGCAGACTACTGGGCTATTAGCAAGGTGAACACAATGTAAGTTAGCCATTTCCGAATATCTTAAAAAGAGGCTAGAGTGGGAAGGGGTGATCATTTAAGCGAACCTTTGGCCTTTGATCACCCTCTGATGTAGCCATGGCAGACAGCTATGTATGCACCTAGATAAATAACAATATGACCTGTTGTTTGGTGGTGAGCGGATGCGCACTCGCCCTGTCCTTGTTCGAGAGTATAAAATCGACGTCGCTTGGGGCGGAAAAGCCTAATCTGGCGGGCGGCTAGTTGATGCTTGGCGCCTACAGCGTGCCAAGCATGGCTAGAAATCGTCAACTCTCTCTGAAGTACAGAATCAAGTATGGTACAAAATGCATTTAACTACTCCGTACACTGCTACAGATCAGACAAGAAACGGAGGTTTTTTGGCAGAGGAGAGACAAAATTTGTCATTTGTGTGTTTTCGCTACCTACATAGGTCATGTAACATATCAGGTTTTATACATAATATATAGTAACTGGAGTGTTTTTTCTTTGTTTCTTGCGTGCAAAACACCCAAATGGTAAATTCCCCTAATATGTATCCACACCTAGTTATCTCTCCGCTACCCTATTTTTATTTTTATTTTTTCAACTTTTTTCAGTTTTTTTTTGGTTCATTTTTAATATATTCTGTTTGTTCTTTCTTTCTTGCTTTGATTTGTGTTTCTTTTGTTGGATTCCGCGAGCGTCTCTACACGGATTCCGCGGATAGTCGATTACGACGTCATTCGCACTGATTGAAGTTAAGTAAGCGACTTATTGGGCCGTGAAAGAAAAGTCGTCCAAGAGGAGTGGAGTCGGGATAGCGTGGGTTGTTCCACTAACACGGGGAATAAAGGGCCGAAAAGGGATGATTGACTGAGATGTCCTGAGGGCTGCAGTGGCGTTTATGTTCCTCGGGAGACGTAATTGCAAGGAGATATGTTATGAGAAGGCGAGGGCGGAAGTACAAAGACGTGAAAAGTAAGGGGATATCGTTCGTAAAGGAATCCCACTTCGATAGTTCGTTTATTTTTTTGAGGTCGTTGGCGCCGTGCTTGTGTAACGCCTGCCGGACAGGATTGAAAATCTTCCAATCAAGGATGCTAGTCGATGTGTTGGGAAAAGCGCCGAAAGAAAGTAATGACACCAGACATCCTGTAAACCTTAGACCAAAACACCTCCGTTACAACTTGCGCTGATTAAGGCGAAGATATCTCCTTCAGCATCCCTTTTGCAAATCATGAATAATGAGATATATCGCAGGATACAAAGGGCAGGTAGTGTCGAGGAAGCATAATTCCATCTAAGCAGGGCAACATCAAAACCAAGAGAAATAAACCGGATAGGTCGAACCGAGGACGGAAAACCGCCAAGGGGGGCAAAAAAGAGCAAAGGGAGGGAAAATATGATACATATCCCGTAGCAGTGCCATAACTCGTGCAAATACAGGAATCTCGTCATGCGAGCAACAAGAATTTATAGGAAAAGTTAAGGGCGCTGGGCGGGAAATTTCAAGAACCGCAAAGGCAACATGATGATGATAATGTGATCATCGACGTGGAAGGTTATTCGAGAAGCGATTCATGGAGAAGTAACGAAACGAAGGTATACCGTTAAGATTCGAATGGCTGTGAAGAATGGATGGGAAGGAAGCAATCAACTTGAATGGAGAAATTATGTTATAATCGATGGACAACCAGATGCTGGAAAACACGCCAAGTCGGGTTATGATGCGGGTGCAGACGCTGCGGCGTTTGGCCGCGGTGCAGTTCCATTCTGGCGGTGGTTTTCTCCATGACCACCTCGGTGTCCTTGGCCACGACCTCCACGGTAGGATCCACGACCCCTGTTAGAAGAATACTGATGTTGGCCTTGTCGACGATTATGGCCTTCTGGGCTGTTGGGACGTTGAGCAATTGCAGAGGCAGGCTGCTGGCTGTGGTGCTGGGGAGCGTTAGAAATAGGTCGGGGTATGGTGTCAGGTGTGTCATAAACATAGAGTTTCTTGTCAATAGATTGAGGGATAGGCTGGATTTCGGTGCCCAACTCCTGCTCAATCTTGTACAGGTTATATCGATCCTCCCAGTTGATCAGGTTAATAGCCAAACCCAGGTGCCCAAACCGACCCGAACGGCCAATTCTATGGAGATAGGTTTCGGCATTCTTGGGGAAATCAAAGTTGATCACGACGTTCACAGCCTGAATGTCGATGCCACGTGTCAACAGGTCTGAGCAGACCAGGTTTCGGCAAACCCCGTTGCGGAAGTCATGGAAGACACGATTTCGGTTATGTTGCAGCATTTTAGCATGAGAATAAAAACACGAGTATCCCAGTTCGGTGATCTTCTTAGCTAGAAGTTCGACGCGATTGGTAGAATTGCAGAAAATGATAGACTGGTTGATTTGGAGTTTGGAGAAGAGAGTGTTCAGGCAGTGAACTTTTTGCTTTTCTTCCACAAAGGCATAGTACTGGGTGATGCCCCGAAGTGTAAGCTCGTCCATAAGGTTGATCTCGTAAGGGTTTCTCATATGTTTGTCCTATGATTGTTTTTGGAACAAAAATTATTAGCCAATGGTGTGGGAGAGCACGATAGGGCACTAAGAGCAATTACCTTGAAAGACTTGACGATCATTGGGAATGTGGCACTGAAAAGCATTACTTGGCGGTCCTTAGGATGGAATGACAAAAGTTGCTCAATGACCGGGGTGAATTCAGGCGAGAGAAGCTTGTCCGCCTCGTCCATAACAAAAGTTGAGCACTCTGACAGATCTGCCACCCCTTTGCTAGCAAGATCCAGAATTCTCCCAGGTGTGCCGACGATGATGTGAACAGCTTCATTCAACCGTATAATATCATCTTGGAGTCCCGTTCCGCCGGTCGTGACCATAACATTGATACCTAGGTGTTTCCCGAGTGTCTTGCAGACTTGCGATGTTTGAAGGGCTAGTTCCCGCGTGGGAACGAGGATGAGGGCTTGTGTTTTCGAATTTTTAGGATTGGTACGTTCTAAGGTCGGTATAACAAAAGCAGCAGTCTTCCCTGTTCCGTTTTTCGCGCGTGCAAGGATATCCCGACCGGTAAGGGCCACGGGTATAGTTTCTTCTTGGATGGGAGAAGGTTTTTCAAAGCCGGCCTCAAAAATCCCCATCATTAATTCGCGCTTAATATAGAAGTCCTCGAACTCCAGGCCTTTTGTTGCAGTGACATCCTAGAATCCCGATTCACCGTCAGCAAGATGCCCCAGGAAAATTAAATGAAAATTAAGCAGTTTTCTAGGCATATCTCACTTCAGTTTGAGTTCGTGTGTCTTTTGGGGGCGCCTTTAAATTTTCTCTCCATTTCTCTGAGTGGTTATCTCTGTAACATTTGCATCAGCCAAAAGCTCATATTATCATATTACATATTTTCATGAGATGAGCCGGTAGGGAGAATGTAATAGGCAACACACCCTAGCTTTGTGCTATTCAATTGCGAAGCAAGCGCATCGGCCATGACGAGTTAGCAGGCTTGAAGCCAACTGAGGAATACTAGGGGAGGGTAGTTTGGGAAGAGTAAGGTATGTATATCCTTCCAGCTTAAAAGCGGATACCACCTTGAAGCCAGGCTGACAGCCGTGACGATGTGGAGAGGTAGTATGTTGTGGAAATAACAGCGTGTAAAGGAGTGTATAGGTCCTTTGGGCGTGGCAAGGTGAGAGCGAGGGATTGGATTTTCCGTTCTCGCAGGATAGATACAATGGTGCAGCAGAGGGGTTCAAAACGAGCGACAGCGCGGGCCAAACAACTGAGAAGGAAGATCTTTGGTGTTTTGATTTATGTTTTCGGAGGGGATTTAGAGAAAAGAGAGAGGATGTCTGTGTAGGTTTTGGGACTTGGTGTCTTGGTGTCTTGCTGAAAAGGGTCTGACCAGACAGGCGGATCAACAAGGATAGCGACTTGGTCAGAGATGCTGAGAAGAAGATGTGGTTTTTTGGCTGGTAAGAAAGCAGGTGAGAAGTAAACAGCGGGATATTGTAGATCTCTTGAACTGTGGGTAGTAGTGTGAGCAAAAAGCCGCTTAAAATTTGAGCACTGAGAGTAAAGAGAAGAAAGAGGAGGAAGTGTTGAGTTGGTTTGGAAAAGACAGGCATGGGTCACTGGACCTGGCCGCTGAGTAGAAACTTTCTCCTAGCAAAGTGCGAGAGCGCTGGGCTGCCTAGTACGGACTAGCGCCGGGCACATATGCCCATCGACTGGGAGCGAGGCCACACAATTAGCGTCGTCCCTTACCGCCTTGATATGGCCAATAGGCAAGCTGGACTTGCCACTTTCAGCCAATAAAAAGTCATGAATTAAGGTGGCAGAAAAATATGGCCCCGCTCCCAGACAATGAGTATACACAGCCTCTAACTGATACAATTACTCAGATATATCAAATGCAAGAGAATGTAATGCAGATTAACATCTGCTTTCACTCAATATCTATCTCTATAAACCTATTTCAATCAACTTCAATTATTAATACAAGCATCAAATGCTCGCTTACGCTCGCTTTGCTGCTTGCGCAGCCCTCTCTATCACTTTTCACCCTCTACTTCTACCCCCCCCGACCACCGCTTCCACCGCTTCCACCCCCTACCACCACCACCGCCTCTACTGCCCCGCAGCCCCCCCCATCACTTTCATCCCCTATCTCTACTGCCCTTCTTACTACCTCTACTACCCCTTCCACTTCTACTCTTCTCTTATCATCTCTACTCTCTCTACTATCATCATCACCTCTACCGTCTCACAGCTCTCTCTATCAGCTTCACTCTTTGCCTCTATCTCTCTCTACCCCCTCTCTTACCACTCTCTACTGTCTCTATCATCATCATCACCTCTACCTCTCACAGCCTTCTCTATCACTTTCACTCTCTATGTCTACTTCTTTCTTACTATCTCTTTCACTTCTTTCACTCTCTACTTTCTCTATCATCATCATCTTCTTCACCGCCTCGCAGCTCTCTATTACTTCTACTCTCTATCTCTATCTCTCTCTCTTATCATCTCTTCTACTCTTTTCACTCTCTATCTTCTCTATCATCATTATCATCTTCATCACTTCGCAGCTCTCTCTATTACTTTCACTCTCTATCTCTACTCTTCTCTTATCATCTCTACTTTCTCTACTATTATCATCATGTTTACTGTCTCTACTACTCTCTTTCACTTTGTATCATCTCTATCATTATTATCAGATTAATCAGAGCTGTACAGACTAGACTGACCGTGTGACCGTGTCTGAGACCAGAATCAGAATATTTGATAGTCTTATTATTAATTTGATTGATCTCATTACATGATATTAAGATTAGATAGTAGTCTTATACTATCTCAGTGAGACTTACTGTCTACTCTTATGTAAGAAATCTCACTTCTCGCGGATTCTTTACCTCTATTTCTATCTCTTGTGTAATTAATAGACTGATCATGTGACCGTGTCTGAGATCAGAATCAGAATTTTTGATAGTCTTATTATTAATTTAACAGATTTCATTACACAGTTCTAATATTAGATAGTAGTCTTATACTGTTTCAGTGAGACTTACTGTCTACTCTTATCATATTTTTTAAATAAGATCATGATTTTCACTTCTCAATTTAAATTATTTTTATTACTTTAAATGACTTTAAATCTCATTTAAGTGTTATCAAAAAGTGTTACTTTTTAAAAAATTAAAAATTGTATAAAAAAACCTTAAAATGTCTAAAAATAGTAACTTTATATTAAGAATGAGATTAAATAAAATTAAATGAAATCACTTTCTTATTTTTTTCAAGTTATAATTTCATTTTAAGATCTGATATATAGTTACTTTATATATTTATTTAATAATTAGTCTCAGTGAGATTTATATCAAGAAATGTATAAGATTAGATTAAATGAAATTAAATATAAAATTTATAATTTCAGTAGCTAGTCTAGTAATTAATAGAGCTAGCAGCTCTTGACTATATATAACTATATAGACTGAAGTTTGTGAATACTATTTATAACTCAGTTTAAATACTATTATATATTTAATTTCTATATTTATCTTTCTACTGTAAATACTTTTAGTAGTTATTAACTTATTAGTATATATTATATCAAGCTGTAAATATCTGAATAATCATCTATAAGTAGTTATTCTTATATTTCAAGCTCTGTTAGTTATTATTATTATTATTATTCTTTTATTATACTTATATACAAGTGAAGCTTATGATGAGTTCTTGTGTGATGTTAAATACAGATCAAGTGTTGATTATACAGAAGAAAATACAGATGTTAAGATTATATCAAGATAATAAGAATATAGAAAATACAAAGAAGTGTCAATTAAATACATATAATAATAACTTCTCAGCTCAGAAATATAGAGTAATTTATTAAAGTAATTTATACATCTCTGTATTTATTAGAAATCTGAGATACTTAAGTTCTGAATTTAATGTATTCTCTGCAGGTTTCAAATCTACACATCTTGATTTCTTATGTTAAGACACTATCAGATGACCGTATTAATTATTCAGTTATCAGAGCAGCTCTGTCAGTAGACTGATTATATAACTGTATCTGAGATCAGAATCAAACTTTACAGTTATTATATTATCTAAAAGTATTACTTCTGATCATGATTTATATTCATTATATTAATCTCAAATCATGTTATTTCAAATATTAAAGATCTCAGATTCACTTTTCAAATAAAAATCTAGTTCTGAATAAAGAATATGTTTAAATTCTTAGTCACATTTTTATTCTGATCTCATTATTGAGAATGATATTAAATGAGATTATAAAATCACTTCTCACTTACATAATATTATAACATAGTACTCATTTGTTAAAAATTCAATAGAGAGTATTACTAAATATTATTACTTTTCTGAACACAGATTATAATTCATATAATTTTAATTATGAAAAAAACATAAAATACAAAAAAAAATAAAAAATAAAAAACAAAACAAACATAAGAAAAAATCACATTAAAAAAAAAAAGAAAAGAAAAAGAAAAAAATAAAAAATAAAAATAAAAAAAATCAAGATCACAGAGCTGTAGTACTCTTAAAATACTTACTTCTCAGAGTTTTTATAATATTCATCATTAATTATGTATCTTTCATAGTGAGAATAATACAGCTGTGATGAGTTATTGTCTTAATATTATCTAATAAATAATCAGTATATATCTGTATAAATGTGAATAATTAGAAAATATACACTTAAAAAGTGTGATCAGAGTGAACTCTGCTGTCACTTAAATAACATTAAGAGCAGAACACTGAAATTGATGATTTTTCTTATTAATTTCACAGATAAGACATATGAAGATAATCTTAGAAAATATAAGATTTCTCAACTTCTAGTAAAAATGAATCTCATGAAGAGACTCTATTTTCATAATATCAGAGACTGAGTATTATTAAAAAGTATTACTTTTATACAATGTATATACACTTACTGCAGCAATTCACTCTCTGTGTATATGACTGAAAGTTATAGCTTTTTCATGCTGCACAGCTCTCTCTGAAATGCTGCTATCAGTTTGTAACTCACACAGTCTCTCAGTTCAGTATGTACTGTATGTATACAGTTCTATGTGCTGAGACTGTGTTGATCATTATAGTCTGATATGATACTTACTTTTCATAAGTCATGTTTTATTTGAGAAGAGAAAGAGAAGATGTGACTATTATTTTATTAAGAAAGAGATGAATAATTAGTATTATTAAATTAATTTAATTCATCTACATTTAAAATTTAATTAGTTTATACTCTTCAATTTGAGGATTTCTATGAGTGTTTTAATAGTTTTCATACCAGCTTGAACTTAGTAATGAATTGAAGAAGAAGAGAAAAGAGAGAAGAAAGAAATGAGAATAACTTATCTTTATAATATGAAAACAGAGAATCACTGTAATTATTCTTTCTAATAACAAAGATCTGTTTTCTGCATGTATCTCTGATATAGATTATATGATAAATGCATACAAAGAATATCAATAGTGTATACATTGAATGAAGATAATATTACTATGTAATATTATAGTTATTTCTATACATCTCTGAAAGCTATTAATAGTTTCTTTATCTCTTTATATTTGATAAGTTAATAATATATTTCAATACACTCTCTCTTTCATTATTATCATCATCATCATTATCATTATCATTATTATTATTATTATCATCATTATTATTATTATTATTATCATTATTATATCATTGCCTGTCTTCACTCTCTCTCTTAACACTTATTAAAATCAATTATGTTATTTCTCTTCAAATATTCTGCAGTTCTGTGAATTATCAAGGCGCATGAGCACTGTCACAGATTAAAGAGAGAGAAGAAGAAGATGTTCAAGTATGAGAAGACAGATTACAAGGTATATTATAATGTCTTAAAGAGACTCTGTAAGAGAGTAGAATAATAATGATTTTAAGTAACACTTCTGATAGATTTAGACTGAACTAAGTATAGA